AAATTTAAATATTCGATTTTTGGTTTTATAAATGGCTAAAATTGACTTGAAAGTTATACCAAAACTAAACTAAATAAGCTTTTTAAATCGTAAAATTAACCTAATAATAATAATTGACCTAGCGGTCTCAAAAAATAAAAAAGTTATAGGATAATTTATTGTATAGGATAATTATTATATTTTTAATTTACATAAATTTAAGAGCAATAAAAGTATATTAATTTCTTTTTTATTTAATTTTTAAATAATAAGTTTTTCGTTATTTTCGACAAATTCTGGAGTTGAAATAAGCGTTTCATCATCAATTTCGCATGGAACATTCTGACATTCATTTGAAATAATTAAAATCCAAACAACTATTTTCGATTTTCCATCCATGTGTCAATGGATCTAGAGTTACAGTTTCACTATTTGTAGACTGTTTTTTTACTCGCTTTAGACCTTGAATAAAATAATTGACCTATACCAAAAAAATATATCTTAAAGTAGAAGATCTGCCGATTACTATGCTTTTTTTTAATTAAACTTTGTTCAGTAGTTTTTGAGAAAAAAATTCCGAAAGTTTGTCGATTTCGTCAGTTGTCACATTAAATTGTAAACCTATCTCGGAATAGAAGCATTTTTCGAATTTTTATCAAAAAACAAAAAGTGTTTATTTTAGTTCATTTTACATTAAAATACTATTTTCAAAGCCATTCGGCGATTAATTTTTTTACAACTTTTTTGTATATAACAATTGACTGACCACGCCGAAAAATATAAAAAATATATGTAAATTATCAGAAAAATACACATTATAAAATAAAAAAAAAAAATTCATGCTGTAGGTTTTTGTTTTAAAAATTTAGTCGGTTACCTTCATTTAGAAGCATCTTTTTAGAGGTGAACTGCTCGCCTATAATAATTCAATAATCCTACAACATACTAAGGTCTACACATAACCGATTCACATCATCAACTTGTCAAGGCTAAGTCAAAACGCCAATTTAGATTTAAGAAACTGAAACCAGGATCAACTTTACTATTACAGTGTTCCTCGAGGAATACCCCGTCTATAAATTAATTTTATGTCAAAACCTGTTCTCCGTCCGATTGAACTTTTCAACGTTGAAAGGCCGCAAATAGGCTAAAGCACCCAATTAGGTTTTTTTGTTTATTATATGGACTTACGGGTTTTTCCTGGCCTCAACTGCTGCGCGGTGAGGGTGTTAATAGAGAACAGTAGGCCGTGGTGGTTGTAACTCATGGTATAACCAGGCAGGTGTCCCGCGTAGCAGAGGGAAGTAAACTTCTCCTCTTTGACCTTCCACTTGCCTTGGGGTTTGTCGGACACGATATGGGCCGACACGAAGTAAAAGTGGTTGAGGGTTTCGGATAAGGCGTCTTCGGTGTGTCCCATGATCTCCTGTAACAGGATAAACAGCGTAGCATTCGCGGTTTGGCATTTGTTTTTCCTTTTTTTGGTAAACCTACGAACTGGTAAACTTAAGTGACGCGTATTTTTTATTTGGCCTCATTTTTTCAAATTTATGGTCAGGCAGAAACTGTTCTAATTTTAATAATAAATTTTTATTTTTTCTTTATTTTATTTTTCTCACAAGTGACACAATTTCATTAACTACAAAAAAAAAACAGAACCATGCGACAAATAAATAGGTAACTAATTATAATAAATTAGAAAAAATTAACGATAATATATTTTTACACATCTGATGTAAATGACTAAATTCCTAACTATAGCGGTTTTTTAAATATTATGCTATAAGCGTCGTATTCAACTAAAATTAGATCTTATTTAATAACTAGATCGTATTTAATATTCGCTCCCAGAAAATTACATACACGCTTTGTGTGTCATCTTATGCATTACGAAAAATACATAGTCAAAATGACCAAAATACACAAAAACACTATAAATAAATTTCAGCTACGTTGAACTTTTAAATGTATATCTAAATATAAAATAGTATGTGCAATATTAAGCTAAATTGAATTTATTTCTCGATTTTCTGGTTGAAAGTTTAAGATTATGTAAAATGCTTAATAAATAGGAAAATACAATACTAAATAGCAATACAGACATCCTCTGTTTCAATTTATAAAAGTTCTGAATCGCGCGTATAAATTGAAATGTCTCCAAAATGCAACCCATTGCAAATGATTGTATCTGCAATGAGAAACAAATCGCCACTGACAAGTGAAAGTTCTTTTACGCAGTAGAAAACATCATCATAGACAAAAAACAGCTTAATTATAAAAAAAAATTCTAGTACCTATTTAATTTATTTTACCTTTTCTCTCGGATTACGACCTTTTCGTTATTGTTCTTGTTTGTATAGCTATGCAAATCCGCCAAACTGTTATCAGCAATCAATAGCTTACAACACAACGATATCATTTCGATAAAAAATATTAATAGGTTACCTTGAACAACCTTTTAGGCAATAATTATAATAGTACCTACTGAGAAAAAATAAAGTGCTAGAACTATGATTTATTTCAAAGGTCCGATATTTGTAAATAAGTAGGCATGTAATTTAGAATAGCTGTCACCGAAAAAAGCAAGTAACTAACTTACACAGTAACGATTGCAGAGTATGGGCAACATTGTTTTAGCAATTTGCTGTCAAGGGTAAGGACAAACTTATAAGTATGTAATTATAACAAACTGAAAAAATAACTACCTTGACTTTATGGCAATAACTTTTTTATTACACATATATTTGGTTCGACTTTAAAAACGGATATGAGACACCAAAATTTCCTTGTCACCGGAAATATGCATGTAGGAAAGATATAAAAGTAGTTTTTTAGCTAATCTTTATGTTCACCTTGAAAACAAAAATTGCAAATGCCGTTATACTCTCATCGAATACGATTTCGGAAAAACATTGTGCCGCGAGGTTTTTCGCTGTGGCAAAGTACCAAAAAACAGTCTCTGACAATGTTATTTTTTGTTTACAAATTGCTCAACGAAAGTTAAATTTCCAGAACCGGACCTCAATTTACTACTGGCTGTCACATCACATAAGTTTAAGCATAACCTACTTGACATTACAAGGTCCCCATAAAACGAATTCCAGAAACCCTACAACCTGTATAATCCAATTTTCCTATGGCTGAGTAAGTGAATGCAACAATTATAACCAACTGCTAGTGTGGCATAACTCGTATGCTTTTACATATCGATTGTCATGCGATATAGATAATATTATGTTAAATTTCTGCGACGTGTTGCTCGTTAAACTGTTTATTAACATATTTATGGTTTTTAAATAGTTGCTAACGCAAATTTATGAGTGTATTCCAGTTATTCCCAATGTATATGTCAGGCTTCCCTGTACATACGAGGGTACTCAAAATAATAGGCTTGTTTCTGCAGTAAATTTCTGATAATTTGTAAAATGTTTTTATTAGGTACTCAGGCGCGTTTTGGACTATTTGTTAAAGGTTGTGTATTTTGCGCTGAGTAAATGGTTGTTTCGTTTGACATTTTGTAAAGAAACACGAAGTTTTGTAGTTTATACTTTAACCTAACTGAATAGAATTAAGTTATTACGAGTCTAAAAAAATCGTGCTTACTACGACAGCAAAAAAATATACATATTTAGGGCTTACCTGTCCATTTTCGCTTATGCAAATGGACGAACATCCGTATGGCAGTTTTTTGTTCTCCTTCTTCAGGGGCTGAAGAATTACATTGTCCAAATGTAAGAGGAATATCTGGAGATTGAATCAAAATGAAGCAAAAGAAGAAAATGCTTTAGCACATTTATTTTCTACCTTGTAGAAAGGTACGTTGGCGCCGTCAGCTGTTCCTTCCATTTCTTCAACATATTGGGGGTAGTTAGCCCTCAAACAGCTCAGGGTATCTTCGTAGACCTTTCTACCTTCAGCGGATTCGTAAGCTGGTATGTACTCGTCATTCAGGCACTTGTAACTGTTCAGGAAATTTTGGATGAGGCTGGAAAAAGTCCTTCCCTAAAATTGGAAATTACAGTAATCCTAACCTGATTATGCTAAGGGAGAAAACATTATTTAATATGGAAGGGAATGCCTCCAGCAACCAAAAAGCAGAAAACTGATTATTGAATGAATTGTCCAAATTACTTCTTCATTTGCACAGCATAGATATTTTATATTGTGAAAACACAAATATGGATATACATAGGTATTTTCTAGTATTTTTGTTGTTCTAAAAACGTGAAAACAAAGTAACCTTTATGTTTCGACACCTTGATTTGCCATAATAAAACTTGCTGAATGCAATTTACACCTAATACAGACTAGACCAAACCAAATACCTACTTTTCAGGCAGCAGACCTTCAATAAACAGCTTGCATTTGCTTTTCGCATTTAATCAGGATGAAAGCCTGGGTGCGCTCTGTAAACTAACGCCAATTAATTAATAGTGACAATATCGTTAGCATAATTTGTTTGTTAATGTCGATAAGCAAATAAGTTGTTTCCTTAAGACACAGGTCGGCGTTTTTTCTAAGGAATTCACTAATTTCGCAAGCAACAAACCAATTATTAATTCATTAGTCGCTAGACTCACGTGAATGTAGTAAGTTTTTTGCTTTTTCTAAGCGTCATATCTTTGTTAGATTTAAAGTTAATAACGTTGAATATTGTAGCTTGAAAAAAAAATGACCCTTTTATTAAGACTTGTCTTCTTACTTCCTAAGAAAATGGAACTATAAACATAAAGAGACTATTGCTATTTTATTGGAGTTATTTTCTGTCTGTAATGAAAGGTTCCTAGGAAAGTGGTCGTTGTTGTTTTCGTTCTAATTTTATGTTATGAAGTACTCACAGCCCTATGCTAGGAAAAACTAATCAATATTTTCGTCAAGGTGACGAAGCAATCGATAGAAAACCAGCCAACGCATTGGAAAAATCATATTCCTGTTAAATGGAACACTTTTCGGATTCAATTCGACAAAGTTCCAAGTAAAACTTGCTTCGTGTTTGTTGGAAATTTGATTATAGAGATGAGACTGGAAAAATCGTTATGACTTACTAAAATTAGTACCTATATTTTTGTTATTACTATTATTTAGTACGATTGAAAAATATTAAAAATATCTAAGCTGAAACATATGCTGACTAAAATTAAATATTTAACGCATTGTTAATCATTGCCTTCAGAATTAAAGTGTTTTAAATGTTTTCCTAGAATTGAATATAATACATTTAAAACTAAAATTAAAATCGATGGCATCGTGATAATAGAATTTTTTATTTATTTCTAGATTTTACCAGTTCTTTTAAAATTGCTAAATTATAGACACTGTCAAGCAACACATTACAGACATTAAATTGCTAATATAAATATTTATCAATTTGTAAAATAGGATCTAATAATTATGCAAATATAAAAGTCAATTTACTAGTCGGATTTGTTTGGAAAATCTAATCTAGGGAATTCTGAAAACGTGATTTCAAATATTGATGAGTTACGTCTGTAGTATCCAACATTTTACCAATAAAATTAAAATTTCCGAAGCTTACAGTCGATGACTTAAGGCAATTAAAGTCTCCTAATTAATTATATTTACACGAACTTTGTTATACGGGGTTTCTTAAGGTTTAATTAATTTGTTTTTAGTTATCGAATTTTATCTGTATCTGTGCAATTTATGCACAAAATAATAAACAAATCTCTTAAGTCAAGTTTTGACGTATGACTTTAAATATTCAGTAAAATAAATAGTTTTTTTCTTTTTGTATAATAAGGAACGATAACAGTATACTTAGGATTAAAATAATAAGTAAATAACCTTAAAGACTGGTGTGACCTATTTTATAAATATTAAACAACAAAACTAATGATGTCGAAGGTCTTTTAGAAGGATGAAATGTATAATCATATTGTATAATGTTTAAAGTCATAAAAAATAGTAAAATCATAGCGAAAATATTAATGTTACCTTGATTTACTTTAAATTGTTGAATTTACTTTACGATCTACACTACATTTTTATCACAAATCAGTAACAGCAGTTAAAAAAACAGTATAATGAAGTGAAAAACCTATTTTTTCATAGAAAAAATCCGATTTAAAAACTGATGATTCGACAGATAAAATGAATGAAATAAATCCGGAATGGATAATTTTTCATTTTCAATAAAACAATATTCGTATTTATTCAAAATGTACGATTAAATACGTTTATGCAAATTTCCACATACGTAATACGTAAACAAAATAAGGTGTACTTACAGAAGCTGATAAATGGAAAAGTAATTTATAAATTATTATGGCAAACCTTTACATACAAAGTAATTCCGTAAACCATTTGCCAACAGATTTTAGATTTGTTTGAGAATTTAGTACAATGTCAGACAAAACTGATTAGATTATATTTCAAACCTAAAACAATTAAATGACCTTAGATAAACGTATGTGACCTTTTTTGTAGATTTTAAATAGTCTCATAAAGTTAATATTTTACTTATTTACTCAAAACAAAGAAATATACAGCCCTGTATTATAAACGTCTTAACAACGAGTACGTTATCTTTACAGTTTCAATTTTCATGTACTGAAAATACAATTATTGCCCATTTCTGCCGAGTTTATAATAACTCAGATGTAAATAATTAGTATTATTAAAAATAATTATATAAACTGTTATATAAACATTAATTATAACATTTGCGTGAATATTTTTAAAATGTCGACCAATCTACAGCGTTTTAAATATTCTATTGCCAGATTTTTTTAACTGAGTAGAGTTGTGCAATTTAGATTCAAAAAGATGACCTATTGGACTATTTACGTTGTTTTGGCCATCCCTGTAAACGTGTGATCATCTGAAAGGTTCTTCCAACACCGGAACCAGTTACCTACTCATCAAAAAATACGAGGAATTCTTATAACAGATAAAAAGTAACTGAAATACACGCCTACAATTAAAATGGAAGAGGACTGAAACCGGATTACCTGTAGATGATATAATACCTAATGCACATCTTTGTATTAGAAAATTCATTGAAAACTTGCGGTTAAACAGATCAGTGATCACATTCACATACGTAGGTGCTATTGTCTATTGTGTATCCTGTCGAGTAAATAAATTAGGATAAGGTTTAAAATAAACGCCTCTTTTCGTCGACGTAGTTTTGTATTGTTAGCAAATATCCTTTCTGTATGTAGGTACATCATTTATAATATTTTTTGTAAATCCTCAACTGTTTCATTACTGCAGAGGGTGTCGGAGTTAGCAAAAGACAGAGGTCTTAAAATAAAACGGTTACAGCAAACACATTCCAGGTATGGCACGTGCTATTTGTGATAATCTTTGGAGTGGCTTGATTTTTATATTATATATTAAAAGCAATAAATAAGTATGTATGCCAGCAATGCTGGTGTGGGTTCTCTAGGGAAAAGGCGTATAGTAACGAAGCAATTTTTTTGCAAATAACTCATGCAGGACAACGCATTTTTTACATTGTTGTAGACTAAGTCACCGTAAGTGGTATTATCGCTTTGAGTAAAAATTTGCTATTAGCGTATATATTTCAGTACTGTATCGCGGATACTACCGTACTACAATCTACAAAATAAGTGAATTACTGAAGAACTAGGGATAATAACTAATGATTAATCAATCATCGCACACATCATGTACCATTAACTTTCATTTAACTACAAGGAAACAAAATAAATACACAAACACCAGAAACAATAAGAAAAACACTAGAAGATGCATGCTAAATAAAATAAAATTCTCTTTGATAAATTTTCTACATTGCAAGTTGATTCGTTTTGTTTTTTAATGAAGACAAAGTGAAAAGATATGGGTAGTCGTTAATTCTAGTTACACTCATTCTGTTCTATCAAAGAACTATGTTCTTAGATATTCTTCATTTACAGAATCCGGAATCAATTATAAAAATAGAAATATTTATTTCTCTTCGCCGCAAATAAAAAAATTATAAATAGAACACCGTCAAATAACATAACGTGAACGTAATTGTTTCTGTTATTTTATTATTAGTTCACAGTGTAATATGCATAAAGGTACTAAAAATAAAGTAGTTGATTGTGAATGAGTTGCGTGCAATTAAAGATGTGAACGGAAATATTAAAAATGGCATGCACGTGTCAGGTAACTGATTCAGATTTTATTTTTAAAAAGCGTATTAAATGTTTATTAAATACCTAAAAGGTAAAATAAATTAATATTTTTTTCAGTTCTACATATAATTTCAATAGTTTTACTAAAACTACCTTCATTGTAGAAGGAAACATTAAGTAAGGATTAACGAGAAAGTGTTTCCTCTTAATTCAAAATCTACTGTGATACAATACACTTCCTTGGGAGAGAGAGATTTAATTATAATATACAAATGATTTCTTCGAGACTTGGTTCTTTATAAAACATTTTTCTTAGACGTTTCGCTTTTGCTCAGCAGCTTTTTCAATATTTATTATTTTATACCAGAATGTAATTGTGGAAGACCTAACTTTCTCTTTATTATAAATATTTCTTTTTGTGATATGACTATTAGCTTTGCTCTCGGCTCATTAATTTAGAGAGCAAAATGGAGAGAGTTCGAAGGAAAACCAAAATATTAGAAACTCTGTATTCTAATTATTATTGTTGATGCCACTAATTTAGGGATAATGTTTAATAGTAAGCACTACAGGATGCCTATAAGAATACATATGAACTTGTATGGTTTAAAGCTTCGTTATCGAGATACAGGGTGTTACAGTTAAAAAAAACTTTTTTTTAAATATCGCAAAAACTGCTTGGCCGATTTTGATAAAACTTGTAACGTTTTTAGTAATAAGTAAGAGGCTTAATTTGATGTAATTAAATTTCAATTATCTATCGCAGGTATTTTAAAGAAAAATTTGATGCACGCCGCTTTTTATAAGTTTGGCATTTTTTTCCGTATTTTTATTTTATTATTTCATTTTATTAACGAAATTAAATTTATTTTGCCAGGAGCGCGCGGATAAATGAATTTTATTTTTTTCTTAAAAATGCAAGATACAAAAAAAACGTAATTTTATTAATTTAATATCAAGCTCATAAAAAAGCAATGGCGTGCTCAAATTTTTCTTTAAAATATCTAGTTATGATGAAAAATATATAAAAAGGTGCCAAGTTTTATAAGAATCGGCCAAGTAATTTTTGAAATATTTGAAAATAAAGGTTTTATTAACTTTATCTTGAAAAAAAAAGCTTTAAAACATTTTTACGAGTTCTATTGCATATTATGTAAAGTCTAATACGAGTTTGTTAAAACAGAAAATCCCTTAGAAAATTGATTTCCATTAAAATTTAAAAACTTCAAGTCATGTGTCAAAGATACTATGATACTATGTTGTGTAAAGAAAAAATACAAATATGTATATCAGTTTCAAAGATTTTTTTCTGTGCAGTAATAATGCAATAAATAAATATTCAGTTAATTAGTCTGTTGCGATGTATAAATATAATTCAACTGTAGATAACAATCGAGTAATTATTGCAAATGATATTCAAGATTTTTTACTCCAAGCAAATTCAATACATTTCAATTCATTCAGCATAAACGTTTACTGACTTTGCTAGGCAACTAACTTTTCGCAAAAAAATATAAAAATTGGGCTATAAAAGTACTTCTTTATGTAAGTACGAGTTTTTTCAATTAATTATCTTATAACTTTTGTTATCGCAAACCCGATAAATATGCTGCCAAAACTTTTATATCTGTCTGTTTGTACACAAAGACTGCATATGTTTTAAGTGTAACAACCTATTTTTCTACCTATTCCAAAATAATATTTCAATAATTTTTGCCATACTTACTTTTGCTCCCGTTACTTTTCGGTTCATAAAAAACATAGCCGCGTGCGATTTAATTGATCGAAATACAATTAAAGAAAAAATTATGAAATCTAAGACATACCACATCGAATCCCACTTCATAGTGAGTGCCCCTGGTGTAAATAATCGGGATGCATTGCCTGCGTCCGATGCTTTCAGTAACGGGCATTTTCAGTTTCAGGCACTTCAGCGACCGTAGTTCGAATGAGGCGTCGCGCACGAATCGCACGATGTCCGACTAGACGCCTCCAGTCTCTCTACTTATGAATTAGAGATAATCCCCACTTTTTCTATGATTACACTCTCAGCTGTCGGGAAATCATAGTATTTTACGAGAAATATTAGAGACACGTTTTTCGTACAGACAGATCTGACGATCCTAAACGCGAATCCAAGCCAACAACAAAATTGGATTATATGCCCAAGCGGTCCCGGATTGAACACAAATTCTCGTTTATCAAAAAAAGTATTCATATAACAATGCCTGACTCATTAGATATTGTCAAAGCATTTTCGTAACGCGATGTCAATATTTTGGACAGGCCGTAATATTGTTTATAAAATAATGTCAACAATTAAACCCTCTTGTATGTATATTTAATGTAACAATAGAAAGATCAATACATGCACACACATAAGTTACATCCAGAAAAAAAGGTTTTTTTTGTCAAAAGAAATCTCACTGCAAATTGAACAAAACTGAAAAAAATATATTACACTAAACAAGATAAATTAACATAATACCGTGACCCAACTTAGATTCCTGCATTATATATAAGGTTATTCTTTATTAAGCTTTTAATTGCACTGTGAGAAATCGTGAGAGGCAGATGGGGGCATTTTGTGAATTGTTAATTTTCCTAAAAGGAATGTTAAACAAGTAGGTGCTTCTAACAAGTCAATATTATACCAAAATTATAAAATTATGTCTATAAGCAAAATACTTACAAAAAAAATTAAGCTGAACTGGTTTATATTCTGTGAATATACGTAAAATATACATTCCAAACGTAGATGCGAAATTGATTCTGCCATAGATGTACGCAAAATATAAATTATATTTTTGATCAACGTTGTATCAACGTTTATTTTCATCGAGAGAAGCTATACAGTCTTACATTATAAAAAAAATAACTCAAAAAAGATATGTCACAAAGTATTACAGCTAGCGCCCTCAAGCTGACGTTCTATGCACTATGACACCGAATCAACGCTGTGAAATAATAGACAATCGCCTTGTCGAATTTTGAATATAAAAATAGGTTGAGTATGGAAAAAAATTAGTTTGGATAACCAATACTTTTATATAAGACGTGTTCATAATTATTGTAATTCATTAGAGACCTTGTATTACTAAACCAAAATAGCCACTGTTTGAGCGCAGAAGAAGAATAAGAGGATCCTATAGGGTATTTAAAATTTCGTTTTCGTTAGGATGTCACCACTGAAACGCAACAAGTTGTTTGGCTTTTAAAAACACCAAAATCCGTTAATTAACCTAACAATATTTATTATATTAATCAATTATAAATACAACATCCGCATTAAAAATTGAACCAAGACAGATATAAAAAAAAGCAGGTTTTTGCGAGAAAAATGGTTAAAAGAAAATCAATCCCAAAAAAGGCACCACAATCGCCAGGCAAGAGAAGAAAGACCCAAACCCAAATGTATCAAATAGGCACTAAAAATTTTAAAGTTAACTCGACCACCCTAAGGTCCATAAAAAAGTTACAAACTACCACAACGTTGTGTATTCCAAGACTGCCCTTTTCGAGGTTGATTAGGGAGATTATAATGGATTTGTATAGAATCGATCATAGGATAGAAAGACAAGCATTGGTGGCCCTTCAGGAAGCCGCGGAGATGTACTTGACTTACCTTTTCGAGGACGCTAATCGCTGTGCACACCACGCCAGAAGAGTCACTCTCTTACCCAAAGACATGCGTTTAGTGTTAGAAATAAAAGGATGCAGCGATCCTGGCTACAATTATTAATTGATTTGACGACTGTGTAAGGATTATTGTAAATTATTTTTTGTTTTTACCAGTAGCTTAATGTTTTATATATTCTTTTTGATTTTATAATAGTGTTCAACACTACAAATTGTACCTCATCAATATAAATTTGTTAGAACGATTCAATTATTGTAATAATAAAGTTGTAATATAATTAGGTTCGTATCTGTTGCTCTTAAAGTTGAAATTCACCCCACTTCTGAGCCAATAGTGGCATTAATTTTTTTTTTTAGATCAGACGAAACCCCCCAACCTAAAAAAATAAAAACGACGCAATGGCTTAGCTAAGATTTATATTAATCCATTATATAGGCTTTACAAAATTATCAACCGTTATAAAATACCGTACAACCGTCACCTATGTCGCCTCTTTCCTTTTTTTAAGGGCGAGCCGTAAGCTTCTCCTCAGTGGTGTCGAGCTCGTGTAACTAGATTTATCCATTTCCAACCAGCTGTTGCTGTCTTCTAACGTGTCCTGGTTCCTGAAGAACCACTTGCCCACCATCCCATCCCACTGAAAGGATTACAACAAATATTAGGCACAAATGTGGTCTCTATAGAACCACTTTACTACCAACCCATCCCACTGAAATTATAACAAAAATTAAACGTCTTCGATAGAGGGTGAACCAGTTCCGGGAACTGGGCACGGCGCGTCTCGATTTATAAGCATACCGGCCGTTAACGTATTAAGAAAGAACGATACGTAATCACTCGTTTTTTAACAGCCGGTACACCTTCAAACTGGGACGCCCCGTGTATATACAAACCGACGAGTGCACGAAGACGAAACGTAACAAATAACACCAACATCACAAACAAACGTCTTTTTCTGATACGTACCGAAGAGCTTAAAATTTCATTCCTTGTGGGGTGCCATGCGACGTCCCTGACGCAGGCGACGTGTCCGTTTATATCCCCCTTAATTTTACCGGTTAGGGAATCGTACACTGAAAAAAAATAATTTCAGCAAAAGTATGTCAAAATATCAACTATACGTTTACCTATAACCCTCCCCATGCCGCACCCCGTGTAGATATACCTCTGGCCAGTGGTCTCCGCGGGAGAAAACCTGCACCTGACCAGAGTTTTTATCACGACGTGGCCTCTGTACGTCATAACTGAAGTGTCCCCTTCCAGTTTAGACCTCGATGAATATACTGAAACAGGTCGATTATAAATGAAATACGACTCGCGAAAAAATTTACAAATTCAAAGTTAATTTCCCGCGAATGGAATTTACGATATCCAATAATTTTAAATACTGCTTGTCGCGCTGAGACAGATAAACAGACATTTGCGATTAGAGATGGATTGTATTAAGATTGTGTTCCGCATAAAGCTGAGATGCTTGTACAGAGTTTTGATCACATTCCCCGTAAATTATAATGTCTACAAGTTGATTCTGTGTAATACATACGTACATTATCTACTAAATTAATGTCAGTGCGCTAAAAACTTGATACAAAACTTCCAAAAACACCCTTATAATAGTGGTGTAAGTATGGATCTTTGCAAAACTCCCTAGTTCTATAAAGAACTCTGCAAAGTGGCATTAGTTCACTATTAACTTCCTAAATTTTAAAGTGTTTTAATGTGAAAACGAGAAAATTAGAAGTGGCAAGTTTTTTTCACTTAGAAAGCGAATCTTTATCTGTCGAAAGCTTTTTTTGACGTCTAACACTAACAACGCTCTTCCATCATTCAGTTTAGGTGTTTGAGTTAGAGAACTGAAATTGTAACGAATTAATCGTTTTTCTTTGAATTAGAAGTAATGAAGAGGAATTTTGTTTTCAATTGCGTTAAGTATAATTTTTTCTGGAAATTTAAAAAACCAGATTTGCTGTCCACAAGAAAATCATCTCTGAAATTGACACTAATTTTTCATACGCACCGATTTTCATTTTCAAACTTGGTGAGTAAACTCATTTCACCCTCCTTTACAAAAGTTACATATCCATAATGTGTGTGTTTGTTTTTAGGGGGTGAAAACTACCCCTTCTTGCAAAAAACGTAAAAACCATACATTTAAATGTTACATCAATAGAATAAGCATACGTTTATGTTTTGAATAATAATTTTTGATTTGTAGCAATAATTCAACCCTTAAAATCCACCCTTTATAAGGAAAAAAAACAAAAATTAATTTTCATGGCTCTGAAATGTTTTGACAGAGCAATAATGAAAAATTGAATATTTTTTACTGTTTATGAAATATATATATGATTATTGCAACATTTGAACCACCCTTATTGCAGAAAACTCTTCATTTTCGAGATTCTTAGGTTTTAAGGGCTCAAAGAAGGGCCGCCTTCTTACACGAAAATGCAAATTAAAAAACGTAATCTCAGTTAATTTTTGCTCTACAGAAAAATTGAAAGGGAGCGAAAATATTATAAAAAAAGACCTTTAATTTTGAATACTTGCATTTTTCACGTATCTTGTTCAATTTTTGAGTTATTTCGAAAAAAACATGTTTTTAAATAAAAAAAAAAATTTTACCTTTTTTTTTAAATTTATGCATTCTAAACCGTTCAAACTTGCAGAGCCTATTATTAGTACCTAAATAAAGTCAACTGTACATGGATTACGCTTAGTTTCTATTTTTATGGTTCAGCCATAGATTTTATTGTCGATTTTTTCTCCGAAAAAATGAGATGACAATTTTAATTTCATCATAACTCAGCGAGTGTTTGAGCTACAAAATTTTTTCAAAAAGCATTTTAAAGGCCTTTCCAAGCACTTTTAAAAAGGTTATATTCATTTTCTTCGAAAAATTAGTTCTTTCGCCATTATTTTATGGTAAATGGTTCGATTTTACTTTCCGAAAAATAAACAATCACTTTTAGAGAGCGATAACTCGGTTATTATTACATCTACAGTAATCAACAAAAAATGATTCGATTCGTTATTTCAAAAGCTTTATTTTTCCTTTATATGGGTTTTTCGATAAAACGCAAGGTTTTCGAGTTATATACCAAAAATGGTTGAAAAACATGCACTTTTTCGATGAAAATTCAACATATATAACTCGGAAAATATTAATTTTTGGAAAAAGTTTATAGAGCATTTTTTGCTTAGAATTCATCATCGGCACTATGTAACTTTCGTTTTCTACTTACTGTTAAAATTTCACGTCAATCGGTGCATATGTCAAGAATTCGAACATAAAAACCGTCATATACTGAGCTATATCCTGACCTTCATCAGTGACGACAAATAGGGATACGTAACGAAATTAATTTGGTAAAAACTCACGTTTTCTAGGCACCTCCTGCCACCTATAGTCCCAGGTCTGGTCGTGAACCGCCTTCAGCGATTTCTCTGCCGCCTTCTCCCCCGAAAACACCCTCACGTCCCACAATTTAATGCTCTGATCTTTGCTGTTCGATATCAAATGCCTACCGTCGCCCCTCGAATCAATGAACGTGATGCCGTCCATGTGCCCAGCTAAAATGCCGACGGACTTCGGCTGACTCTCGTCCAAAGTTCTTCTGTCCCACACTTTGATGAGACCATCATCTCCACCGCTATAAATAATATGGGACGAGTCATCAGCAAAAACTACACTATTTACATCGTATTCATGGGCTGGAATCTAGAGACATAACGCGAAATCGTGAAGTACTTCCTAGTCGAGCGACGCTGGCCGTTGACGTGTCCCGAATATGCATTTTCGAGTTTCAGCTCAATCGTTACCGCCTAGATTACAAAGCCCCACTGCTGTGATGGTCGTTTTACCGGCACAAATTTAAATACAAGCAAAAAACAACATTCATTAAGTCACTCGCTGGCTTTGTATTACAAGTGGTAACAGCTCAATGCATATTCAGACACCAACAGCTGCACTTCCTTACCTTCAACGTGCTACCGTGTCTCTGAAGATCGTATATATACAGGCACCCGTCGTTCGCCCCGCCTAACAACTCCTTGCCGTCCGACGAGAAAACTACGGAAAAGACACAGAATCGACGGCCGGTGTTCAAAAGGCTCAGGGGCTCTTGATGTTCCGAGTCATCGTTAACGGAACACAAGTGTACTGAAAGAAAAAATTGGTAGCGTGGTACTTCTCGTCAAAGGAAAAACTTACACGACGAGGACCATGTAGAGTATACAAAATGCTGCCTGTCCGGGCTAAACGCCACGTCTATGATGCTCCACCCAACGTCTCTGGCTCGAAACGACTTAAATAACCTATAAGATCCGTCTCCTGAATTGTGCAATCTTATATAACGATCTGAAAATATAAGTAAAACTCAGTAGTAACTAAGTTTTAAAAGGAAGCAACTACGGGTTTCTTACTTACCCTGGGACGCTGTAATGAAACAGTTACCATCCTTGGAAAAAATGCCACAAAATACTTTTCCAATACAATCGCCTAACACAGACATCTCATTCGGTAAATATCTATTAAATATTTTACATTTATTCCCTCGAGAAAAATTATTATTTGTATACATTCCTCTCTGAAAAACAAAATCGATTATTCTTCAAACTATCTCACTCAAACGATTATAAAAAAAAAAAACTTAATTCTCAACTTTGGTCTCCATTAAAAAAATACAAAACTTAAAAATGTTTAAAGAACCGTTCCCAGGACAAATTTAACTAAAAGTAACAAATCAATGTAACACAATAATTATCATCAGTCCCCGAGTGCTAACAACAACAAATAATTCCATACCTCTCTGTTTTGCAGCATGTTCGTAATATTTTTTTCCTTAGATATGTATTTCCTTTGCAAATCTATCAGGCCAGCAGCTTGTTTCGTTATGAAAGAGAACTCACTGGACTAAAAGAAGAAAGAAATTGAAACTACCATACCAAGCGAGTCAACAATAATTACTTACATCAAGAGTAGTTGTGTTAGGTCTGTGAGTTATTTTTGGCATAGGAGGACTGTAATAGCTGTCATAATCGTTTGTTATAATATGAACTTGGCCACTGAAAAAAATATGTTCATAGAAAGAATTGTTAACGGTAAGATGTATTTCATGATATTCTACTACACATTTTCATGACTCAAATAAAGTTCCTGTCAATTTCTGACTTTAATTAAAAAGTAGTGTTTTATTAGATTTTTGTTTTATTAACGTGATAGGTATGTTGATAAAATGGATGCGTATTTAAAAGTTGAATAAGATAAAATAAATTTAGATTTCAATCATATCAATATCCTTAATATTTTTTACAAACTATTTATCCGGTATTTTAAAACAACAAATTTAAAAATAATATATAAGACAATTCGTTGATATCGTTTTCAAAAATTGCTAATCTGCAAGTCATTCATCCTTTACACCATATTACACAAATTTCTTATCTCAAGTTGGTAAGTAATCAAAACATAAAACTGGATATTTTCTCTCATTATTAAAATCACTTATCATCAGGATAAAAAACATCGATTATACTTCATTAATGTTGCAAAAATTAAAGAAGGCCCTTATCAAACAATTTCATATTTAGAACATTGTTTCCTCTTTCATGCTGGAAGGGATAGCGGCAAACTTCCAGTCCCAATTGTCTTTCAACATATGAATTTTAATTAAGAGGTATACCCTCACCTGTTTACCAAACTTTGTAAAAAATGTGCATAATTATGTGGCAAACCCTGTTCAGAGTCGGAATCAGATCCAGAATCTGAATGGGATATGCTCGAGTCTTCATCAGCCATCCTTCTGGAGTTGTACGAGCCCATAGGGTTCGGGAGTCGTCTTGATGATTACAATTCAACGTTAATTATTCATCTAAGCGACTGTTTATCATAACTACAAACACATATCTTACAACCGAATATCACAGACAAGAGCAAAGATTAAGATATTAAGACAAACTTTTGTGGGAAATTGACAGTTCTATTTATGCAACCACAAATTTTTACAAAACAAAAACCATCTGATTTACGTCAGTGGTGGGAAGGCACGGAGTCAAAAGAATTACTAAACGAGATAAAGGAAAAAAACATAAGATGTGGATCGTAAATCTGGCCCATAATATATTGCTCATGGAGTTATTAATTTCGATGTGGTTTAATACATTTTGACTTTATAAAATCAATTCAAAATTTGTAAAAATATTATTGGTTAGGCTATTTTTGGCGAAGCTACCTTTTCGAATTGTAAGATATTATCAGTAATGTTATGACGTCTTTCAATGTTTCTGTACATAATACTCTTTCTTATTGTAATTCTTCAAAGATAATTTTAATACTTAAGAGTCTATATCTATGTCTGGTTCAACTAGTTTAATTCCATTTATTTTATGTACCTACCTAATTACTTATCAGTAGTTACTTTACTTTGGTCAATGAGAAGGGAAATTTAGTTTTATAGGTTTTTTTACGTGTCGTACCGTTGGGCCGGTTTGTTGACGTGTATCTATTTGGTTAGAACCACATTATTGGTATTGAAAGGTATTGAAACAGAGTTGAAATAACGACTATACTTTTTTATTAAATAATACTTCAAACTAAAACATGACTCCGAAAATCAATGTCAAAGAAAGGTTTACCGATGGCGAAATTGATCTCAGTATGTCAGATTTGGAAGAGGTTCCAGTTAAAGATATTGTAAGTTTGTCGACATATTTTTTATTGTATTTAATTTTGCCTTTTTTTAGGCACTGCTGAAAAAAGCGTATGGTTTGGATTTATCAAATAACCGGTTAACATTCCTCCCAGTAAGTATTATTAAATAAAATTATAATCTAAAAATATATTTTATTAAAATAACATGGTATTATAGTAGGTATCCACAAAATCGAAAAATAGGTATATAATTTATTTTAGTTTAAACCATAACCATATGAATAGTAAATTTTATTAAAAAATCTTGACAAACAAAAATTTAGTCATAAATTAGAAATGTTTACAAACTATTATAACCAACTTTTAGCTTGAAATATTGCTATCCTCATTTTCCTTGCCTTTTTCTTCTTGCTTTCCGCTTTTCTCAGGTAATTGCTCATCCTCTATTTTATTGCTATCTTTCTCCCGTATCTCACTTTTTTCAACTATTTCGTCTGTATTTTTGCTGCTATACCCAGCATCTTCTTCATTTGAACCTATCTCTGCATCCCCATTCTTTGAGGAGCCAGCATCAGAAATAAAAAAATTTGTGATTGGCTTCTGCCATGATGGTGCCTCACAGTGTGGTATTGGTGGGAGACGGTTACTTCCTAAAACGATAGCATTCTTGTTAAAAAAAAAGTTAGATGTTAGGTAAAGTATCTTTACCACTAGATTTCCCACTTGGGGTAGATGTGGATCGGCTGCCTCCACTACTAGTTCCACCACCTCCGCTTTTCTTGGATGACTTTCCAGCACTTACTAAAATAGTAATTTATTTTAGAAAATGAAATTTCTCTTTTTGTAAAAATACTAGGAAAATTGAAGTAGTTGTTTGAGGTTATGTTTGAATTGTAAATTATATATTTCAGATATTATGAACTTACTTCTAATTCCCCCTGATGTTCTGACCATTGCTAGGATTTAATTTTTGCAAATTTCTGATCTAAAATTGCTATTAATGTAAAAATCGATTGTTACACGTGTGTACTTTTTTGCACATTCTTTGAATCATTTGGCAAATTGGCGGCATATTAGCACTTTCTTTTCTTCCTCTTCTCTACTAGTAATGCCAACATTAACATTACCAACTATAAATTGCGAATTTTGATTTGGATAAAAATCTAAATCATTTTTTCTGGTTTCAGAAAAATTTTCCCACCTTAACACACATCACCAAATTAGATTTGAGCAAAAATGAACTCAAAGAACTCCCTGAGGACTTTGGGAATTTGACCAAACTGAAATATTTAGACTTGTATCAGAATCAACTTCAGCACTTGCCTCTAAGTTTCAGTAAATTAAAAGACTTAAAATTTCTGGATTTAAAAGATAATCCATTAGTCCCTACAGTGGCTAAAGTGGCTGGTCCCTGCCTTGATACAAAGCAGTGTCAGAGTTGTGCAAAGGACATAGTAAATTTTTTTGTGAAACTAGAAAAACAGGTGAACTCAGAGCTTGAAAGCCGAAATAAAACCAGGCAAAAACAGCTTGAGATAAATCAACAGAAGAAACAAGAGGAGAAAAAGCACAAGAAAAAGGAAAAGCAGAAGTTGAAGCAAGAAGCAGCGGTTACTAAGAAAAGTAATTCTGTCAAAGATAAATCGGTGAAAGAAAACAGCAAAAAAGCCAACATAGAAACTGGTAAACAGAAGGAAAGGCCCTCTTTTATAAAAAATGTTTTCATCGTACTTCTCTTGACAAGTATCATACTTTTTGTCTTGACTTCAATAAAAGTTGAAGTAACAAAGAATGTGGAACGACTGACTGTAGAGTTGTATGGTAGGGGTTTGGAAAAATTGCCTCCAAACATTAAGATCTACGGCACACAGGGTGGAAAATTTATTCATAAATTTCATGAAAAGACTGGCAATATAACGTTAAGTGCAATTAAGTTTATACATGATAATGTCATTTCTAAAGATAAACTTGATGGACTCTTTACGAATTTGATAACCTTATTTGAACATATTGTTAAGAAAATTAAAGATGTTTATAATAATGTGACATCAACTTAATACATTATATTTTGCATGTATTGTTTATTTTTATTTTTCCTTGTGATTTATATTTACCCCTTATTTACGAAACGAGCAGGGGTATATGAATTTTCGAAATAAGAAATAAGTGGACAAGAACATTAAAACGCGTATAATAGGCTGTTTTCGAACGCACTTAAAATCGATGTAAATGCACCCTAAGCCCTAAGTTAAGTATCTCTAACTTCACTTCAATCAAATGTGATTGACATTTGAATTTGACTTGTTTATGTTTATATTTTCAAATGATTAGTGATTAATACAAAGATGAGTTTCAGATATATTTACCATAAAGTATAGAATAAATGACTCAACTTTGATAATAAAAAGTTTCTGCTAACTAAAAATATATTTACTGGTACAGAAGTAAGTTTTTACTAAAAATATAACAAAAAAGGCTTTTTAAGAAACCTTCAAAGGGGCTTTCATGATTGATCAAGAGTTTAATTTAAATAAACTTCATTCCTACATATTATATTTACATACATAAATACTTTTGATAAGAACTTTTGCTGTTATACACTTTACGACCTTATAGGAAAAGAATTTTGTCAAAAAACTAGCTTGTGACATCAATGAGAATTGTAATAATCAATACTTTAGTAAGTATTGACACACTTACGAGGTTAATGTATCAGATAGTCAAATTTATATGCGTAGTCAGTTCCCTGATTAATTGCAAATATGTGAAGCAGACACTTTACATAAGTACTCTGTTTTTCATTGAAAGATAACCACGAGTGGCCTATTACAGATAAGGAATTGTTTGTTTTGTGTACAGGTCAAGCACTTATCATAAATACCGAGGAAGCTGATGTATTTCATATATGTGTGTAGTAAATATGGCGGGTTTAAGGACTGTCGCCTTGCTGCTGACATTAACAGCGTCCGTTTTGTCCTCAACGGTCTTTACTCAAGATGACGAGACTAAGTATAGCCCGACTTGGGACAGTCTCGATGACAGACCATTGCCTTCGTGGTACGACGAAGCCAAATTTGGTATTTTTATTCACTGGGGAGTGTTCTCTGTGCCTAGCTTTGGATCCGAATGGTTTTGGTCTCAGTGGAAAAGTACGTACATACTTGTATAACTTTATTATTGTAATAAGACCGATGTTATTTTTTCAAATTTATACTTACAATTAGATTGGTTGAATTTAACTTTGTAATACTTTTTAAGATAATAATAAGAAGTATGTAGATTACATGGAAAAGAATTATGCACCTGGTTTTACGTACCAAGAGTTTGCTAAAGATTTTAGGGCCGAGCTTTTTGACGCAACGGAATGGGCGAATCTGTTTAAAAAATCTGGTGCAAAGTGAGTAAAGTGTATTTCCGAGAAAAGGTAATTAAAGGCGATTTTTTTAGGTACGTTGTGCTGACCAGTAAGCATCACGAGGGGTACACTTTGTGGCCCTCGAATTATGCTTATAGTTGGAATTCTAGGGACATTGGGCCTCACAGGGATCTTCTCGGTAAGGATTCAATTATTAAAAATATGCAAAATTTTAGAAGTACAATAGTTATTTCCGATTTATTTTATATTTTTAAAAATTAGGCGAACTAGCTGAAGCGGTCAGAGCCAATAACTTGACTTTCGGTGTTTACCACTCGCTCCTGGAATGGTTCCATCCGGTGTACGTATCGGACAAAAGCTCAGGTTATACTAAACAAGAATTCGTCGATAACAAGATCATACCGGAAATGAAAGAACTCGTCAACACTTACAAACCAGATATCTTGTGGTCTGACGGGGATTGGGAAGCGCCGGACTTTTATTGGAAATCCACCGAGTTCTTGGCTTGGTTATACAACGAAAGTCCTGTGAAGGACACAGTGGTGGTAAACGATAGGTGGGGCGTGGGTACTCCTTGCCAACATGGTGGTTTTTACAGTTGCAGCGACAGATATAATCCAGGTAATTTCTTTGATAAATCGTTTCCAAATGAACTTATTTTTCACGTGTCTCCGAAATCATTTTCAAAATTTTCTTTCGATTTAATGCTGCAGCGATAATAAAAAATTGTTTGACTTTATAATTTCTAAAATTTTAAATACTTTTTTATTTTTTAAATTTTTATTTTTTAATTTTTTATTTTTTTTACTGCTCTATTTTTTTTATTTTATTATTTTTTTTGAATTATATAAATCTGTGAACACGTGCTAATTTCTCACTAAATTGGACGCATTCCACCTAACAAATTTATCTCGTTGATAAAAAAAATATCTGTCGCATCAGAAAGCTAAAACGCATTCTTTTCCTATTTACGTAAAATTAAAAGAATCTGAATGAAACAGAATGATACGAGATTTTCAAAGTATCATTAAGATTATTTCATTTTTGTCACTTGTAACAATTGTTTGATTAAATGTAAATTTTGAATCGATATATTTTTAACAGATTGCGTCGTGATAAAAAAATCACTTATTTATCATTAAGATTATTTCATTTTTGTCACTTGTAACAATTGTTTGATTAAATGTAAATTTTGAATGGATATATTTTTAACAGATTGCGTCGTGATAAAAAAAGATTATTACAGATAAAATTTCCGAGTACTATATTCTTATTGTGAATTTATATCAATTAATTGTGAAAAGGGAAACAACAGAATACTTAAAAGATTTAACGTATGGAAAATTTTGCACCGTCGTTAAAATGTTTATTATCTAAATCGATATTACAGCAGATACTTAACGCTTCTTTAAAAAAAAAAAACAAGGGTGTTACAATTTGAAGTGGAACACACTGTATGCATTTATTTTCTTACAAAACAATTTTTTTTGCATTAATTATACCTTAACCCGAGTTTCCTCAATACAAGTGAAACATCTTCAGAGATAACCGTCGTCGTCAAAATATTTTTCCCTCTAGTACCAATTTTTATACGACTAAGAAACGTGACACTCTCTTTGCGAGAATATTAAATCCGCAGACGATGGATGTTCGAAATCACTTTTTTTTCAGGAACCCTTCAGGTGCACAAATGGGAAAACGCCATGACGATCGACGCGGCCTCGTGGGGCTACAGACGAGAGGCCAAACTGTCCGAGTACCTCAGCACACTTGATCTAATTTCCCAACTAGCCTCCACCGTCAGCTGCGGAGGTAATTTCCTAAGCTAACCCAATTCGTAACGCTCCTTAAAACGCCCCCCCTTCCAGGCAACCTCCTAGTGAACATCGGCCCTACTAAAGACGGCACCATCATCCCCATCTTCGAGGAACGTCTGACTCAGATGGGACAGTGGTTGGAGATAAACGGAGAGGCTATTTACGGTACGAGCCCGTGGACTTACCAGAACGATTCCGTGACCAAGGGCGTTTGGTACACCAAGAAGGACAGCGCCGTTTACGCTATTGTGCTGCACTGGACTTGGTCGGGTGATAATATGGTGTTGGCGTCTCCCTTGGAGCTGTTCCAAGACGCCGCGACTACGGTGACCCTGCTCGGGAATGAAGATGACGGAAATTTACCGGTAAGAAAAAATGTTTGCGTTTCATTTCGGATTTTGAAAAAAATGTATCTAATTTCTCTAAAATATCCCCTGAAACTTGGGATTTGAAGTAATAAATTTTTCTTAGCCATAAAAAAATAATTTGTACGTGTAAACCTGCAGCAAAATATATACTCTTATTTCAGTGGACCGTCGACGATACCTACGTTACCATCACTTTCCCCGATAAGGCGACCGCTAAAAGCGAATGGGCTTGGGTGTTGAAAATAGAACCAAAATCTGCTAATAATGAACTTTAATTGTAATTTTATAAAAATATCTTCTCAATAATATGTAGATAAAATAAAACGATTTCATTTGATAACAATTAATCCAAATATACATGATAATAAAGTGCGTCTTATTGTTGCATAATCGTTACAGGCCTTTTCAGAGTTGAGCAACTTCGTACAGGTAGGCACCGAGGAGTTTCGTCTATATGAAATAAATGATATTAATATTCGGACATTGAATTTTCTTAATATTTAAAAAGTTACAGAGCTGGTCACTAAGGATCTAGATACAATTTTTACAAATGAAAACTGAAACTATACATATATTCCCATGAAATTAAGTTACCAAACTAATACAGCTGGCAATGATTAACACAAAATACCCTAAAGTCAATAATTTAGGGAATTTTATGTTAATCATTGCCAACTATATTTGTTTGGTTGCCTAACATTTACAATCACAGACTCAAGAATCACTAAACACTTTGTTAGAACGTCAAAAATAAACTGAAATACTGTAAATTCTATATAATATGTAAAAGGTGAATTAGAAAAGATAAACAATGAATAAATATACAATAAAAGAATAAATATACAATAAAATAGATCGAAAAATAAAAAAGATAAGAAAATCAGTCACTTACCCCTCCAATATAATTCCTAAGGTCCACCTTCTCGTTCTGGGCGTGGGCCCCGTCATCCCCGGCTCCTACCGGCAGAAGTATCGTGTTTTTTCCTGTAACCTGCTGGAATGTTAGAGTGACGGGAATTGAACCTCCCTCCCGTGTCAGGTCTGGTTCGATATTGTACACATATTTTGTAGCCTTAATCGCTGCACCGTAATGGGGATGGGTTGGATCTTCTGTCCAAGGGTAGCCTCCGTCGGCCATATATGCCTGTTGATTTAATTTGGTGTATTATACTCTTATGTAGAATAATAATTTATGATTGTATTTTCGTCTATATTTGATAATTTCTATTTCCGACATCGATTTTATTTATTTGAAGTATTGTTCACATAAAAAGTTACCTTCATTTTATTCGGGCTTCCCCTCTCCTTCCACAGTTTCTCTAAATGATCAACGACATATTTTTCGATCTGCTTTGGTTCTTGATTCGGTACAATCCTGATGGAAAACTTCCCGATGACTTTCCTAGGAATCACAGTCTTTTGGCCGGGTTCGCTGAACGCTCCTTCGATACCATGAATCGACAGAGACGGGTATCTCCAACGGTGCATCAGAATTGTTTCCTTTACCTCGTTGTGAAGCAAACGTTCGCAGCCTACACTAGCACGATATTCCGCCACGTCGAAATCTATTTTTTTATAAATCTCATTCTCTCCCTCCACAATGGGGGCCACGTCCTTGTACAGTTCCGGTATAAGAATTTTCCCGTCTTTATCTACTAACGTAGTTAAAAGGTACACCAGGTCTGTCATAGCTTCGTGACTGGAATAATTATAAGCTTATTCCTATGAAACTTCAAAATAAAGATAAAGAAACTTACACTGTACCCCCAAAAACACCACTGTGCAAATCCTTAGCAGCGCATTCCACTTCGACAAAAAAATAACAAACGCCTCTTAAGCCGTACGTCAGGCAAGGTCGATTTATTCCCAGCCAATAATTATCGGATATGCAAATAAAATCAGTACCTGCAAGAAACTTATCTTTCTCGGCAAAAAGGAGATCATCTAGTCCTTCACTGCCACATTCCTCCATACCTTCAAATACAAACTTAATATTTACGGGTACTTCCATCCCGAGTGCCTGAAATCCTTCGATGGCATGAATCCAGCACAAGACGGGCCCTTTATCATCAGACGCACCCCTTCCAAATAATTTTCCATCGCTCTCGGTTAGAACAAAGGGTTCCGACGCCCAACCATCTTCTAAATAAGCGGGTTGAACATCTAAATGACCATAAATGAGTACAGTCTTCTTATTAGGATCACTGCCTAGGCTTCCTAGTAACACAGGAGGTAAAGGTATGGTACTACCGTCTGGCAGTTCCTCCAAGCCAACATCACGTAACTCTGTTTGAGCTCCCAATTTCTGTAGACGAGTAGAAACCCAGTTTACCATTTTTACGACTTCGTCTCTTTTGTGAGCCCATGCCGATACAGACTGAATAGCAACTGCTTCTTTTAAATTCTCTACATATTTTTGTTTGTTTTCATCTATATGCCTACAAATGTGTACTTTTATAGTTTTAAAAAGCAATTGCCCCCTGAATTAATAAGTATTAATTATTAACTTACTTAAACAACTGTAAAAGAGGTTCGGGAACAGAAGCACCAGACATTTTTCTTTCTAACTCTTAGGTTAAAAGTGGAAATGTATTTTTTGCTTGTTATACTACTTATACTAGTACTAGTAGTATTTTTTAATATGAACTAATTTTTATACTAAGCAGCATTTATATAATTTAATTTTAAAAACTGAATTTGTCAGTTTCTTATTGATATTAGAAGGGGAAATTGATAGCATCGAAATCGTTTCAAGATTTCTATTTCTTTCTCTTCACAGATTAACTCTGTGTTTGTCTTAACTCCAGAGGGTAAAAGTGCAATTTTTATAGGTAAATATTTCTTACTCCATCATAAATAGATTTAGAAAAGATTGAATTACTTGATAGGAAGGATGTTTATTTATACAGTTATTGAATAACAGATAAGTGAATATTGAACATTGTTCAATATTCAAGGAACAATGTTCAATATTATATATGTTCATTTCAATGAACATTGAACATTGAACAAGATATGAGCATGCCCTCACGCCGACATAACGCTACAACCTACAACCCCACATAACACACGTAGGTGTTATGTGCTACAATCCTAGAAAGTATTTCTCATATCTAGGCCTAGAGAGTCTAGAAACAATCACAGAAAAAATCATACATCTATTAGAAATGGAAAAAAAACGTAACAGTGGTGAAGTATGAAGTGAGATGCCGATACAAACAGGACGGTATAGGCATAGCCCAAGGCGTGGTGTGAACTTGGCTTAATTGACTTCGTCTTCTTCTGATTCGTAAATTTTATGAAAATCAAAACAATCATATAGCAATCATGGCTGGTCGTTACTGTATTGAAAAAGTTCAATAATACTTTTCCAGATCTAAAATGGAAAATGAGGTCACCGAAATTGAACTGGAAACAGACGAAACAAGTGCGAAACGATGCAGACTACCTCGAAGACAAACAGTGCAATCGAAAAAATTCTGTGCCAAAGAAGAGAGAAACGCATCAATAAAAAAAGTAAATAAACAAAAGCCCACTAAAACAGTATTCCTATTTATACATTTTGTTCAGGTTTCCACAATACTGCAGAAGGAAGAAACAGCAAGAACAACAGAAGAGAATCGAGTGTTATTAGAGTGTCCCGATGCAGTGGAAGAAGTACAAGAAAGACGGAGGAAAAGGGACGAGGCGAAAAAGAGGCTAGAAGAGTTTGAAGACCCTGAAAATGTACTGAAGGAAAAATGTCAGACACTGGCTCAAGCTATTGCTCAATCCCAACATTTGGTTGTGTACACTGGTGCCGGAATCAGTACAGCTGCTAAAATACCGGATTATAGAGGGCCTAATGGTATTTGGACCAGACTCCAGCAAGGCAAAGAAATTGGGTGTGTGTTCTTAGATGCCTTTGTTTACAACTGTTTTTTGATTTGTCCATTTTTTTTAGTGATCATGACTTGAGTCTGGCGGAACCAACATACACCCATATGGCACTGTCGGAGTTATATCGGAGGAATATTCTAAAGTACGTAGTCTCTCAAAACTGCGACGGACTCCATTTGAGATCGGGTTTACCAAGAACGGCCATATCCGAATTACATGGCAACATGTATGTAGAAGTTTGCAAGAATTGTAAACCTCATAAGGAATACTGGAGACTGTTTGACGTGACAGAGAACACCGCGAGGTTTTCCCATAAAACTTCGAGGAGGTGTTACACTTGCAATGAACCGCTTATAGACAGTATAGTCCATTTCGGAGAACGTGGAAGTCTGCAGTGGCCTCTGAATTGGTCGGGAGCATGCAAAAATGCGAAGAAGGCCACTACGATACTTTGCTTGGGTTCCAGCTTAAAGGTTCTGAAGAAATACCCGTGGCTGTGGCAGATGGACAAACCCGTGAGGAAACGTCCCAATTTGTACATTGTCAATTTACAATGGACGCCGAAAGATGACTTTGCCAATGTAAAAATAAACGGGAAATGCGACGAAATCATGCGAATCCTGATGGACATACTGGGAATCTGCGTGCCGAGCTACGACAAGTTAAAGGACCCCATTCACGCACACGCCACCCAATTAAACGAACTGGAGTTGCACACGACAAATCAGCCTTTACTTAAGTTGGAGAAACCGGAGGAGAATCAGCGTAACGAAGTACAAAAAGAATTTAAGAATAAAGACTGTTCTTTAGATAATAATTTTGATCTCGTTAGGAGCCCCGCGAAGAGACTCGCTTCGGGAAACTGTGATAATAGCAATAAAGGACTACAGCAGTGTCTTCCGCCGAACAAAACTAACTCTATATCGAAATCGTTCTCCATAGACAGCCTCCTCCAGCCGGACAGCGTTCGTCAGCCGGTAAACAGTTACTTGATACCTCAGCCCAGCACGCATGGCTACTTCGGGAGTGTTCTTAGTCCGGAACTGTCGCTGTTCAGTTACAACCTTCTCCGTCAACCAATGTTAGGTGCCTATTCGGATTTCTTTTTGTATCCGTATCAGACTAGTTTCTTGTACCCAGGTCTACATAGTATTATAAACCCGTTGCCCGCGTACAAGGAGGAACTAGTGCCGAAAAAGGAGGAAGTTCCGGAAACGACGACGCCGGTGTGCGAATTTTGTGATAGACAATTTAATTCCAACCTGTGTTTGTTTTATGAAAAGTCGGAACCAATATTCGTTAATCAGATGTTTAGGTATAGCAAGGTAGAGTTGAAGAATAAGGCGAACGTGTGCGTGTGTTGCGATTATTCAACGGACGAGGAAGACATGAGTTACGTCAGCGGATTGAACGATAAGGAGATTAATGTTAACAACTACAAGGATCAAATTAAGAGTAAAATACAAGCGGGGTGGTTTGGAAAAGGATACAAGAAGAGTCGGCGGCCCAAAAGGAAGTCCGTATGAATTCGTTTTGACTTCTGTTGCAGTATTAAATTAATTTTTTTTTACATTTTAATCCTTTTGACTGTCTAGTATATTTAAATTTTATATTTATTACTGTGTTTTTTATGTATTATAACTTAAATAAACATGTTAGATTGTTTCATTTTGTTATACAGTTTTATTTCAAAATAAAATTTCTATCTAAGTATTGATTTGTATTTCAAATTGCCACGACACACTCTGCTGATGAGAATAAGTTCGAAATTAATTCATAAGTGTTCGCTGTTCAAACATTTTACTAATTCTGTTAGATAAATAAATAAAACGTGTACCTATTCAAATATATTCAACTAATTAGATTTGTTCTACAATTATTTTTGGAACGGATAATAGTCCAACCCAGTATTATAATTAAATTTAGGTTTATCTAATTTCCTCGCTTGTTCAATGAGATCCTGGACATCTTTTCTGTAAGGCGGAGGTTTGCTTTCATCGTCCAAAGTACATTCAAAGGGTTCCTGTTCCGTCTTTTTATAGATTCTCCTTCTAATAATGTCAATGTCCCGGCCATATTCGTCTAGTAAATTATCTATGGTACTTGGGGGTACAGTAAACTCATACAGAAAATAACTGCAAATTGGTAAATGATATAAATATAGAAATAAATTTAATTTGATTATTACTTTGCTTTGTTATGGACTGCGCCGTGTGAACTTGTTTTGTAGGGCATATCCTTTGAACCCAAATTCTCTAGTTTTCTTATAATACCGCCTTTATTAAATATTGCGGTCGCAGTTCTCTTCAGAACATTGTGTAATTCGGGCTTCAAAAAAACACAAGCATTATCAAAAATATGTTACACGCAGTAGCTTACCTTTGCCAGGCCCCTCAATAGTATTAATAATTCATAAGTAATCATTTTATATTTCTTTTAAATATGATTAAAAACTTGGATTTTGGGTTACAAATTCATATTAAACATGAAAGACAAGAAACCACCGACTTCTAATTCTAATTTAAATAGAAGTCTGTGCATGAAACTATCAAACTAAATGGAAATTTTCAAATTGCTATGTGGCCTTATGCCTTATAGCCTTTTGGCTTTTGGCCCTTCACAATGTACAAGACTAAAGTCAAGACGTTACGTGGTTGCGTGCCGTTTAGTGCTGTTAGCATTGAGTCTATTAGCCTGTGCCAGGAGTACCACTACAAAAGTTCTGAAATAAAAGACAAAAGTTCCTTGATCTGCTCAGTGTTCCAACTTCCTAGCTGTGTAGAATCTAGAATTTTTTATCACATTTTTAGAGCACGAGGAGTTAAATTTTCAGATAATTGTGAGTATTTTGCTTTGTTATGTGGCATAAGTTTTTCGTTTGTGCTTGTCGATTTGTACCCAAATGTCAGATGGATCCACAGAGAAGCTGAAGAAATTTGTGTTTTCTTCCAAATATAACGTCGGCGAAGCTCAGGAAGAAAAACTAGAAGTTGTTATTCCTGAGGTACCGTTTTATCTATAACTTGCCATTTTTTATGAATTTATGTATAATTTACCGTATTATAAAATATATTTTTTTTTCAGCCGCTCCAGGCAAGTTACTCTTTTACCACTTGGTCATCCGCACCTGTCTTGGCTTGGTTCTTGTGGGAAAATCGACACGAACTTCCAGGTAAACGAGTGTTAGAACTAGGAGCTGGCACCGCCTTACCAGGAATCGTAGCAGCTAAGTGTGGTGCCACAGTAACCTTGAGTGAATCCGCAACTCTCCCAAAATCTCTATCGCACACAAAACACAGTTGCCAGTTGAATAACCTGATAATAAACCAACACGTTCGAGTCATCGGTCTCACTTGGGGGTTATTCTTAAGCAACTTGGATACTCTGGGTTGTATAGATTTAATACTCGGTTCAGATTGCTTCTTCGAACCTGCCAGTTTCGAAGACATTCTAGTGACCGTAGCATATTTACTAGAGCTCAACGTAGAAGCGAAATTTATTTGTACGTACGAAGAACGCAGTTCCGATTGGTCCATAGAGCACTTGTTGGCAAAGTGGGATCTGAGGTGTCAGGTGCATGATATCAGCAATTTGGGTACTTGTGCCGGCGTCGACATCCACGATTTGATCGGGGGACACAGTATTCACTTACTTGAAATTTCCAGGGGGTCTTAAATCGTAATATGGCTGGAAATGCAGTTCGAAGCTTATATAGGTTGTATGTAGGAAATCTACCGTGGACCGTGGGGCATAACGAGCTGAAAAAATACTTCAGCAAATTTGGTCACGTTAACGGCGCCACCGTCGTATTCGACAAGAAAACGGGTTTGAGCAAGTACTACGGTTTCGTTACTTTCAGCCACCGGGACGGTTTCGAAAACGCTACCTTTCAGTCTGCGCATAAACTCGAAGGCAACTCTCTCAAGGTTGAGAACACTAACTCTTAAAATGGCGAAGTTCGTAGATAACTATAGCGACCTTAAAGAACTAGGTATAGATTGCGAGGAGTGCGACGATTCCTTAACGGAGGCTTTCGGTAGGGCAGCCGATCATCTCAAAATTTTATTACCGAACGTAGACAATCAAACACTCTTGACCCTCTACGGGTATTACAAACAAGGTTCCGAAGGCGTTTGTTCCATCCCCAAACCCAGCTGGTATGACATGAGAGCAAAATCTAAATGGGAGGCCTGGCGAAAATTAGGGGACATGTCTCAGGTCGAAGCTAAGAAATTGTACATCGAAACCATCAAGAAACTAGACTCTAGCTTCGACGACACCGTCAGTCCTTCTACACCAAAAGAGCAATGGGTAAAAGTCTCGTCTATGCCCGACGAACGGAACATCGCTGAATCCGACAAAACGCTGGTCGATTATATAAAAGAGGGCAACGTTACGGAGGTGAAAGGTTGTTTAAAATCTCCTGATGTGTCCGCTTTGGTAAATGAAACTGACGAGGAAGGTTTGGCACCCATACATTGGGCAGCGGACAGTGGTTTTGTCAAGGTTCTTGAAGTTTTAATCGGCGCAGGAGCTGATGTGAACCTGAAGGACTCAGACGGGCAAACTGCTTTACATTACGCGTCCAGTTGCGGCCAAGCGGAATGTGTGAAATGTTTGTTACGGCACGGAGCTCAGGTCGATGTTACCGATAACGAGGGTTGTACGGCTGCGTCTGTAGCATCAGATGAATCTATTAAGGAATTGTTAAATACTTTTTAGGTTGCTAGCTCTTCTTGTAAAATGTAGTTAATAAATTATTCTGTAGATATACTGTAGTTTTATTGTGCGATATATTTTCTTCACTACTAACCATCTGACAATGTCTTTTTTACCTGCTACAGTACTCTCTATAAATAAACTGCTGTTTATATTTTTTTTGAGGCGATTAAAAAATTTTGCCAAAATATTCAAAAGCGATGGAAACGAAAGCGTTCTTATAAAAAGTAGATAGAATTAATAAAGTCCCTAGATATTCATAATTAAACTCGATAATTGCTGTTTTATTTAACTGTATTTGAGATCTCGGGTACATAAAAAATAAAAAAAATTTTTAGTTTTGGGCAAAACAGTCGGCGGCCATGTGGTCTGCTGCCATCAAGGACATTTAATGTCCTTGGCTGCCATAAATCAAATGAAAATATTGAAAGAAAATGCGGACTCACGATTTTATGAATTTTAGTTATCATAAATCTGGAAAAAATCGGTAGATGTTATATGACTTTCATTTTAATTTTTAATCTGTCTGAAAAAGAAATAGAAAACTTGTCTGGTCCACGAAATATGAAAACTGAGAGCGCTTTCACACTACTACGCGAAAACGCCACTTTTGTGGCGTTCTCAATGGTGATTGGTCAATTTTCTTATATCGACGTTGTCAAGGTCACTACGCTGAAAGTTGATTTAACTTTAACTTTTTCGCGTAAACGTCAAAAAATAAGCGATATTTATGTCCATTTATGTCTTATGTCATCAGTCATATAACATTTTAATTTGGTGTAACGGGTTTGTTTTATTATTTGGAAATTTTGAAAATCGTGAAATTATAATATAATTTGGAATGGAAGTGGTGAGTTATAGGTATTATAAATATTCCTTTTTCCATTTATTTTTGTAGAATTACAAGTGTGGCTACTGTGGTTGGTTATTAAATAACTATTGCCAAAATTACTGGGACCACAAATGTTTCACCGATTTCAATGAAAGAAGGCATGATCTCGTTAGTGATCCTAATAATGTACTGACTGTAGGTAAGTACATAACTTAGTTACATATAAGTTAGTGAGAAATTGATACAAATTTACACTAATGAACAATTTTTTTTCAAGTGGAAAAGCCGAGGGAAATGCTAAATAACTGTGAAACCGAATGTGAAACGGATTCACAGGAAGAACTAGAATTGGGTTCCAACTTCGATGAAGCAATAATTGCAATGGTGGCAGAAAGAAGGGCTTTGTATGATTTCAAGTTGCCTTTAAATCAAAGAACTAAAGCCAAAAAAGAAGATCTCTGGAAAGAAATTTCCAATAACCTGGGAGGTGTGGGTATTTTGCAAATCAAACAACGCTGGAAATATTTGCGTGATTCCTTTGTCAGGGCAAAAAAAAAAGTGAAAGAGTACAGACCAAGTGGATCAGCAGGAGTTTTACCTGTCGATCCAAAATTTAAGCATTATGATCTCATGCAGTTTCTTGATGATGATGCAGCACATAATAAGTTAGTATAACTATTTTCTTTTTATAATTGTTTAGCTGTATTATTTACCGACTTCGTTATTGCAGTAAAGGGTTTGAACAAAATGATATTTCAGGACTTACAGCTCAGTGCCTTCTGTACTACAACCACAAGCATCATTGACAACTAATAATACCGAAGATATGTTAAATCACAGTTCAAGTTCTTCAACATCAGCAAAAAGTATAACACTTTTTATCTTTAAATTATTTCAGTTCCTTTGAAGATTAAAGGTGGATTTAAATATAAAAAAACCTTTAAAAAATTTTTTCACAAAACCAAAAATTAACCAATTAAAAACAGAAACTTGTAAATTCTTAAATCTTAATTAGTGATTTTATAATAAGTTTCAGTCTGTTTGCAATCATTTGTCTTATTAATTTTTTACATTGTAATTCTTAACATTAGTTTTGCTTATTTATTTCTGTAAACCCACCTTTAAGCGAGAATCTGTTATATCACATTAGATAAATATTTTATATTCACCTATAGAGAGAAAAGCTGAAGAATCTGAAATAAATGCCAAAGTACTTGAGATTTTTTCCGAGGCAGTTACATCGCCCAAACAAATGTCAGGACTAGATGGATTTCTGATAAGCTTGGGAGAGGCTTTAGGAAAATTACCATATAGAAAAAGAGCTCAGCTTGAGATAACATTTTTACAGATGGCTTTTGATGCGGAAAATGATAATTAAATGTATTTCATAGGAATGTGAACAATAAATACGTTTTGTAATATTATTATGTAGTATTTATTAATCAACATTGAATATTGTCTAAATAAAGAACAAGACGCAAAAGCAGCACTGTGGTGCTTGAATCTGTAAATAATTATTACAATTAAAGAAAACAATGTACATAACAGAAAGATAAATACAGCATATGTGCAATTAATTTAAAAATCATTTTGTAAATATGTAAATATCTATTATTTACTTCAAAAATTGGCCTTGTCCAAATGCGCCTTCTGCCACGCAATCTTCTGTTACGACTATGTGCTGTTAAAATATATAAAGCAGCTATTTTTCTAATTTTCTTCTTAACTGATTTAATGCTTTCCTGATCTTTAAGCTTTCTCAATTTTCTTTTCAGAGCACATAAAACTAATGGAAGTTTTGAGGACATTTTATTAATGATGCGTTTTCAATTACAATACAACATAACCTGAACTCTGTTATCTAATTACTTCGATTACGCGCGAATAGTGTGGAAGGTGATAAGTTTTCAAATTTGGCGTTTACGTCAAACGCCGCGTTTCGGCGCGATAGTGTGAAAGCGCTCTGAGGCTTCGTAAAAAATGACGTTGACTAAAATATCATTTTTCGCGAGTGTAGTCTATAAGTTTATTGTATCATGGTCGTATGTTATGTTATAGTATGAGTGAGTAAAGAGAATTAAACTACCGTATGACAACTAAGATCAAAAGAGATAGAAATAGTAACCACAATCACATATTTATCAATATTCAATCGCGAAAAAAGGCCTAATATATCAATCAAGGCCATTTACATTTTGCAGTTATCTAAAATACCGGTATTGATTTTAAACCCAGTTCTTCACCTCTCCGCTGAAGTAAAGTGGCGCTGGCGGCACAACAAGTTATTGGTTTTTGTGGGAGCCATTATTCCGAAGATTTCCAAGGAATTTACTTATTCATAAGGTATAATATAGTAACTTTTGATTGGTTATAAGATTAATTTCAGTATAAGTAGTAGCTAAGTAATTATCTTTAACATAACTGCTATTCTTATTGAAAGTAAAAGCGGCATGTCAACAACGTCATTTTGTCCATTGATTACCTAACACCATTCGTGCGAACAATGGGTTGTATCCTTCGGGAACCCCAACCACAAGTTCATTAACGTAGTTAAGTAATTTGCGCCCTAAGCGGCTCACAGTATTAAAACAACTCCTGGCAATTTTGAAGACTGAATATGTATCATCCCATAGCATTTAACTATACCTGCAAGTCTCTCTTGTAGGTCACACACCATACTCCTACAGATGAATCCGTCGGCTAGCAGAATATGGGACAACCCTCCTCCTCCGGGAACAGAAGAAGAACTGTCCAATACTTCCAGTAAAGTAGAAGGTTCGACGACCAGCGGGAGTCGTACTATAGATCGTATCGATCCCTACCTTAAAAGCCCCGAGTACATTGACTTTGAAAAGAAACACCAAGAGACCAGCAAGTACCGATCGAGATCGAAAAGTCGTGAGAAACATCATAGAAGGAGACACTCACGCAGCAGATCTAGAGACCGCCGCCACCGGCGGTCTCGATCTCGGTCACACCGCAGACACAAACGCAAACGCAGCTCGTCGAGGAGCCGTTCCAGGTCTCCCGGCTTCCGCCACGGCAGGCGCAGGCATGGTCGATACAGACGTTCGGCATCTAGGTACTCCCGTTCACGGTCGAGGAGCACGTCGAGAAGCCGTCCGCACAGATCACACAGGTCCAAATCCGACAGGGATAAGAAGTCGGAGACGCCCCGGAAATCACCGGATGATAAACCACTATTAGATGCGGATATCAACGAGGTGGACATGAAAATCGAGGAGGAAGAGGAGGAGGAGGAGGAAGAGGACCAGGTTAAGTGCGTCTTCAAAAACGACGGGTCCTTCTTGGAGATGTTTAAAAAGATGCAGGAACAGCAGAAGGCTCAGGAGAGCGTCGCCTCGGCCGAGGAAAAGAAACCGGCCATTCCGGCGTTCGGAAAACGCCGGGGCGGCAAGGTATTAAAAACGGGGCTAGTTCAGAAAGTGAGGTTGACCACCGAGGAGGAGACTAATGCCCAGGACGCTTGGTCGGTGTACATGAAGGAAGTGAGACGGTACAAAGAAGCATGTTGTGATGACGATTCCAAGACGAGGCCGCTCGTCAAATAGATTAGTTTCTGTTAGGTTATTTAGTATAACGTCTTTTATATTGGTTTAATAGGGAATCCCGCTCTATTAGGTGAACTCAAACGATATGTAACGTATTTCTGCACGTGTTAATTGGATTGTCCATTACAGGTTTGGCATGCCGCCAAGCGAAGTGATTATATTTTGTTATCTCTCTACCGTGTTAGCTTAGTTTTTAAATAACATGAAAAAAAAATGAATTTAGAAGCAAACAATTTTGTTTATTTTCATGTTCAATAAAAACTTATATTCATTTGGAATTTTATAAAAATTACTTAACTATGTCAATGAACTTACGGTGTTGGAACCCCGTTTGTAACCTAATGTACATAATATGTGTTTAGAAAATTATAAATGCTATAATTTTCAAATAAATATGTGAATGTTTGTCCAATCTTTTATTGTAAACGTGCGAAAGCGTTAACTACTAATCTTATTAGAAATCTATACTTTTTTTTTCATACGCGTAAGGTTTTGTAATAATGTATTTAACTGAATAATAACGATGGCCTATTCAGAGTGTCCCAATTTGTAACGGGTTATTTTTAATCGGAAACTTTCAAATATCTCGAAAAATAAGCACTGAAAAAAATATTCATGATTGATGGAATTGATGAAATTTTATCATTAAATAGGAATCCCTATTTTTTATTGCAGAATCGGATTCTACGTAGGTTTTGTCTGAAACATTTTTTTCGAATCATAATAGCGCTGTGTTCGATGAAACTCAATTTTTGTCGATCTCCTGTAAATACAAAAAAAGTACCATTTCTCAAAACGCAAACATTTAGATTTTCCAACATTCAATTTTCAAACAAACGTGCGTACAATTTACATCTAATTCTATTTAGATTTGCGCATTCAAATAGTCACTTTCTAGATTTAGAAGCAGCCGGTGTGGCATAGGTTATTCAAATTCTCCATTTCAGTCACTATGCCGGTCGCCGTCAGAGAAGATGACATTAAAACCGCCCCTTTCGACCCACGTTTTCCTAATACGAACCAGACCCGCTACTGCTACCAGAGCTACTTGGACTATTATCGCTGCCAGAAGGTGAGGGGCTCAAACTACAAGCCCTGTGAATATTTCTCGAAAGTGTTCCATTCCGTGTGTCCCAATTCTTGGATTGAGAAGTGGGACGATCAGAGGGAGTCGGGTACATTCCCAGGGAATATTTAACTTAAATCCATTTACTTATCTAGTTGTTTATGTAGCCATGTTCTTTTTCAAAGCATTGTAAAGCTATTTATGTTAATAAAGTAATAATTAACTACCGTTTTTATAATTTAATGTTTATGTTTTAATGTAATAGCAAAGCAAGATCATTTGTTAAAAATAATATTTCACCATAAAGGACAAGGGAAAATTGTAAATACAACGAAAGCGTGTAAACATATTTTTTGTCTTACAAAATATTTCAAACGAGTTTTAATTTGGAGATTTTAATTAGTTAAATTTGCTAAAATACTAAAAAACTAATTTAAATCAAAGCACATTTATACGACAATCTCTTTTTACTTCCTGTTATTACAAAATTTACTATAAAAGATAATATTATCTATAATATTAATAACCTTCCTAGATTATTTTAAAAGTTATGTAGTATGTATTTTGAAAATACCAATATAATAAATAGAAAACCTTGTGATGATACACAGTGATCACAAAATACCTAACAGAGATTCTGTTATGATGATATCATTCTGGATAGTGATTATTAGGTATTTTCATCTTACGTTTTTCTGTTTTTAACATATTATTTACATTTCAATGATCAAGTTCATTTTGGAAATCTAGTAGAATAAGAAGTAAGAACTAGAAGAAGAAGACGACATATCTGTCATATTTCTTTCGTATTCTTACTATTTCTTTTTTGTTGTTGTGAGTCGTGAGTGTTATAACAAGCTGTAATCATCTAATCACACCGATCCCTAATCCAAATTTCACCTACAAACTTGAATTTTGAATAGAAAATCGACATAAATTTAAAATGGCCGATGAGGAGACTGTGAATGGGAACTCGGAGGAAGTACCTGAGAAATCTCAACAAAAGAAGGCTGCCAAATATGACAGTGGGGCTGCAGACTTGGAAAAAGTAACGGACTATGCGGAAGAAAAAGAAATATCCACACAGAATGTCGCCGGTGCAATTTCGGCTATAGGAGACCGAAGGAATCAAGCTGCTTTGGAAAAACAAGCCAGGGAAAAGGAACTGCTGAAGGTGTCTATAAGGAAAGAGGATGTGGACTTAATTGTTCGTGAGATGGAAATTTCTAGATCTTTAGCGGAAAGAACCCTTAGGGAATATCACGGCAATGTTGTTTGTGCACTTATTGCCCTAACAAATTAAATTGCGTATTGTTACCAAAATGTTTTATAGGATAAAATAAATCATTTTTTTACAGCTCGATATTCTTTATAGTATTTATTGTTGTCCCATGAAACAATAATTTTTTTCAATACCACTACCTAGTTAACTTGTTGAATAAGAAAATTGACAGTTATTAATAAAATTTTCTAATGACAAAGTTAAAACAGAAATGGAAGAAAGTGATACAGTAGCTTGCACAATAATATATTTTTAAATTTGTTTAAATATCGCTTATTCAAAACGGTAATAAATATTATTTAACAGTCTTGTTAGGGATTAAAACCAGTAAATGAAGTTCTACCTATATTAATATTAATTCATAAAAAAAAACTACAAATTAAATATTACAAAATCAAATTACTGTTATTAACAATTCAGAACTAAATTCACAAATATTGTCTCTCCATAGGAAGCTTCCTAAGTTTCTTGAGCCTTGCTTTAGGGAACCATCTATGTTTAGTCGTAAGCGTAATATTCATTAGTTCTTGCCTTGCCTGCTCAGGTGTTTTCTTACTGAAAACTTCCATAACTTGTGGAGTTAGTTTAACTTTTAACACAGAACTGTTTTCTTCGATCTTTTCTTCAGGTAATGGTCTCGTACATTCATATGGGAAATCTGTTTTCGGATGCCAAGCAACTAAAGTACTTCCATCATCAGTACATACTATTGCATGTTCTGAATTTGTGGTAGATACAAATCGAGATAATATCTTCGGGATATGAAATTTTGTTGTAATTAACCTCAGGGTCATGGTTAAATTTTAATCCGTAGGATGCAGGATTAATCCTTCCTTTTTTCTATAGTTTGTAAATAAACACCACACACAAACCCAATCTCCAATTTTCTAAAATAATTTTTTTCAGTTATCACATTTTAATTTGACAAGCAACAATGGTTCAATGTTTCTGTCTTTGTCTATGATTCAATGGTTATCACTTGGCAGACGCATATTTTGATTTGTGGCAGTTTGGTGGCAGCACTGTTCTTTTCATTTTCCATTTATTCATTTGATTTATAATAATTTGATTAATTAGTGGCCTTTTGGTACTTAAGAAAGCGGTAAATTTGAAAGTACTATCGGACCTAACCTATGTATGTGGGCTTGAACTAGATTTGTGAGTATAACCCAAGGATTTTAACCATCTTATATAAGCATAAAAATAGAATTACAAAGGTTTGGAACTTATTATAATTTATCATGAATTTGTGGTCATTCGTTATATGCAGCTAACGCAGTCTGTTTTTTTTTCTAGGTTTGTGATTGTCCCTTTATTTCATCCTAGCCAACTTTTAAGAATCAAATCTATATTTAACTATTTAAGTATTTAACTAGTTATCTATTGTCTCTGTATTTAACTATTTAATAAAAAAAATTGAGGTTAACGTAAACTTCAATAATGATAGGTTAATTATTTAAAATATGTTTAGTTGTACATTTAACATAGCTAGAATTATAAGAACTAGCAAAAACGTGTGTTTTATGAAGTGTCGAAAGTGTGACTTCCACACAAATTGTTATAAAAAATTATTCCAGAAATTGAACAATGTTGATACTAATGCAGCTAGAAAGAAAAGGATTAGATCAACCCTCTATTACGTGACAGCCGCAGGTGTGGTAACGGTTGGATTAAGTTATGCTGCCGTACCATTATATAGAATGTTCTGCCAAGCGTATAGTTATGGAGGAACAACAAATACGGGACACGATAGTAGTAAAGTCGAAACTATGTCACCAGTTAAACATAAACCCATAAAAATCAGATTCAATGCAGATACTGCCGCAAGCATGAGATGGAATTTTAAACCTCAACAGATTGAAATCACGGTAGGTGAATCGTTTAGTTAGTATTCAGTAATGAATTTAATCTTTCAGGTTTTTCCCGGTGAGACTGCATTAGCGTTTTACACAGCAAAGAACCCCACCGATAAGCCGGTTATAGGTATAAGTACATACAATGTCGTACCATTTGAAGCGGGACAATATTTTAACAAAATACAGTGCTTTTGTTTTGAAGAACAAATGCTCAATCCTCATGAACAAGTGAGTTTTTTGTTAATCTGGAATACTAATGTATTATAAAAAATATTTGTTTAGGTGGACATGCCGGTATTTTTCTATATAGACCCAGAAATAACCGAAGACCCTTTTATGGAATTTGTGAACGAAATAACATTGTCGTACACTTTCTTCGAAGCTAAGGAAGGTCTAAAACTACCTGTGCCCGCTTATTTTAAATGATACAAGTGTTTATCTAGGCAAAAAATATAATTTATTCGTTAGTGATTTACTTTTAATGACGACAAATTTATAGAAAGTACAAGTAATTTAATATTTAATTGTTGCTGTGATTGGGAATGCCCGTCTCATACCTATACATTTCTCCCTGTCTATAAACAGCGAGTTAACTTTATCGTGCAGGTTCGTTTCAAGATTAGCTCTCGTCTTGAGTAACTGTTGATGTTGCGCTTCTGCTTCTTGAAGTTTTTTGTGTAATATTTCAATGGAGTCTTGAATGTCGTAAACTTCCGAAACTAATCTGGAATTGAAAACATCGTTAGAGTTATTTTATTTTAATATCGCGTGCCCCCACCTGTCTTGGGCGATATCTCTGCATAATTCTATGTTTCTCCTGTGGGTTCTCGCTTCCAGTCTAGTATGCGCCACTTTCATGGGGTTGCTCTTATCCATGATGGCTTTCTTGAGAAGTTCGATGTGCTTTTCCATATCGAATAGTTCTTGTTGTACCTGCAATGGTAACGTTTTAATTGTGTAATGTCAGCAGTATCTATTTTGCACCTTGTGTAAATGCATTTGTAGTTTGTTCTTCACTTCTAGCATCTCGGCAGCTCTACGTGCAAGAGCGTTGTTGGTGTTACTCCAAGAGTCCCAGATCTCCTGAGAGAGGGTGTTCATTAGATTCTCGATGTCTGATCGCATTTGCGAGGACTTCTGCCTCTCGGACTGAGATCTTTGCACAATCCTGTTGCTGTTTTCTGCCCACGTTGTCGTATTAGCTACTCTGGAAATTCAAAGACAGTTATTGTAAAACATACTAGATTATTTCAAATATGTTATTTTTGCATACGTAGGATCATATTTTTCAATTCCGCCGTAGTAATTTATCCCTTTTGAAAAGTTGTTCAGTTGATGGCACAAATTGTCAGTGCCCAGAGCAGACTCCTTACTTCGAACGTCAGTTTCCAGTTCGTGTTGAGCGGCTCTATTATTTCGTAGCTGGCCCTGGATTTTGCTGTATAAGGCTTTCGCTTTCTCTTGCGCGTTTCGATACACTTCGATTTCCTTCAACAGAGCCTGTTCGGCGTTATCGTGCGCAAGATCGAGACCTGAAATTAAATGTTTACGAGCGAATTTTATATTTATTTTGAAAATTTTACCTTGTCTCTGCTCCCTGTGGTATAAACATTCCTGAGCGATGTGGATGACACCTTCGATGTCGTCTATAGACTTTTGCATTTTGCGTCTAGTTTCTGTTAATAGAGCTGACTCTGTGATCAGCCGTTCTAGTTCTGCTCGTACTTCGTTCCTCCAAAACGTCGTGTCTGTGATTCTCTCACCTAGCCTCCTTCCCGATTCCCTTTGACCTTGAGTTGTCTTTTCATCCAATTCTCTAAATGTAGCAAAATTAGTAAAAATCTGCCAACTGCGCCGATTTTGCTTGAAATTCTTACCTCATGACTCTCACAAAATCCTGCCGCAACCGGTCAGAGTAGTGTCGATTGGTATCAGCTTCGTTGTAATTGTATAAATTGCCTTGGGTCCATGTTGTGGTACTGTAGCGGGTATACAGAGCAGCTCTAGCAGCATGTGCTGGATTCCGTTCGAACCCAGTAACCAGGTTTGGGAATTTCAAAGGCTCTGTTGCCATTCCGTAAGGTGTGTAGCATGGATCGATTATCGCATTTGTGGAATGCTGACTCGGCCTTAAAGTTAGAAGAAATAGAATAAAAATGATAATTATATGTTTCTATTTGGTACAATGGGGTAATGGAAACAGTTTCGTATCCTAGGGTAGGTCGCCACGGGTGAGGTCGAGGTGTCTGATAATACTGGCCGATTCGTGTTGGGATTGGTGGCCCAGCAACTTGTTCTAAGCAAGGAGAGGCAGCTACGGTGCTCCATGGCTGTAATTGCTAAAAAAATAAAATTAAATTAAACGGAACACTACAAATGGCTAACTGTTCTTACTGAATATAAAACTGTTTCGTTTTTTTCCGGCATATTGAGTTTTGTTTGATTAAAGATTTAAATACATTAATAATATAAATTATACATAAAAATATGTCATAAAAATCCGTTTCTATAGATTCATTTACAAAAATATTTAAAAATCCAAGCATGCGAAATAAAACAACTTAAAATTTTATATCACTTAATAAATGTAAAATACTAATAGTCTAGAAAAGAAGAACGTTGATGTCACAGCGTAGAAAATCTAACTTTTGTCTTGTATACAAGTAATAAGAAATTTATTATATTGTGTACTTAAGAGCTACATATAAAATATTATTTTCAAAACGGCTGATTGGTAGAATTTAAAATTCCTGCAAGATCACCCAATCATCTGCTCTGGTTTAAGAACTTACTACTTTTATTTGTGATTTATATCATAACAAGAACAAGTCTACTAGCCTTTCGTTTAATATCCGTACAATCCTTATTATAAAATAAAAGAAGAAGAAGAAGGCTAGTTTTGACAGATCTTTCAAAATTAAACTTAACCTATTTTCGTAATGGTAATGTCATTTATGTTTTTCTTCAATTAAAATGTCTACAACCGTTGAAAAGCCAGATAACGCACCAGAACGTAAGCCAAATTAACATTTTTGAATTTCAGAGATTATATATTAGTCTTTTAGATTGCCCTGGTACGGGAAGCGAGAATGCTGGAAAAGTTTCTGCTTGTGCGGGTTGCCCTAATCAACAAATTTGTGCCTCGGGGCCAAAAGGTCCAGATCCGGGGATACAATTAGTAAAGGAGCGCTTAGAACAAGTAAAGAACAAAATTCTGATACTTTCTGGGAAGGGAGGCGTCGGGAAAAGTACCGTAACAGCCTTATTGAGTAGAGCTCTAGCTGCAGATGATTACGAAAGAAATGTTAGTCGATTTTTTTTTGTTTTGAAACCCATTTATTTAATTTACATTTAATAGGTAGCCGTTCTTGACATCGATATATGTGGACCTTCTCAGCCACGAGTTTTAGGTGTATTGGATGAACAGGTGCATCAGTCTGGCTCCGGATGGTCTCCAGTTGTAAGATAATATAAGATAAATCAATTAGGTAATCATTTTCATTGAAATTTTTTTTAGTATGTGGATGACAATTTGTCGGTAATGTCTATAGGATTTTTACTTTCTACCCCAGATGATGCGATTATTTGGAGGGGACCAAAAAAGAATGGCATGATTCGGCAGTTTTTAAGCGAGGTCGATTGGGGCAAACTCGATTTTTTACTTATGGATACTCCGCCAGGTAAAGCAAAAAGTAAAGGATATTTAACGATAATAATACCATTTCCCGTAGGTACTTCTGACGAACATTTATCTGCAACGACGTACTTATCGCAGGCCGATCTTACTGGGGCCATAATAGTCACTACCCCACAAGAAGTTGCTTTACTGGATGTAAGGAAGGAGATAGATTTTTGTCGGAAAGTCAAAGTGAACGTGTTGGGTGTTATCGAAAACATGTCCGTCTTTGTTTGCCCGTGTTGCCAGGTATAAAAAATAGTTGTAAAAACTTTTATTGTTGATAATATTTTATTTTATTGCAGAAAATTTCTGAAATATTTCCTCCCACGACTGGTGGTGCCAAAGGAATGTGTTTAGATTTAGGTGTTCCGTTCTTGGGTAGTTTACCTTTAGATCCTAAAATAGCGAGGTGTTGTGACGAAGGAAAGGACTTCTTGACAGAGTTGCCGGATTCCCCGGCTGTTCTAGCCTTGAAGGATATTATTCAAAGTAAGTTTAAAAAATAAATAAATAAATAAACAAATGTATATAATTAGACAATTCTGGATAATATATACTTTTATATGTTTTTATTGCAGAATTAGTTAAGGTTTGTGAGGAGAAAACGACCAAATAAAATTATATAAATTATATTTTAATGTATGTGGTGATAATACACAAATTTTATATTAAATATTGTTGAACTTAATCTTTTAGAATACATATTTCATATTTTAATATTTTCTAATTTAACTACGTTTTACCTGTGTACATAGTCGTTTCTATCTTTTCAGGAAATTTATTATTCTTTTTGCGTTCTACTTCAATAAAGCTCGATTGTACCTCCGTCTAAACCTCGCAGGCTAAATTATGACTTTCAAACAAGCTGCACTTACTTTTGCTCGAAATTAACAGATGAAAGTACCCGTCGGTATCAATATTTAACTGTTGCCGTTATCGGGAAGGACCGTCTCATCCCCATACACTTCTCTCGATCGATGAACAGAGAGTTAACTTTGTTGTGCAGTTCGGATTCGAGGTTTGCCCGAGTTTTGAGCAACCTCTGATGTTGCGCTTCCGCTTCCCGTAGTTTTCTGTGCAACGTTTCGATGGAGTCTTGAATGTCCTGAACCTCGGAAACCAGTCTGAAATACAAAGAATGACAATCTATCGTTGACTTTAATAGTCTCTCACTTGATTTGGGCGTTATCCCGGCAGAGCTCGATATCCCTCCGATGCGACCTCGCTTCTAACCTCGTATGAGCTACTTTCATGGGATTGCTCTTGTCCATTATGGCCCTCTTCAGGAATTCGATGTGTCTTTCTAGGTCGAATATTTCTTGTTGGACCTAGAAGTGCGGCAAACTTAAGTTACGCGCATCGCCGCTCGCCGACTTACCTTATGTAAGTGCATTTGTAGCCTGCTCTTGGTGTCCAACGTCTCGGAAGCTCTGCGTGCGAGAGCGTTGTTCGTATTACTCCACGAGTCCCAAACTTCTTGAGCCACTGCGTTTATTAAGTGTTCTGCGTCCGATCTTAGCTGCGCCGACTTCCCTCTTTCGCTCATGGACCTCTGAGCGATCCTATTGCTGTTTTCGGCCCAAGCTTCGGGGATACATATTCTGTAACGAGAAAGCGATGCAACTCGACGACGGGAGACATTTGTACTTACGTGTTATCGTATCTCTCGATTCCTTTGTAGTAATTTATGCCTTTCGAGTAATTGTTTAGCTGGTGACACATACCGTCGATGCCCAAAGCGGATTCCTTGCTTCGGACGTCGGTTTCTAACTCGTGTTGCGAAGCTCGGTTATTCCTTAATTGATCCTGTATTTTATTAAATGTGTTCTTAAGTCTTTCTTTAGCGTTTCTGTATGCGTTTACTTCTTTTAGAAGCGCATGTTCCACGTTGTCGTGCACCAGGTCGATCCCTTAAAAGTAAATATATAAGATTAAATTTTTACTTGTCCCCCCATGTGGGGTACCTTCCCTTTTTTCTCTATGGTACAAACACTCTTGGGCCACGTGAAGGGGGCCTTCGATGTCATCCATAGCCTTTTTCGTGGCGAGTCTTGTATCGGATAGCAAGCTTGTTTCAGTTAGCAGTCGTTCTAACTCTGTTCTAACCTCATTTCTCCAAAATGTGATGTCCGTAACCCGTTCGCCTAATCTTCTTCCGGATTCTCTTTGTCCTTGAGCCGTCTTTTCGTCGGTTTCTCTGCAATTATTTGTGTATTATACTCGTTTTATCAGAAGCAGGATATTGTGTTTCAGAAGCGGGATTTATAGGTATTGCCTATTCTCTATGTTGACGTGCAATTGTTTTGGCAAAGCTCACTTTATAAAACTAAATCACCAGTATAAGTGATATGTATGTAGAAATCGTAATGTAATAATAAGCAAGTATAACATGCAAAGTTTTTAAATATTGTGCTGTGTACCTCATAACTTTGTTAAATTCGTCCCTCAATCTTTCCGAGTAGTTTTTATTAGTGTCGGCCTCCTCGTAGCGTTCCAGGTTTGATTTTGTCCACTCCATTGGAGTGTAGCGTGTATACAGAGCGGCTCGGGCAGCGTGTGCCGGGTTCCGTTCGAACCCCGTTACTAAATTAGGAAATTTCAATGGTTCCGTGGCCATTCCGTACGGTGTGTAACAGGGATCCATAATTGTGCTTGCGGGAACTTGACCAGGCCTAGAATTTTATGTTTTAAAAGTTGACGAGGTAACATATTGTCGTTTACAGTATGGAGTCTGTAATTTTGTATCCTAGAGCGGGTTTCCATTGTCTGGGACGTGGAGTTTTGAAATACTGTCCCAGAACGGAAGATTCCGGGAGTCCTGTGATTTCTTCCATCGAAGGGGGCATTGGGACCGTGCTCCATGGTTCAAACGGCTGTAAAAGTTGAACTTTTATTGATTAGTAATTTTCGAATTTAAAGTAATCTGAAGAGTGTTAAAATTTACCCTATTGTAGCGGCTTCTTCTTTCCCTTTCTTGCCCAAATATCATGTTTCTTGATCTGGAAACTTATTACAAACAACAGGTGTTGCTAAAGTGTATTTTTAAAGCATGTATGTGTATTTATACCTTCACATGCAAATATTTCAATTCAATATCATTCTAAATCCAAATTTAATCCTACTAGCCTTAGTGTCAAGTTGTACCTGGCACCCTGCCCTAGAAAATATTTTGCATCGTTACAGGATGGCATGTGGAAGTGGAGGATTGACCTTATTTAACAAAAATCAATATTTAATAGGTACTATTGAAAAAATATTTGTTTCGGATAAAATTTTAAATTTGTTTGATGTAGTAATCAATAAAACAAATATAGGAAGATTTATAAAGTCCCCATTTGAGTGTAGGTCATTATATCACATTAAATTCTTTTATTTCGGTAGATTCAATATCTGCATTATTTATAGAAGAAGTCTAAAGTATGTAGTGGGTAAGTATACTTTAAGTTTTTTGCGGTTTTTGATTTCATAGCATCTCGATGAAAAACCAAACTATACAAAAATTATAAAATAATTAATCCAATTTTTTAAAAACAATTAACCTGGTTTCCTATTCTTTGGGCTTAAAAAAAGGCTCACTTTGAGAAATAGAATTTTATTAAAAATTGATATGATTAAAACGTATTAAAATAGATACGTATAAACATGATTAATCCACTAAAACATTTTTTTACAAAATTTTAAAATTTCGCGGTTAATTTTAATGACACTAGCGGCATCTTTCGGTTTTCGATTAAATTTAACTGTGCAGACATTTAATGTAATGTTGCCAGATGTAACGATTTATCACCAATTTGGCTACTTTGAAACGAAAAAATAGTAATAAAACTAACATTTTTCAAATTTAACTACTCTAAACAGTATACTCGAGGTCCTTGAGTACTATAATATTTGAAAAATAAAAATACGAGTTGACATGTTGCTACTTTTTTTCTATTAGTTTTATACGTTTGTAATATATATATATATATATATATTTAATGGTCTGACAACACTGCTATTTAAAAGTTTGGTAAGGTGTGTTCCTTTATCCCGAAACCACAGCTTGGAAACCATGGAACAAAACTAAAACACCGTCAAGCTCTGACGCTCTGACAGCTGATAAACAAAAATATTTCCTTAATCTAAACCCGGTCTTTTATCAGAGAAATTATGTTTAAGTTTATTTAATTATCAAACGCGTCGTATGACGTACTTTCCGCCCTAAATATTGCAGAAGATAAAGAATTACAAACGAATATTTTTGTGGTAAGTAAACATCCAGATACCTCAAATTTATAAATGATTTGTTTGCTGATAGGTTGTCGTATTCCAGTGTTAGTACTAACAAATAATTCGTGATGAGGATACGAGATTTGCTCAAGTCTTTTCGAGCCCGAAGGGCCCGCCAGCTGTCGAGGACTGATTCTCTATCTTTTGAGGCCTTTTGCAATGATAGCCCTCCAGAGAAGTATCCAGAAACCAAAGAATCCTCTTTGACTGGGGATTATAAACTATCTCCTGCAAAACTTAATGTAAGCATTTTTATTTTGATAGCCCTTTGAATTTATGTTACCCTGTTATGTTTACATTTTAGAGCAGCGAGTATTCCCGTTTTTCTCGCAAGAAAGGAAACGATAAGGAATCTACCCGTCCCAGTCTGCCAACTATTTTGTTGATAATTGTTCTTTCGGCTGTGTTCGTAATCCTTCCAATAGTATATTTATTGAACTGTTTTGATATGGTATACAAACATAATTCTCATAGACACAATCCGGATATCAAAGAAGCAGTAAGTATCTTACTGCATAATTCTAAGTAAATAAACATTTTCTTTGTTTTTTAGGATCACTACGAACCAAGCTCTTTGGTTCATCAAAGATTAGCGTCTCCACTTAGAAAACCAGTAAGAACCCGAGACTTACCTTATCCTCCAAAACCGAACTACAACCAGTGTAAGAGTTTATCGGACAAAGAGAAGTTTGATTGTTTTCCGGACGACGGTGCCAACGCAGAGAGCTGCGAGTCGAGGGGCTGCTGTTGGATACCAGCAAAAACCAAACCAAAGAATCTAGATGTTCCGTTGAACACCCCTTATTGTTTCTACCCACCGAACTACAACACGTACAACTATATTAACGTTACAGAGACCGGATTCGGCCTGGTGGCCTTTTTGAGGAGGAACTATCGGACGGCTTATCCCGATGACGTTGATGTACTTAAAATGATCGTTAAGTACGAGTCCGAGACGAGGTTACACGTTAAGGTAACGAATTCATGAAGTTTCCAGTTTTTTGTAGATATTTATTTATTTGCTTTAGATTGTAGATCCTGTGAATTCGCGGTTCGAACCGTCTTATCCCGAGGTGCCGATCGTCGATAGAGCTGCCGTTAATTTGACTTACATCTTTGAAATGGATATGTTCAAGCCGGGATTCAAGGTTGTACGCAAATCTGACAATACCACGATGTAAGTAACAAAAGCTTTTACACTTGGTTTAAAAAAAGTCAAAAAAAATTTTGTGAAACATCCGGTATATCCGATTTTGAAATCTTCCAGTTTTGATGCAAGCAACGTGAATACGATTTACTCTAATCAGTTCTTACAAATAAGTGCCAAGTTGCCCTCAAGTTATATTTACGGTATCGGAGAACATCGTTCAAATTTTCTTCTCTCGACCGATTGGAGCCGGTTTACTCTATTCAATCACGACGCCGTACCACAACTTAACGTGAGTTTCCCGTTCATTGCTTCTACCGTCACAATAAACGATATTTTTTTAGAAAAACCTGTACGGAAGCCATCCGTTTTACCTCGTGATGGAGAATTCAAGCAACAGTCACGGGGTATTTCTTTTAAACAGCAACGCGATGGGTAAGTATGCGTCCACGACACGGTCTCAAGAATACTCATACCTTGTCTTTAGACGTCATTTTACAACCTACGCCAGCTATCACGTTCCGGCCCATCGGGGGGATATTGGATTTTTATTTCTTAATGGGACCGACGCCTAGCGACGTCGTCGGCCAGTACACCGAACTGGTCGGGCGGCCGTACATGCCGCCTTACTGGGGACTGGGATTCCACCTCTGCAGGTTCGGGTATAAAACCTTAAAGGATACGGAGAAGGTGATGCAGAGGAATATTGACGCCGGCATACCTCTGGTGAGTAGTTCAATGGAATGATTAAAATATGCAGGTCTTTTTTTCAAAGCTTTTGATAGAATATTTTTACATCGAATAAAATTGTAGCCATGCCAGGTGTGCCACGAGGCTCTCACTTGGGGCCTCTCTTCTCTGACATTTATTTCCCATTTTTTAATAAAAAATTTTGGATTTTGTTAAAACTTTCTACTTTTTTAAGTTTTTTATTTTGTTTTTTTATATTTTTTTCGTGTATAATTTGTATCGTGTATAAATTGTTATTTTTAGCGTTTGCATTTGTTATACAAAAAATAAGTCCGGGCTCATAAATTAATAAATGTCTAATTGTGTATTAAAACCCATTCGTTTAAAGGACACCCAGTGGAATGACCTCGATTATATGAACAACAGCAACGATTTCACGTACGACAAGGAGAAATTCAGGGGTTTGCCGGAATTCATAAAAGACCTACACGCGAGAGGTATGCACTACATACCGCTGGTAGATCCCGGAGTAAGTGCTAGCGAGGTACCCGGCGCTTACCCGCCGTTCGATATCGGCATCAAAATGGACATATTCGTTAAGAATTCCACCGGCCAACCCTTTATAGGAAAGGTAAACCGAGAATCGCTCAATTCGAAAGTTAACGTTGGAATTGAAAAATATTTTATCGTGCAGGTGTGGAATAAAGCTTCGACTGTGTGGCCGGACTTCACCCATCCGAAAACGGTCGACTACTGGACGTTGATGCTCAAGAACCTGCACCAGCAAATACCTTTCGACGGCGCATGGATCGACATGAACGAACCGTCGAATTTCCTATCCGGCTCGTTTACGGGTTGTCCAAAGTCTTCCCTCGAGAGCCCGCCTTATTTTCCGGGTATCGACGGCGGCGTTATCAACTACAAGACGATGTGCATGAGTGCTAAGCATTACGCTGGGTTGCATTACGACGTTCACAATTTGTTTGGATTTACGGAGGCGATCGTCACAAGTTTGTAAGTTTGATTTTTTTAAACGGGTCATAAATGGAAACGAATAATAACAGGATAGTACTTTTGGCTCGGTATATGACGGTTTTTAGGTCCAAATTCTTGACATGTGCACCGATTGACGTGAAATTTTAGCGGTATGTGGAAAATTGCTCAAGAAACAAAAGTTACATAGTGCCGATGATGAATTGTAAGCAAAAAATGCTCATAACGTTTTCCGAATTGTTTGCGATTGAAAATGTTGATTTTTCATCTAAAAAGTGCATGTTTTTCAGTCATTTTTGATAAATAACTCGAAAACTTTGGCGTTTTATCGAAAAACCCATATCGAGCAAAAATAAAGCTTTTGAAATTACGAATCGATTCATTTTTTGTTGATTACGGTAGATGTAATAATAACCGAGTTATCACTCTCTAAAGGTGATTGTTTATTTTTTGGAAAGTAAAATCGAACCTTTTACCGTAAAATAATGGTGAAAGAACTAATTTTTCGAAAAAAATGAATATAATCTTTTTTAAAGTGCTTGGAAAGACCTTTAAAATGCTTTTTCAAAAAATTTCGTAGCTCAAAAAGTCGAGGAGTTATGATGAAAATAAAATGGTCACATCATTTTTTCTGAGAATAAATCAACAATAAAATCTATGGCTGAACCATAAAAATTGAAACTAAACTTAATCCATATACAGTTGACTTTATTTAGGTACTAATAATGGGCTGTGCAAGTTTGACCAGTTTGGAATGCCTAAATTAAAAAAAAATTGAAATAAAGAAAAAAAATATTTTTTAATTTTTAAAAAAATTTTTCCTTTTCTTCGAAATAACTCAGAAACTGAACAAGATACGTGAAAAATGCAAGAGTTCAAAATTAAAGGTCTTTTTTTTATAATATTTTCGCTCTCTTTCAATTTTTCTGTAGAGCAAGAATTAACTGAGATATTACGTTTTTTAGTTTGCATTTGCGTATAAGGACCAGCTTCTTTGAGCCCTTAAATCCTAAAAATCTCGAAAACGAAGAGTTCAAGTCCCTTCGACTATAAAGGTTGATTTGTAGCTCTTGCAATTCCCTGCAAATTGCTTTTTGGAGCAATGAAAAATATTAAAAATTAATACAGTTATCATGGAAAAACGAATTGTATTATTCAGTGAAAATTGTCGGATCGTGTAAATGGCTTAATTTCCGAGGCGTAATGCACGCGTAATATTATAAACCGTGATGAGTCTCATTCATTATAAATTCTATGATGTGGAAAAAATTGTTTTATTTTCTGCAATGCTTTATTTTCTGCAATAAGGGTGGTTTTTAAGGATTGAAACGTTGCAATAAATCATGTATTATTTCATAAACGATAAAAAATATTCAATTCTTCATTCGAAACATTTCAGAGCCGCGAAAATTTTAGAAAAAATCGGTATTTTCAACTAGTAAAATGTTCTTGATATTTAAAAACGTGTTACTACAGCGCCATGGCGGAAATCCGGGGAAGAAGACCCATGGTAATATCGAGATCCACGTTTGCCGGTCACGGCCACTACGCCGGTCACTGGAGCGGCGACGTTTGGTCCGCTTGGACCGACATGCGCTACACCGTACCCCGTACGTACAAATTTTCCAATGTACCAATATATATCGTCTGTTAATACCTTAACCTCTCTTAGAACTACTGAGCTTCAGTTTGTTCGGCATCCCCTTGATGGGCGCCGATATCTGCGGCTTCAACGGCAACACCACCCAGTCCCTTTGCAACCGTTGGATGCAACTCGGGGCTTTTTATCCTTTCTCCAGGAATCACAATACGGACGACGGCATTGTAAGTGTTAGCGTGTTTGCTGGAGAGGTCGCTTTTAAATCATTTTTTGTCTAGGATCAAGACCCGGTGGCTATGGGGGAGCAGGTTGTGGCATCGTCGAAGAAAGCTTTAGGCGTGCGCTATTCGCTCCTGCCTTATTTGTACACCCTTTTCTATAAAGCGCACATTCTCGGGGAAACCGTATCGCGGCCCCTGTTTTTCGAGTGAGTTCCGTCCGGTTCGTTTGTCGCATTAAATCAACATAATTTTTTTTTCCAGGTTTACAAACGACACAAAAACATTTTCCGTCGACACTCAGTTCCTGTGGGGCGCAGCGCTGATGGTCGTGCCTGTTTTAGAGGTGAAACGTCTTATTTTAAGCGTTTGTATAGATTCCTTGTTTTTTTATTTTTGTAGGATGGTAGGACCGATGTAGCGGCTTACTTACCCGCTGGGGTGTGGTACGATTTTTATACTAAATCCGGGATCCGCAGCAAGGGGCAAACCTTCAACTTGTCTGCGCCTTTGGACACTATACCGGTGCTGGTGAGGGGCGGGTACGTTTTGCCGCAACAGAGTCCAAAACCGACCACAACCGAGTCCAGAAAGACGAAAGTCCAATTGTTGGTCGCCTCGGACGGCAACGGGGAAGCCGGCGGAGAGCTGTACTGGGACGATGGCGATTCGTTGAGTAAGTAACATGCGATTTATATTATTTGTATCATTCGTGGCGTTTTAGTACATTTTTAACTGATTGAAGAAAAAAGTCATCGAGACATAACTGTGAATTTTCTTATATTTCTCTTTTAGATTCTTACGAGGAAAAGCGATACTCCTTGATATCGTTCAATATGGAAATCAACACTTTACGTTCATTCGTTATGTATTTAGGCTCCGAGGTCCCTCCCAATTTAGGTTCCGTGACGGTTTTAGGGATAGACAAGCCCGTCACTGAGGTTACGGTGAACGACCTCGCTCAAGCGTTCAAGTTCGACACCGTCCATAAGGTAATATTTCCCGATTTCCGTTTCATTTCGTTCATTTTAATGTTGCTCTTTCAGTACTTGGTGATCGACAACCTGGACGTGTCGTTCGGCAAACCAATCGTTATATCCTGGAAGTAACTTCCTTCGTTTTTGTGTAGTTTTAAGGCGCACAGTTCTGTTTCATCGCACTGCTTTGACTTTCCAGATTATTATATTTTTAGATGTTCCGTGTTTGTAAACGCCCGGTATATTACAGCGCCGGGCACTGGAGTTTGAAGAATTGTTACCGAAGGGCGTTATTATATAATTGTTTTACTGATACGTGTTACCTAGAACCTAGCGAGTGACGTAGAAGTTAGGTTAGACGTTAGATGTCGAATTTACCGTTCCGACGTTCTGCCAAACTAGTTTTAAAAATAGTCAATTACCTAGACTGGTTTCGTTTCAATTTTAACGTGTGATTAGTGTTAGGTGTGTGGAATGAGGAACTTTCATTTTTAATGTCGGTTTTTGAGGAAAACGGTAATATTTGTGTTTAATGAGGAAAATTCGAAAGCTACGATAGTCCCATCGCGTATTCTCCTCGTTTTTATTCTTATATGCAGATAGGAAATAACGGATTATTTTTTGTTTTCATCGAAATACTAAGTTATGCACTTTTACAAAGAATGCTTTGAAAATAAAACATCTGACTATCGTTATATACAAAATTTTGACAGTTCCGTTAAATTTTGATTGATGTCAAAACTTATAGCACTAGACATTAATTGATGAATAAAGAAGAGCAAAATATGCTTCGAACTCTTTAGTTGATTCATCTGAAGAATATCTAGTTTTATTTCGTATGAAATTTGCATTTATAGCTGTAAAGTTTGATGTTGTCAATGGAGATTTATTTGAACTGTCAAAAGTTCATTTGGGGAATAGTTCATTCAAAGCACTCTTTGTAAAAACGGTTAATTTTATATTTCGGCGAAAACAAGAACGTAAGAATATGATAACACAACAGAAATATGTGTTGAATTAAAAAATTCGAAAATTTCAATGTAGTACCTATAAAAAAGATACAAATTGACAAAAAACGAGCACCTTCGTTCGAGAAAAATCTTGAATTTCAGGTAGAGACGTCAGATTTTAAAATTTAGAAAATGCAATGCACATACGTTTAACGAAAGTTCTCCTTCCCGCTGGTAATTAGGATTATAGTATCTTAATTTTGCGGTTTTAAACAATTATACTTAATTGACCAGTTTTTGCTGATATATTTTATGGTTCTTGTTGTATAAAATTAGGCATAGCGGGACTCTACTTTGTAATGGGGTACGAAGGGAGTTCGACTCCGGATTAGAAATATAATTTGTATTTACAGTGTGCATGCATGAAATAGAAATATCGAGGCCATCGAGGATGACTTCCGGGTGATAATTAGGCTGATTAATTTTTTTAGAGGGTGATTTTGTTCCAAGGCTGTTAAAACTTTATGACTGAACTCTAGACGTAGTCGAGTGACTTTTTGACGTCCCTTGCCTCAGATTATTTTATCTCTACTACATATTGTCTTACTTTGTACTATCAGTGGTCAAACCAATGTGTTTGGTTTTTAATAAATATGCTTCAGGTTTATTTTTCTTTTATTTTGCCCGCAATGAATATTCGTTAGTTAATAATACATAAAACCCAGCATTTTAATGAAAACTACACGGCCCTGTCCGGAAACGAAAGGAACGGATATATCGGAGAGGTCGCTCCGGGAAATACACACTATCTTCCTTAAAACTTACTTTATTACAAAATTTACACATTGTTTATTGCAACATCTGTCTTACATTCATCTGACCACTGAAACTAGTGATGAAAGAACTCAAAAATTGAAAAATGTTTCCATATAGATCTAACTTTTTGTTCGGTAGGCAACACACAATACACGCTAGTGTATACTTGGCTGCATAAGCTTCAAGTAAACTTTTTAAACATTACTTTTTATTAATAGGAAAAACGACATCTATTAATGAGCACAGGACTGTGAAGGATTATAGATAAATGTATTCAAAATGATCAACACATTACATCATATGTACATATACATTACACGAAAAAGCATATAGATTTTCTCAAAAATATTTAGGTCCCAGTAAAATCTGAAAAAATTCAAGTGAACTATAACGGCTCTGACCAATCCAAAATTGCATTCAGTTCTCTAGTACCACCAGTTTTCGAGATTTTCCATATTTTCTTTCTATTTTGTCTTTGTTCGGTAGACAACACACAATACATGTTACTGTATACTAGGCTGCATAAACATTTAAAGATTTTTTTTATTTTACCAAAGACTTAAAGATATTTATAATATGTACATACATAGAATTTCTCGATCCCTATACCTGCAATGTTGGCCGTTCCCCCACCCTTCCGTTACGTAATTACGGACCTACACTTACAATAAAAAAAATTAAATCTAAAGTTACTTTAATAGAATTTTGCATCCTTAAATAGTTTTTTAAACCCAAATTCTTTTAAGATAATCCCATCTATTTTAAATGTACCAATAAATTTAGTAAAGGATGATAATTGGGATAGCCAAAATTAAAAATATATTATCATTTATTTTGCCATTTTTTTTTTGACGCAGACTATTGTAAAAACATATGAGCCACTATGTGAATTGCGAATAATTAACTAACGTATTGTGCATACGTAAGCTCATGTAATTTTGTCGTCGTGTTTATAGTTTTGTAGAAAATTAACTAGTTTGTGCACGGTAAGTGATACGGAAAAGCTCTTTCTGGAGTGGCCGTTGAAAAAAATATTTTTCAATGCACAAACGTGAATAGGTATGACCTATTCGCTTTCAAACACCCTGTATAGGAAAATAAATACCTGAAATAAAATGAATAATATACAAATTTTAAGATTTATTTCTCACAATCATCAAATACATGTCTACACCCCAGTGTAGCGTTAGAACAAAGTGAAAATTTACACAAAAATGGCACTAATTTCTTTTCAGGAACATAAACCTCCTAAGAAAAAATTTCTACATCACCATTGCTTTGCTCTGATAACACTCAAAAGCATAAAAAATGTGATGGCAAATAAATTTGCTTAAACGTACAAATAAAACCTATTCCATTGTCGCAAAACGATATTGCACTAATAACAAACATAAACTCTCAAAAAAAATAAACTAAACTAAAAAATAGTAAATCTTTGACAGATCTTTGGTGACAACTGCATAAAAGAAATTTTATGGATATATAAAGCTATTATTAAATTACTATATCAGTACATTGCTTCAGACAACTTATATACATAAATTTCATATAAATAAAGCTTTGGTATTTAAAGTAGTATAATTTTTTTTAATTACTAAATTTCTGGCAAGCTAAAATTATGATACGTTGAATGGCATAATATACGACACAGCAGAACCACGTCTTACAGCTAGAGGAACTACTCGTTTTGATATACTGATCATTCAGTTCCATTTAAATCCAACATTAAAACGCTTTACGGTAATTGACAGTCTCTAAAATTTTTAGTAACATTAAAAAATAAGGATTATTAAGTCGTATGATTAGTACCACCTTAAAAAAATAGAACGTATAGTAAATATGGCCACTAGTTTTAAATATACAGGATGTTAAACGATGGTGAAATCTTTAAAGGCCGACGGTATATGGCTAAGTCTTAGTAAATACGATTCCGCATTGTTATTAAACATTATAACAAGGCCGATATGAAAAATTCTCAGACTGACTGTCACTTCATTTTAACAACTAAAATTTTTTTTATTTCAATTTACAACAAACTGATTGAAGAACTAATTTGAAATTTTGTGAGATGTCACTTATGACCGACACTTACGTCAAGCAGCGAATTTTTCAAATGACCCTCGTGCTTTAACATTTTCTTCTAGTTTTGTAAAAGAATATGTGTATTGCACCAAATGTGGGCTATTTATATACTGTATGGCCATTAAAAAGTTTTACCCTTTACACAGGTACAAAATGATTTTGATTTCTCATCTTATGATTAATAAAATAAAACTTTGGTAAGTAGTTGTACATGAATTTTACACTAATGCCAAGCAAAAATTTATATGTATGCCATACCTTAACAATCACCTTATATTGAAATACCAATGTTTTGACATTTCCTCTTCTGAAAATATGATACAAGATCATTGTCAAAAGAACTTAAAGAAATAGTGCCTGGGCCACAACTAAGAGGAAAACAATACGGACTGAGCTCTTCTTAGGAAAATTTTTTTCTGATCTGGCAAAGACAAATAACAAAAAAAAATAAATTTCCTAAACATTCAATAATCAGGCTTTTAGTTAGAATTCAGTGACATTTCTTATATTCCGTGCCTTCCACCTTTCTGTTATAAAATAGAAGTTATCGATAAAAATAAATACATATCACCGACCTAAAATTTTATTTGCCCGTCCGTTAATTACACCTCCTGGTTATGGTCCTGAATGGCAATGAGTACAAACATTTTTCTAAGAATCGTTTAGAATCTTATCACAAAATGTGACATAAATATTTGCATGAATACATTCAGTTTGAATTAGTAAACGGAAATAACCAAATAAACAAAATAATTTAGCTCTTGCTAAATTATCCAAAGTTGTTTGGTCATACATATTATGACGTTAATTCTTCTAAAAGCTCCTCAGTGGAGCGTTGCTCTGTTTTAAATTTTTCCATATATTGCTTCGGGACCGTCCACTCAAGCAAAATTTGTACGTTTCTTTTCAATTTTTCAGCTACGGGTATATCTTCCTTGCAAGGTTCCCTACCCGAATTTTTAATGGATTCTATTAGTACGTCATCTATTAATCTTCTATTGAACCCAAGCTCCTCGAGTCTTTCGGGCACCGAGATCTTTTTCAGGAGAATAGCCAAAAGGAACCTCATCTTTTCCACCGCCATCGGCGGTTCTATATTAGTACCTTCCACTTTAACCTCGTCTACCTTCGGTTTCTTTTTCAGTACCTTGCATTTGTGATAGTGCGTCTCCAACTCAATTTTCGTTTTATGAAACGACTTGCAGTGACCACACACGTAGGGCTTGTTGCTCTTGTGGATGCAGAGCATGTGCTTCTTCAAATGCGGAAGTTGAGAGAAGGAAGTATTGCAAAGCATACAAACGAAAGGTTTTTCTCCCGTGTGCCGACGTGTGTGCAACTTGAGCGCCGTGGAGTGAGCGAAGGCTTTCCAGCACACTTGACACCTGTAGGGCTTCTCCCCACTGTGTATTCTTTGATGTACCGTTAACTGAGACCTCTGCGCAAACCTAGCACCGCAATGGGCGCAACCGTGAGGTTTATCTTTCAGATGCGTCCTCATATGTTGCGGTAAATGCCCTTTTAATTCTTTGTTGCAGATTTTACAGTGGAAAGCTTTGACGTTGGCGTGATAGCAGTTCAGATGCTTTTTAAGCGCGTCTCTTCTAAAGAACGACTTCCCGCATATATCGCAAATGTAGTTCCTTATCTCCAGATGCCGGTTCATGTGGAGCTTCAGATTCGCGGAGCAAGTAAATGTAGAGTTACACACGTGGCAAATGTACGGTTTCGAACCAGTGTGGGTTCGCATATGTTGAGCGAGTTGCCCCCCTCTTGCGAATTTCTTATCGCAGTGCTCGCATTCATAGGGTTTGTCCCCGGTGTGGGTCCTGAGGTGCAGGCGCAGCCTCTCCTTTATCGGGAAAGCTTTGCTGCAGTAGTTGCAGACGAATATATCCTTGTTTTGCAATCCCGGCGAGTGCTTGCAAACGATGTGGTTCTTGAGGGAACCGGCCTGCCGGAACCCCTGTCCGCACTCGTTGCAGACGTAGGGTCGCTCGTTTGTATGTATCCGAACATGCTTGCGGAGATCGTTAGCACCTAAAAACTTCTTTTTACAAACATCGCATTCAAATTTACGAGCTTTATCTTTTGCGTAGGTCATTTGACTGACGGATAGAGGGTAACCTGACTAGAAAGTGTTACTTAGCTCTGAAAGTGTGTTAACATGCAAGATAACCCTAAACCTTGTGCTACAGTTTAATTATTATTAAAGTATAAATATTTTTCCCAACCACCAAGTCTAAATTAGTGCGATGAAAGTAATTTTAGGTGAATTGCAAAGGTCCATCGCAGTGCCAGACTAGTAGCAGTCACCTCACCTGTAAGAATTATTAATACCTGAACCAGTTTTTCTACGCTACGTCGAGTATGTAATTGCAGTTATATAAATGAATGTTGGTTATGTGATCGTCAGATGATTATTAGAATCAATAAAAAATATTGTTATAACTAAAGTAGTGGTAATGGACATAAATATGTTATTTTTAATATTATATGCTTAGAGCTGCTGCCAAAATTTGTTAAATACTCTATTAAAATCATGAGCTGTATTAAAACACACTTAAATTAGTTCTAATAAAAAATAAATAAAACATGTAATTAGATGTTTGTATACATTCTAGAAAGGTTTTTATATAGCCTGAAAGATATGTAAACACCGATAAGCCTTCATTATAATAAAGACCACATATAAGTATCAATATGTCATAACATATATTTTGTTTTTGAAAAGATATAATTTAAAAATTAAATTAGATGAATTCAGCTCATATTTGCTATTAAAAAACTGTTAAAATGTTTTGTGTAACGACAAAACTCAATATATTTGTCAGGTTCTGTAAAGATACGAAAAAAGAATATGAAAAATAATGCACTGCTTCAAGCGATTCAATGATTGTGTTAATAAAAATGATTAAATTGTTTTTTCCCAGTCAGGTGGGATTTTCAATAGCCATTTATCACAAAAGCTTTGCCTGTGAGTTTGGAAGATTAGTATTTATTCATTACATAGGAAGCGAATGTATATAATAATAATAGTTCAGTAAGTATAAACTTTTAAGAAAATGAAAAATTTTCATACTAAAGAATTAGTGACAGCATTAGTGAAACAAAATATTACAAGTCAGTTTTCTATTTCATAATAGTATATAATTCTGTTTACCTTGTTACTAAATATATAGATAAAACTACCATACCTTTACGGTATGCATTACCCAATACAAGAAATATTTTACTTGTGAACTACGTAGCCTGAACTCGGTAAAATATGTATGGCATGTCTCATTATGCTTACATATCTACATAACAATTTCTGCTTAATATTTATAAAGAGGTTCCTAAATACAACTCTATTCATATTTTTCATCCAAAATCCCATAACCATAAATATGCTAACTACTAGTATTAGTGCGATTTACATAATCTCACCTTTTTAAGGTCCATTGCTGATGTAGCACATGCGAAATATGAAATTTCAAACACTAATTAACCATTATAATGTTAATAACAATTCAGGAATTGTTTAGACAGAAATGTCAAGTCGAAAACTGTCAGCAAGAGGTGGGGAATGACATCTGGCGTCTGTCAAAAAGTTAAAAAATAGGTATTTTTTATATGGGTTAGATATGATCGAAGACAAAAATATACAGGGTGTCTTTTTAAATAAATGTATTAAATTTCGCTGTTTAGTTGACGACTTTAAACATTCAATATTTACTAATAGTATTAAAAATTAATTCAATATATATTCTGCTTCAGTCATTTTGTAAATGTTGAATACAAATGTATATTCTTTTTGTTTCATTTTTTCCTGTGGAGGTTTTATTTATTTTATGCTCGAGTGAGGCGTCCATTATAATTGAATTTTCAGTAATAATTACTCGTCTAATAGTTATCTTTTTTTATGTCGACTTAGATTGCGTTAAATAGGCAATTTTTATTAAAAAATTTGCGTTACATTTATTAAAAACTTTAAAAATTTCTTTTTATTCTTTTTTTCGACTATCCTCACATTTTTGTTTTTATATCACTTTTTAGAATGTTTTATTTCTGATTACACTAGTGTTTTCTAGATTTTATTCTTTAATTTCCGAAACGCAATTTTTTTTTTACATCGGGGAAATGAAAAACCTGGGATATTTTTTTATTTATATAGAAACGAAGATATGAACACAATCATCATACGTTTAAAACTTAAAATACAAATATTTGATTTAAAATTTGATTTAGTATTAACCTATTTTTCCTTTATGAGATCATTATAATACGCCGTAACGGCCACTAATTTCTTATTCAGAAAATCCTGCTCGATTTCCACTCTACCGCCGACGCCAGCTTCGTGCACCAACTAAAAAAAAAAACTATTATTTAACCCAACCATGACACTCACAGTCACTTACAGCATAAGTATTGCTGTTCTTGGGAAGGAAAACTGCCAGGTTCAACGATATCTTCCTGGCGGCTGCCAGCAATTGCGACAGGGGAACGGGTTGTAGCATTTCTTCCAGTTCGTACATGGGTTGATTGAGGTAAGTGGGACCCCCCCAAGGGGGACTTAAAAACACCTTGTCCGCCTTCAGACTATCGGCCAGTTGAAAGAAATCTCCCACAATGAACTGTATTTTATCGGCCACGCCGTATACTTTTGCGTTGTTTTGGGCGAGCTCAATTTTTTTGGGATCAATATCAATCGCTATAACTAAAGAATAGTAAATTAATAAATTTATCAAGAAATTATTGTATATTTTTTTATGAATTTAAGACTTGCCTTGGTTGCATGTCAGAGCAAATTGAATTGCGTTCCCGCCAGCTCCGCAAAAGGCGTCAACGATTACGTTGCAGCGGCATCTTTCGGCTGCGTGCTTGGCTACCTGTTCGGGTGTGACTGAATACCAACTCTCTAAAAATTAATAAATCTCATCCAACGAAAGAAAACGAATAACGACGAAGCACTATTCTTACCTTCGTCCAATTTGATTCCTCGATCGAATTTACTGAACAAGGAAAATCTCCTATGCCAGTACTTCCTCAACCTGGCGTTTTCTTTAATTTCCGGAGGGAACGAAGGCTTCTTTTTCCTCTTTTTACGTTTTGGCACGGGTGTCTCTTCGGATCTATCCTCGGATTTGGGGGACGTTACCGCCTCGTTCGGCAAAATTTCTTCGTCGCAAGAACTCAACTTATTATCCGAACTGTCAGATAGTACGTTGTGGAATGTCATCTAAACTTGAAAAATATTGTAATGAAATAAATTAAGGTTTTATTTTTATGAATCCTGACCTCTTCGCTATGTTCTGGTTCTGGCAGCGCATTGCCGTCGTCGTCGAAATAGGTATGTTTAGGTTTCTTATTAGGATCGGGGCGCATTTTTAAATGCCGGTTCTGCAGACGAATATGTTTCATCTTATAATTCACTTCGCCGCTCATGGCCTGATTGGAAGATTCCCGGAATTCTATTCCGAGGAGGTTAAAGGCGGCTTTGATCCTGCTTCTGCTCGACTCAAAACTGTTCGATTTTCCTAGTAAACTGGAAGGAAAATTGTTATTTTGTTAAACTGATGGTTTAAACCAATCAATTGTTCAAGATTTAGCAGAAGAAAGCACTCTAACGGCATTAAACAAACACTATTAACATATATATTTGATTTTATTATTTTATTTCAAGGAGAAATTTTACACTTGCCTTTTGAATGTTTCGCAATTATCCCCAGGTGCCTTTTTAAACTTTTGGGTACCAAAACAGGTAGGCAGCCCTAAAGCGATCATGTCCTCCAACTCAATTTGTACGTTTTCATTTTGCTCGCAATCTGCTTCACTGCAATCCTCTTGAAAGATATCAGATTTATCGTCGGGTATGCTTAAATTAATTAACATACCACCAAGGGTATGCGTCACTTTACTAAGTGAATTCGGGGCAGAAGTGGTTTTCTTCGGCAACGCAGATTTACCTGTTTGATTGTTGGTTTTCTCAAGCGAATCTAAAATAAAATAAACAGTATACATTTCCTTGTGAATTTCCCACGTGCTTACCTGTAACGGTACCTTCTATCATCGACTCGATAAACTTATTGTACTGTTGTAGGTACTCTTCCTCATAATGTCTTTTCCAAAGGATATTCCACTGACTCTGATAATCCTCTTCTGATTCTTCCGAACTTAAGGAGCTGTTAACTGAACTCACAGAGGAAAAACTATCCGAGCTCGACGTGCTATTGCTCAATTCCAATGATGAAACGGTCATGCGAGTAACGTTTGTCATAGAATCGACGGTTCTAAGGGAACTACTGGCGTGCGAACCGCATTGGGAGCTGAGTAACCTCTCCACTTCCGTTTCGCAGTCTATGCTGAGGGGCGACAAAGGATTCCAACCTTCTGAAACTTCAGTGAAGAGCCTCTCGTCGCTACCAGACAGATTGCGAACGAGGATGCGGTTTCGCAGGTCGTTGTCCCTCCTTTGGCTGCAACTGGGTCTGTCTTCGTGACGCAGTTCCTTGCTTAGTAGTTCTGTGTTGTAGTTTTGTACTTCTTTTTCGTCGAATAAGAACTTTTCTGCTCTCGACGAATGCTTCGATTTGACACTGTTATCATCGGTAGTACCTTAAAATGATTGAAATTAAAATTAATTTTTTAAGTAACATTCCTTACCTGTTAAAATAACTCCTTCGTTTTCCTTTGTCGCGTCTTGGTCATGCTGAAGGTAATCGGGATTTATATAGGCACTATATTTCTCAATCCAGGATTGCCAAATCAGTTTTTCGCCATTTACTGACCAGAACTTGTTCCAGTCCGATTCAATATCGTGCTTTAAGTATTCTGTGAGGTCCGCGCCACTGTCGCTCTGCTGGATTCCCTTAATCAGTGTTACCTCGTGAGTATCCCTCAGACTGTCATGTTCGTCGGTGGAAAAGTTATCTGTGTGAGATGCGCTACAGTAGCAGCTTACAGTCTCGTGGTCGTTCTTATAAACAGAAGAAGATACTTCACTGTTAATTCATGAACGATGGCCTCTAAACTGTCTCCCGATATATTCAGGGGTCAATTTTATGAGATTATAGGCTAATTTTGAGAAATACCGATATTAGTTTAAATGTTATGTGTATTTTGACACCTGAAAATATCATGAAACAACTTAGGACCACTTTGTATATCACAAATTAAAGAACAGAAAGAAGACAGTTGTACACGGCTTGCATTATAGTATATTTTTTTAGTCAATCAAATAATCTTGCAGTTTTAAATCTTAGATTTTTTTTTATTAGAAAAAGACAATATATGAAAAAAAAACATGAAATAACTACCTCATTTTTGACTGAGGTGCTTCTTTGTAAATTTGGCAGAGTGTCGCTTGTGTTAGAAATGTCCTCCTCATTCTGTATATCGTCCTCAGAAGCACTTTGTTCGATAGATATATTTTGTGTCAAGATGTTCTTGTTACTACAAAAATGCGATTTTTTAGTCCACAGACATATACAAAATTTTGATTGATTTTTAAGGATTAAAATTCAAAGAGGGGTAATTTTTTTAGTTTAGTAAATTTCCTATATTATTCTTAGAAGGTATTGAAAAAAAAAAACTGTTACGCAAAATATTTATTGGTATTTACATATAAAACAATAAAAAATAATTTAAAAAATGTATCAAAAAGTGGATTATCGCGTGATTCTTGCTTTTCGTTGCTCTTCCAATTTGCACGCCTTTTTCCAACACTCTTCGTCGAGCTTACTCTTTCCTTCCGATATACACAGCAACCGTGCCAAGACTAAAAGGCTGTGCAAATCGTCCGCAGTGGCACCTCCCCTTTGCCGCATATTAACGAATTCGTTCTGCACCAATTCCTCAACATTTTCGGATATCTCATACTTAGCTAGCCTTGCCAACGTGAGAAATTTTCTAATGTCATTTAACAGTTCTGGTTTTAAAAAGTGCCTCGCAGCCACAATAATTTCCGCAAACGTTTCCAAACAAATTTTCTCCGGTTTTAGCACAACATGAACGTCCACATTTATCAAAGACTTGCCTTCCGACAATATGAGAAATGGAATATCACAGTCAAATTCCAGAGGATAGTAGTTAAAGTCGTAAGTTACTTTCTGATTCTTTACAGCCCTGGCGATGGCTTTGACACTGTTGACACCCGCCGAATTAAGCTTTCCGGCCCTTAATTTCGTCTCGTCCAAGACTAAATGTGTGTTAGGACTTAACTGGAGAATGCCGGACGTTAAGCGATTACACTCATAGTCTTTCTTCGGAATGAAGCAAAGATCGTTCATATTTTCCAGAGTCATGGGTAGGTAATGACTTTTAGGAATAAAGTTTTCAATAAATTTGTATAATTCCACAGCGAAGTCTAGATTTTCAAACATTGGAACATTGGAAAGGTTCAATGAGAACTTTCCGAGAGGCATAAGATCTCTACGCAGATAAATTTCGGATATTAAATGACAAATTAAATATTCTGCGGCCAACTCGTCACCTAATAATAATTGTGTTAAAACTATCAACAGTTCTTTTCGGATAAAATTAATTCTGTTAACATCTAACTCATCCTCTTTAGTGTTTAATAATGGATTGTTGTGTTTTAATTTTTTAAAACTAACACAATGTATTCTTGGAACTAAAGACGAAGGAGGATGAAGTACTTCCATCTCCATTTTGTTGTCAGTTTCACAACTTTCTTGATACATTGCTTCTGTTATGGGATCAATAGCAAGAAAACCAACAAATTCATAAACATCGTTCAACTTCAGTTCACTTGTATCCCGGTAGACTTTCAAATGGCATGCTTTGCCGGTTCGGGTGGGTAACGGAAAATTTAAAATATACTCTTTCGATAAAGTTTGCGTCTTGGGATTAGTGTCAATGCTATTTTCAGTACAACTTTTTTTCGGTACATCCTCTGTGCTAGTCGATGGTTTTTCTTTGTCTATATCATCAGTTTCCATTTCTTCGTGAGACCGTTTGGCTTGTTTATTAGTCACCGAAGTGTCAGAAGAAATTTTATATTTCTCTTCTTCTATTACTTGAACCCAATCATTTATACCAGGTACCGATATGACTACATAAGTTTCTCTTTCAGCAGTTACATTCTTATCGCTGTTAAAATCTATGGTCTCATCTTCGCTAGACACGGCACCATCGTGATATTTACCACTTTTAACTGATTTTTCACTAGTCGTTAAATTGATAATTTCAAATTTCTCTAGATAATATTCGGGGCTGTGCATATCTTGAACCATTCCTCGGAATCTCACCAGGGTTGTATCTTTGAGATGATGAAGTTCATTCACATTTAATAGCGGAATTTTATCCATAACTTTATGATCTTCAAGTAACTTTGAAAGGTTGTCCTCGTCTTCTATCCACATCTCAGGGGTACATGAAAATATGTCCATTTTATATTATAAAGTTATTTGCTTTTGCTACACAATAACTTTATAAAAAATCATAGAAGTTAGGTTGGAACTGGCGGGAATGCTCTGGTCAACTTACAGAAACTAAAATCACTAAAATTGAAAGAGATTTAATATAATCCATACCTACCTATATTCCTACTAAACCCTTTTAGAAAAAATGTACAGGGTGAACCAATTTTGATATATTCAATGGGTACTTGAAGAATGCAAAAATCACTTGAAAAGAAATTTTACGTGGATTTCAAATATATATCAGTACCTTTTAAAAAAAATATTTTATTCAAGTTAAAAAAAAAGGTTATAGAAAAATATCGCTTATACCTCCATAAAAAAATTGAATAAAATAACCTTTTTACAAATCAAATATTTTCACAAATAAAAAAAGTTATGGAAAAAATACCAAAGTGAAAACCGCACTGTCAAACAAATCGAGACGATGTTTTTACCATTTGAGTTTTACACCTTTTATTTTTTGGGAAATTGGCCCACCTTGTAAATGAATTAAGTGTTTGATTTGCACGGATAAATTTTCAGAAACCGCTGAATTTCTTTATTGAATATCATATTTGCATCAACTAATCCATATATGTTTTTTCATATTAAAATAAAATCGGCACAACTTTACTGTCATCTAATATATTTTATCAATTTTATTAGTATAAAATATTCAATATTAACATTATTAAGGGGTATATTAATAATTTATTTACTATAATGCATAACAAATGGAGAAAAGTAAACATTTGTAACTCCAAAAGGCAAAAAAAAAATCACACATCACTAGAATAGTTATTATAGGTCAAAATTTGAAATATTAAAATTTAGCAGTTCATTCCTAGCTTGAAAATAACCGGTATCCGTCAAGTCGTACGGATCGGGCACAAACGGTGGGATCACGGACAACAAATTGCCCCAGTCAATATTTTGAAACGAAGCCATTGCCATCAGATCGTCAGCACCAGCTCTCTTGTCGGGATCATCCACTAATAAAGCTTCTATGGCTTGTACAACTTCTTCAGAAAGAGCTTCATCGTCTGTCGGCCATTCTATATTGTGTTCTAAAATATTTTTAAAAACCTGCTGCGGCGTAGCATCGTTGAATGGTGGAATACCCGTTACAAATTCGTAAAAGCAACAACCTAAAGCCCACCAATCTACAGCATGATTGTGCCCCTTGCGTAATAACAATTCAGGGGCCAAGTAGTCCGGAGTGCCCAATATCCTCTGATCGGAACTCCACTGTCCTCTACGAACGGATTTAGGTGTTCGATATGGTGTTCTAGGGGTTTTCGGGGTGGTAACTTCATTTTGTATAGGACTCACTGTATTCAAATTATCGTTTGCGTTCTTACAACAATCCGGGTTGCTTATGTTTTTAGGCAACTCGAATCGCATAACTTTCGTTTTACTCGGTTTTTGCACAGACACGGGGGTTGAGAAAGTTACCCCCTTAGGTGGACTAGTAGAATCGACTCTTAATATTTCCATTTCTCCAGTAAGGCCGGTTTTAACGTAAGCCTTCCTGGAAAAAGTAGGCGAAGGAGACCTGTACTTGCGTTTCCTTTCCCTCTCGTTTCGTAACTTGTATAAACCGCAACGACTTGGAATTTTCCTGCTTACAGGCGATGTTGTACATGAGGTACTAATTTGCGATTCTTCTACTTGAGTAGTTTGGCATGTATGATAAGAAGAAGAATGAGAAGTACTATTGAACTCTGTCGCTGACAAAAAAGTTATACCCGATAGTGCCGTACAATTCTGTAGCTTAGCTACATTGGATACGTTCAATTCAGACTTCCACTTGGAGATAGTTGAAGTGCTGTGTTCCTGCAATACTGAAAAACTAGACGAACCTTCATTCTTATTTGTGCTATTGGAATTAGAATCGAAAATAAAATCACTGTTATTGGCGTTACTGGTGACGTATTTTGAATTTCCAGAACCAAAGCTTAAGTGAGATGTTAAACTTAACAACTGTCCAGGTGTCCTCGCACATAAATTTGGAGTACAATTCTCAAAATCAGATATTTCCAAGTCCCTGTGGATATGTACTTTAGACAACCCAAAATCCGTTAATTTTATGTGGCCTTCCTTAGACAATAACATGTTATCGGGCTTTATATCTCTGTGAATGATGCTGCGCTGATGTAGATATTGAAGAGCTAAACAGACTTCAGCAACATAAAACAAAGCCATTGGTTCGTCAAAAAAACCGTAAACACTTAAAAGGGATTTTAAATCTCCTCCTACCATATAATCCATCACGAGATAAACTGAAGATGCCGTCTGAAGAGAGTAGTATAGCTGTACACAGAACGGGCTTTTGGTGAGCGCTAAGGCATTTCTTTCATTTACTACTTGAGATACCATGTTCTTATTTACCATTTCAGTTTTCTTCATTACTTTAATGGCATACATCACATCCATATTATTCTTTTTACAACCAAGGAACACTTTGCCGAATGCACCACGGCTTATCGGTTTTATTATACAAAAATCATGAATTTCTGGCGGTTTCGCAGACGTGTTTGTGATCGTTTCCGTTTTTTCATTTTTCTCTGTATTCATTTTACTATAAAAGAGAGGAACCAACACAATTCACAGATGGCTACTCAGTAAGATTGTTACATTTTAAACCTACTCTTTCATAATATTTAAAAACAAATTTTCGTTCGGTAGCCGTTTTCTTATTTGAATATGAAAATATCAAAATAAGAACATGTCGGATATTTGACAGATGACAGATACAGATTCACTTACCGTATAAAAACCCTAGTACATAAACAAATGACTTCTCGATTACTCTCCGGCTTTTTCAGATAAATCTCAGCTAAGGCATCCCACTGCAGTTCACACATATTAACAAAACCACCTCCTTAAATCATAATTTTGTTGTTAAACACGTTAACATCACGTCAAAACGTCAAAACGCTTACCGATTTTTCATTTTCTTTCGGTTGGCTACACTCGAAAATACCATTAATTAGCTGCTTTCCAATTGTCTGAGAACTGCTCCTAAAGTGTTCTATTGTTTTACTATTTAAATACTCCAAATTTCAACTGGAATGTATCAGAGAGTAACAAATAAGAATCTTAACTTTACACTTTGAGAGTTAAGTCTTTTATAAAAGGTAGAGTGTGGGAGAGCAAGGTAAAATGAACAAAAACACTTTAGGAGTAAAATGTTCCAGTTTATTGAAACTCAAAGAAAGAGTGAAGTGTTCCCAAACTGCTCCGAAGAACATATTAAACAATTGGAAAGCACTTCTTAACTAGGAAAAACAAGTAACATGTTAAATGACGAAGAAGAAGAAGAGGTTGAAAATCGAACAAAGATATTTTCGGTTTAGTTTAGATTAGAATTGGAATTAGAAAAGTCAAATCAAAACATGAAACAATGACATGATTGAGGTTAAATGTGTCACTAGTACAAATTATTTTCTTTAAACTAAAAGGACACATTAGTCTGTGTAATGGACACTTGTTATATAAAAATGAATTGAAGTAATTTTATAAATATAATTTGCAGAAGAATCATGTCGAATTTTGAACCAAAAACTTATTCCAAACTATCGGACAGGAATAGAGCAAAGAGGCGTAGAAGTAGTGCTGGACCAGTAGAGTCGAATAAAAAAGATAACTTGAGTGCTGTTATAGTTGATAGTGGAGCTTACAATATTAAAGCAGGCTTTTCTGGTGATGTAAGTCCTACTTTAATACCTAATTGTATTATGAAAGCAAAATCAGAGCGAAAACGATTATTTATTGGTGATCAGATCAACGAATGTAGAGATTGCTCTGGTCTTTATTTCCTTTTACCGTGTGAGAGAGGGTACATAACGAAGTGGGATGTTCAGAAACCAGTTTGGGATTATGTATTTAGTAAAAATGTTTGTCCGATAAATGATAACCCCGTTATTGTCACACAACCTTTATTTAATTTCAAATCAATTCAAGACTGCATAGATGAAATATTTTTCGAAGAATACGAAGTCGCTTCGATGTTTCGATTAAATCCTACGGATTTAGTTAGATTAAAATATGCCGAAGACCGTAAACTCTCAGATGATGTACCTTGTATTGTAGTGGATACCGGTTTTAGTTTTACTCACATCATCCCTTACATTAAGGGAAATAAGTATTTGAATGGCATTCGGAGGCTGAATGTTGGTGGTAAACTGTTAACAAATCATTTAAAGGACATCATATCTTACAGGCAGTATAATGTCATGGAAGAGACTTATGTTATAAACCAAGTGAAAGAAGACACCTGTTATGTAGCAGAAGATGTAAACAAAGAGTTGCAAGTGGCTGCGAAATCTGGAAACACAAATTACATAGTACGGAATTACGTCTTACCGGATTTTAATAATATCCGAAGGGGATACATACAAGATCCCAGCAATTCCGTTCAAAAGGAAAAAGAGGAGAACTGTCAAATATTGAGGTTGAATAATGAAAGATTCATTGTTCCTGAAATTTTATTCCACCCATCGGACATCGGAATGAAAAGTATGGGTATAGCGGAAGCTGTTGTGAAGTCAATATATAGCTGTCCAAAGGATCAACAAGAAAAACTTGCGAAGAATGTAGTATTAGTGGGCGGAAATTGCAAATTTCCTGGTTTTAAGGAGAGAATGTATACCGAATTACGTTCGCAATTACCTGACCTTTGGGAGTTGAACGTATTTGAGCCAGATGACCCCATATCTTACGCATGGAAGGGTGGAAAACCGTTACTGAGAACTCCCGACTTTAAAAACTTTTTAGTAACAAAAGAAGAGTACGAGGAACTTGGCTCTTCAATCATTCAACAAAGATTTAATACTTGGATGACGGATAACTCTGCTGTAAAGGAGGAACCCAAGAAATCGGTTGAAATTTATAAATATCTAGATAAAATTAAAGGTCGGACGATTTTTGGAAAGCACGACAATGGAAATGCCCCCGACCTTAAAACAAACGGTGAAAGTACTACTGCTAATGCGATGCCGCAAGAAAATAGTGGTAGTGGTACTCCTGTGAGTCTTGCGGATGAGGCAGACTTAGCAACCGGCTCTGAAGAAACATCCCAAGATAGTTTTCAACCTGTGTCTGAACCAGAAATTGCTATAAACAGAACTCTTAGGAAACCTAGTGTCAAAACTAGTAGCTCCATAACTCGAGACTATGAACGTGAGAATTCTGATGCCTTAGTTTCGGAAGATTTAACAAACTCAATCGAGTTATTTCCGTTGGGAACAGGATCCTATTTGTGAATGCCACGGAATTCGTCATGCCTAAAATTTCAGATTTTGTATTTTTGACGTTTTCAAAGGAACATCCTTATGATTTGTATTTAAAAGTTTTATAAATAAATCACTTTCTAAATGGCTTGTTTTTAATTTCAATTTGTAGTGAAAATAAAACATTTTTAAATTTTCATTTCACTTTACTAGTTGATTAGAGGAACAAGTGATCTTCGTTCTTAAATGTAAAGCAACAATATTTTTTATTAAATTTAAATTGTCCACCAAAGAAAATCAATCAAATAAAAGGCGGACTGGACAAGTTGTAATTAAATATATACAGGGTGGCCAAATGAAAGCGAAACAGCCATTTTCAGGAACTGCGTCGAGATTGTAGAAACTCGTTTTTTATTGGCTACGTTCCCCGTCTCTTGAAATTTTTTTACTAACATACTTCCTCCTGACATGTCGATCTTGATGTTGTTCATTAAATAGCTGAGCTGTTCTATTCGCACATTTATTGTTCATAAAGTAAAGTGAAATGATATCTACCCTTTCCGCAATGGAATAAACCAGTGTTTAATTTTCAAAAACACAATTAAATAAACTACCAACCAACGCTTCCAAATAATACTAGAAAATAATTTGGAATCCACTAATTTTACGTTCATTGTGTGTGTATAGCATTCATTCGTTTTTTTTTTATGAAAGCGATAACAAATCGCCAGAAACCAATGTAACGCAAGAAATACTAAATTTATACCATTGGCGTAACTCGAATGACCGACATTTTTACCGATACCAATTGTTTGTACATAAGTTTCAACTTTAAAATAAAAATTCTTAATAAGTATTGTGCGGAATTATAAAATTTAAAGTCTGTTGTAAAGAGAATTATAAGAGCTTTCAAAAGAAATATTCCTCAACCCCCAATGCCATTTAAATATTTTGGGGTGATGCTTACCCTCGCTTGAGGGTGAAAGTAGCGTAGTCAAAAATACCAGCAAAGAATGTCCCCCTTTAATCTAAAATCGACGGATCTGAGCGTTTTTTTTACAATCTTGACGCGGTTCCTGAAAATGGCTCTGTTTCGTTTTCATTTGGCCACCCTGTATATAGCTATAATTAGTTTTTTAAAATGCACTTTAATACTCGTGTACACCACCACTGTAATATTCATGAATTACAAATACATGAATTGTAGGCAACCTCCAGTGCACGCGAAGGGAGATAGTGCGAGTCAACAGTGACGAAGCGAAGGACATCAGTTGTTGTTGCGCAATTGGAGACAGTACATTTAACTGTGATTTTGAATATTTTTCATCACTGGAAGGCATCAACAGACCGTTTATTTTTGTGTATTTCATTTATCATTACTGATTTCTGCTCGAGTGCTAAGCAAAAGTAATTTGTGGCGAATGGTGTGGAATTGTACCTGTGCTACGACTAAAGTGCATGAGGTTCTCCAGCGCTGGGGTATAAAAATTAATAAAAAACGGTTTAAAAAAGAAAAATTTACATTTTACGATAGAATTTGAAGAAAATAAACTATTGATACGTGTTTCTAAAGATCAAAGACAGATTTTGTATAAATATGAAAATATAAAAAACGAATTGTTTAAAAATATCTTTTTGGGTTTGTCTTTAATTAGAAAGAAAAAAAGAACTGAAAATTCAGAATTTAGCTTCACAATTTATTTATTTCAAGTCAACATTAAAATTTATAAAAAATACTTATCCAAACCAATCCTGGTAACAGAATTGAAACAAACATTTGTAATGTTTATTTTTTGAAAAATGTTAATTTACAATATAATCTTTACACAGAAATAAAAATTTTTATCCTAAAAAAAAATTATATATGTACCTACATAAATATACTGCTACAGGAAATTATATTTTATATATAAATGAAAACAGATATATGTATTTGCACTTAAAGTTGCCAAAATAAACCTCAAGTTCTACCACGCAGGTCGGATACGTGCTAAAAACATCTATAAACATAAACCTATTTGTATGGTGATATAAACTCTTTTAATAAAAAATTTTGTTACATCATACAATTCTAAAAAATGAATTACACATATATTTATGTAACTTATGATTACTTGGTTGTTGTACTACTTCGTTACTCGGCATCGTGGTACTGCACCCTGAATGGGACAAAAAATAACGTATCACTTACCGTAACAAGTCCATAAGACAGGTCGAACTTAGAAGTGGAAGTCCTAGATGGCGCCATCTAGCAGTTTCACTCCCAAGTTCAACTTGTCCAACTAGATAATAGAGGGTGCACATTGACAAATGACGGTGTTGAAAAAATGGCCTGCTTTGCTAGTTTGTGAAACAAATGTGTCTTGATTTAAAATCCATGAAAAATAAGTATGCCTTGGAAATTAATCGCCACTTTTGTACGAGATACCAGAAAAATGTTTTAATCAAATAAATAGTTGAAATCAACGGAGAGCGATGAAAATTGCAATAGAAAATAATTAGTAAATATTACGGGGACGTTCTCGCCGTTTTGTGTAAAGTATTTTTTTTTATAGTGTTAAACATGCCGACTTTCGTGCCGAAAAAGAGTATTCGAGGGGAATATTAGTGCACAAACATGCAGGGATCGGTTTAGACACTTCGAAAATAATGATTTCGATGTTGAAGATGAAGAACGCGCACTGAAACCGTTTGAAGATGACGAATTGGAGGTATTCCTTCACGAAGACTCATGTCAGGCCAAACTTGCAGAATTGTTAGGAGTCGATCACACAACGATTTCAATACGTTTGGAAGCATTAAGAATGATTCAAAAGCAAGGACATTGGGTATCGTACGAGATGAAGCCGAGAGCCGTTACAAGTGGAAACAGCTGCTTCGACGGCGGAAAAGGTAACGTTGTTTGCATCGTATCGCGACTGGCGATGAAAAATGGGTACGTTACGATTATCCCAAGTGTAGAAAACAGGGTCTGGCTGAGGGACACTTCCATTCTTATGAAGACGGCAAGAAGTGGGCCGAAATGCCCGAAAGATGGGAAAAGTGGTGAATCCATTCAATGACACATTTTTTACCAATTTAAAAAAAAAAAAAACCTTTAACAAAATTGTTATAGTGCAGTCTTGAGTTTCATTTTTTAGTGAAATGTAACGAAATCGTTTCATTCCGTTCGTCGTAAAATTTAAAGTGATTTTTAGTGAAATGTAACAAAATCGTTTCATTCCGTTCGTCGTAAAATATAAAGTGATTTTTAGTGAAATGTAACGAAATCGTTTCATTCCGTTCGTCTACTAACCTCTCCTTGCCTCTAAAACGTTTGCTTAATCTGCGTCCCGTGTCGGGCGTGCACAACGTGTATCTCTGGACGTGCTGTCTGTTGACGCGTAGCTCCCTCTCGTCAACCGCCCTAGCCCTCTCCACTTTGACCATAAACTTCTCGATCAGGTCCTTGCAATCCATGTTCTCCTCGGGCTCCCAACTGTTGTCGGAATTGCCGTACCCCTTCCAGGACACCAGGAACTCCCGTTTGCCGTCCTTCCTGTGGTGCACCTCCAGTATTCTGTCCACCTATAAATCCGATCGTGGCATTTTATGTCATGCCGTCTCCGTAAAAGTTACACGTTTACCTCGAAAGCCTCATTCTCGTCCCACTCCTCCGACTTCGACTCCTTCTTTTCCCTCTTGGGCGATTTGGCGGGCTTGACCTTTTTCTTTTTGTTTTCCTTAAAGTCCTGGATCAGCCTGCTGCAGTCCAAGGTGTCTTCCGGCTCCCAAGTGTCGCTCTCCTCCTCGTACCCCTTCCAACGGATGAGGTAGTGGCGGACGCCCTTGATGATCTTCTCGTCGAGGACGGCTTCGACCTTGAAAAAAATATATGTAATACGGTGTTTCATTGAACCTTATTACTATTAAAATAATATTTTTTACATCTCATAAAAATATGCACAGATTATTTAAACAGATCTTACCTCATACTGGGTCTCATCGTCTTCATCTTGGTTGTCAGACTCCTGGCCAACCTTCTCTTTAACTTCTTCTTTTTGTGCGGTTTTAGGCTTTTTGTTTCCCTTCTTTGAGATTTTCTTTCTCTACAAAACAGTGTACAGCGCTTTAAACTGTATCATGATCAGAATTATTCTTGATCTTACCTCTTGGGGATCGCCCTCATCATCTTGCTCTTCGGATTCTTGAGATTCGTCGGTTTCTTCCTTTTTAGTAGCTTTTCGGCCGGCTTTCGATAACTTTTTGTCCTATAATAAAGCAGAAGTCTCTTTTATTAAAAAGAGCAATATTTTTTTTTCATGAAGGAGACTAGTCTAATCATTACTATACGAAAGGTAAATAATCTGTGAATTACTACACTAAACTATATAAATGAAGGAATAAACATATTTTAATACAATTATTAACTACTATGACATTTATTTGATTTTTAGTCCATCTTCAGTAATAACTGCTTGCAAGCTTTTGATCAACAATTAATTGCACTGGCTTTACATCTTATCATTTTTATTACTTTGTTTGGTATGCAAAATTTAACATTAGGCACCATTTAATATGGCTCTACAAGCACATTTTTAAATATCAAATTTTTACCTGCTTCAAGTGAGTAGCTGTCAAAATGACAATTTATAAATTATGAAATATAAAAATGTACTAAGCAATTTAAGCTGCGTGAAGTTTAAATTATTAAATAATAAAAAGAGTAAAATCTACTTTATTTATTTTCCCACCATCCCAGCAGACCTCCATTATGAAAATCATAACAAAACCTCTTCCAACTTATAAAGAACCTAATATCAGAATAACACGAGTACAATAAACATTTACCTCTTTTTTGTCTTCATTATCATCCTGCTCCCCCGACTCCTCAGATTCTACGGCCGTTTCTTCTTTTTTCGCAGAAAAGGAAACGCTTTTTCGACTACTTTTCGAGGACTTTCTCTTTTTAGGAGCCTCTTCTTCATCACGATCAGAAGCGTCACCGTTTTGTTCGGACTTAGTGTCGACACCATTGGTACCGTCCTCCTCTTTTTTGGAAGATTTTCTGCCACTTTTGCGCTTCATTTTTGGAGCTAGTCAGAAATTTTGATGAGAATACCTAGGTTTGCTTATGCTATTTGCAGTACGACGCCACCAAGCCAAGCCACCAAACACCAAGACCCAAACAACTCTACCAAAACAAAAAACGGAACTGTAACTAGGCGGGAGAATAATGACAGCTTTGGGCCTTTTTTGGTTGATGTATTGGCAACAGTTTTGAAATTTTTTTTTCCAAGACGATTTGTATGTATGATTGAGCATTAAATAATAATAGCATAACATAATCTGGAAAGCGTTAAAACACTATTTGGGCAGTGAAATAAGCTGCTACCATATTTATTAGGTGGTTCAAGACTTCTGAAATAAAAAATGATGATTTAACTAAATTTACCATTAAACAGAGTCGCTGTGGACGTAAAAATTATGACAAAATTTTAATTGTTTTTCAAATAATTCTAAAACGCGATAAAATTTGATAAGGTTATGTTACTACTTGCCTGCAGATGTCACTTGTTGACATAGTAATCTAAAAGTCCCTAGATTAACCAAGTTCTACAATATACTGTTCCCGTTTGTTCCAATATCGAGGTTTAGCATGTGCAAATTTGCTCTGTTTGTACTAAAAACAATCAAAATTTAATTGAGTTTTTGCGTATTAATTTTATTATGTATTGAAAATTCAAAAATATGTTTTAAGGTTGGCAATACGGGTTTTGCCCTAATATAGCAATAGTTTACGGTACTACTCTATCCGAACCCTTAAGCAATTGTTTTTTTGCACGATCTTATAACTTTAGCACAGAAAACCTAACAAACCATCTAAAATCACATTTTAAGTTGGCGGGAAAATGTATGATATAAAAAAATTATAAAGTGCTATTCAGAAATTAGAAATTATCCACGACAAATCAACTATTTTTTTAATAATTGACCGACTTAATATACTTTTAAAAATTTGTCGACATATTAATAATTATGCCTTCCATGCACCGCAAATCGATTCAGTTAGATGAAAATAAAAAAATGTCTCGTGCAATATGTTTTATTAAATAAATATCATTTGAAAAATTTAAACCGGCAATAAATAAAAAAACTTTACAGTAAAAATTATCACAATCAAATTCAACGTCGGTGTCGTTCTTTTCGGCATCATATTTGCACGATAATTGTGTCGCCCTCTTGGATCGAGTAATACCCAAGCTCTTTCATTTCGTCGTCTAGTTCGATTATAATGTCCGACTGCGAACCGCCGATGTACTTAATACTGGGCCTTTCCTTCAATTTAAATAATTTCTGGATCAACATCACAAGTTTCTGAATCAGGATGGACGGTGGTAACTTTTTAGAAATCCTTCGTCCTTCGAATTCTATATTCAGTTCGATTAACGAACTTTTCAAAATATTTGGCTGGACTATTAACTCGGACTCTTCGGGTAAACCGTATTCTAAAAACCCAAAATTAAGTCATGATTACCGTGAATATTTTCAAACAAACGCTACTTTCTATCAATTCTAAGTATCTGTTATGTTGTAAAAGGAATCGTCCTCTTTCTGGAGTATCTTTAACTTTTATCCACTCTAATGCGTACTTTTTTATATAATCGTACTCTGCACCTCTCCTTTCCTCGTCGATTATTGTACGACCATTGAAAGTCTGAAACAAAACAAAGTTAGGCTAGGTAAGGTAAGGTAAGGTAAGGTTGGATAAGGTAAGGTCGGATAAGGTAAGGTAAGACTGGATAAGGTAAGGTTAGGTTGGGTAAGGTAAATTTAGGTTGTTCGTTGACAATTTCATACTTTCAGATGCCGTAAGTGTGCTATCACAAGTTGTTCCCTCATAGCTGGGCTTTCCGTTTCCAGTATTGGATTATTCGTAAACCTTAGGTGCTCAAGTTTTTGTAATTTGCTCAATTCCGATATGGAACGCCACTGAAAAGAAAACATTAAAGTGTACTCAGAGATCTGTTAAAGTTGTTCAACTCGTACCTCTTTGATTAAGTTATTGCTGATGTTAAGTCTGTTGAGGTTCGGAAAATCGCTCGTAAGAGCCGAATCCGATTGAAATAAAATACTCTCTATTTTTGTGTCTTCCAGCATCATGTGTTCCAAGAAAGACATTTTCGATAATTTATTAATTTCCGACCAATGTTTTATACAGTTTCCTTCCAAGTCGAGGACTCTCAAACGTTTTAGATTGCGATCGTTTGGTATTGTCAAACTGGTGATATTATTATACGGCACTCTTAATTCTTCTATGTTTGGGAAAACTGAGGATAATTTAATTATGTCCTCCCACGTTAAGGTCATATACCCACAAATTAATACGGTTATATTTGGGAAAATATATTCTTTGTAATTTTCGGGAATGGATAAAATATTTTCACTGTGGATGGAAAATAATGTTATCTAGATGCTTCCGTAAGGTTGCAGTGACGGCCGGTAAAAATTAAGGTGTCGTATGCTGATAATAAGGCAAGAGGCCCATACCTTTTACCGTTTTTTGGCCCACATAGAGAACATTTAAGGCGAAAAAATTCTAACTTAATTTTCATCAGCCGCCGCTATAAAGTTATTCAATTTCTAAGGGTAAAATATTGTTCAAATTTACCTGACATTTATCCAAAACAAATGTTTCAATTGAGAGCAAATATCAAAAACATCAGTCCAGGAAGAAAGCAAATTTTTTGAAATATCTATTTCTCTAATATTTGGACAGAGACAGTTTAGTTCGTAAGGTGTCCCAATATTGTTAACATGTTGCAGCCGGACATTTACCACTTCCAAAGAATTAAAATCGCTGGAAAAATAGTACTTTTTAATCAACAGCTTTTTCGACATATTTGCATTTTTGTACTTAGTACACCATGATATATTCCCATACATACTGAATCTACACTGAGTGCAAATAAGTTGAAAAAGCTGTAAATATTAATAACGGTCCAAATACTAACCTTTGTTTGTCGACAATCTTATCAAAACCAACTAGTTCAAGAAACGGGGCATTAATTGATTGCTGAAAGTTGAGCAGTTGCTGCTCTTCAATTTTAGCCGTCAGTTCATCTCCTCTTTCACCATATCTCATTCTGATTGCTGTTATTAAAGACTGGCCAAAATTTACTTTTTCTCTCCTTAGAAATGAGCCTGATTTTGGATGCCTAAAGACATTATATTAAATCAAATGTATCAGATTTCAGTACAAACCCTACCTAGTATTGAAGTAATGTATTCCATTTACCGTTCCATTGTGTTTACCCCTTTCAATGTCATCCCAATCGATTCCCAACCAAACTCCAGGATGGCCTTCAACGGGACCAATATATTTTATTGTTCCGAAATGTCCACAACATTCTATTCTGCCTCCAACATTGTGGTCAGGAATAGCCGATTCAGCTACCATTTCAGAACTAGTTGTACTAAAAATATTAAAATATTAGTACAGGTTATGTATTTGTATTATAAGTACAGCGAGTTTTATCCCGTTATTAAGGTAAACAAGTAACAATTTTTATTATTTATATTGAAAATTACCCTTTGGAAAGCATGCAAAATACACATATATTTACTTTTTTTCAGATAATAATGACAGAAGGCATATTTACCTTTAAAAAGGATTGCCAAACGTAAAATATGTGTTTGAAAATTTGATAAGAAGAAGAAGTAGAATAATTTAATGTAGCCAACTTTTGATTTACATTATTTTAAATAGGCTATTTTTGATGAGCTTACCAGCAACCAGTGTATCAGGTATGATGTCACTTTTTTATTTATTTAATTTTAGCTTAATATAATTAAAGGGACACAGGCCTTAGAAAAGGATGTCAAAAAGTCAAAATCAACGAAAAGATCGAAATGGTTGCACTGCAATCTGCATTGCAAATACATATATGTTTTTTAGAGCCTTACAAACATACTCATACTTTGGTAAACGATTTGTAAGAATGTAATAATATTGTCTCAGGCACAAACACATTAGAAAATAAAAATTGTTATTTTTTGCCAAATTTGAGTTAAAATTTACTTTTATTTCAATTATCCTTTTGTCACTATTTTGTTTTATAGTTGTCTGCAGTTTATTGTTCTTTAGTAACCAAACATTTTTCTATGGCCAAACATAACCTTAATTCTTATCTTAACTATTATTGTGTGTAAACATGGGAAATAGGAAATAGGTGATTATTAAGAGGAGAAAAGAAAAACAATTTTTTTCATTGTCTATAGGAAATAAAATAAAATAAAAATGAGGTAGGTGTAATACTCTTTATCTGTGTGCTATAATTAATTAAATGCAACATTAGGATCAGCGTTGATGGTCTGATTGTGTATTTCCCTTACGATTATATTTACCCCGAACAGTATTCTTACATGTGTGAATTGAAAAAGGCGTTAGATGCTAAGGTAATTAGTTTTTGTTTATATATAAGCCTTTTTTAATCCTAGAGTACTTTTTAAGGGTCACTGTTTGCTGGAAATGCCTTCGGGTACTGGTAAAACAACAACGTTGCTGTCTTTAATTGTTGCTTATATGCTGGAAAATCCACATGATGTAAGAAAGTTAATCTACTGTTCCCGGACGGTGCCTGAGATTGAAAAAGTTATGGAAGAATTAAAAAAACTTCTTAGTTATTATGAAAAATTAGATGGGCAGTATCCCAGCTTAACTGGAGTAGTATTATCTTCTAGAAAAAATCTCTGCATACATCCAGCGGTGAGTAATTTTCAATAAATTTAGGTAACATGTTTTTTTTACATAATTTACACATATTCAGTTGATTGGTTTGTTGTAAGTGAAGGAAATTTGACATTGTTGATGTCCTACTAGTCTGTTATTTTACAATAAACATTTTATTTTATATTTTGTATCAATAAAATTAAACATTCGGTATGAGTAAGAAGAAGAAGAGAAGTAGTTCAAATGTTCTATGACAAGAATATAACCCAATTTCGTAGTTAAATTTTTGTTTATAAATACTTCATTATGCTCTCCAGAAGAGTAATTTCAACAATAGTACAGAAGAAATTGTTTTCCAATACTTCCAAATATTATATAAACGCCAATCCAAATATAAAACCATTAGAAAATGTAAAGGCAGAGTTAAATATAACAGATAAATGTATTGAGAGACTGAAAAAAATTGTAAACGGTTCAGACAGTTTCTTAAGGGTCTCAGTTGAAGGTGGTGGTTGTTCTGGTTTCCAATATAAATTCGATTTGGATAATAAGTTAACAGACGACGATAAGGTGTTTGAGAGAAATGGGGCGAAAGTGGTTATTGACGAAACGTCTCTTGAATATGTTAAAGGAGCAACTGTAGATTATCAAGAAGAGTTGATAAGAGCGTCTTTTAAGATAGTCAACAATCCATTGGCAGAGCAAGGATGCTCCTGTGGTGCATCTTTTGCTGTCCGTTTAGATTAATATTGTAGAATTTTCTCTTTCGTTGTAAATATATGTAAATAAAATATCTATTAAACACTATTTTAAAGCTAATTTTTATAAAACCCCAATAAAATAATAAATCAAATAGTATAACTAATACATATTCAGAAATTCAAAGTATTTTGAATTTTTGTCACAGAAATAACGAAATATTTGACCATAACTGGAAGTTAGATTGAGCAGCACCTTTTGGCAATGATTTAAATGATCTTTTAAATGGCTTATTTCTCAGATTTTACATAATCTACTTTTTATAAAAACAGGTTAGTACTGAAAGGGAAGGTAAAATAGTCGATGGAAAATGCCATTCACTGACAGCTAGCTACATACGAGAACGTCACAATTATGATGATACTACGCCTGTATGTCAGTTTTATGAAGGTTTTGCACTGGACGGAAAAGAAAGTACTATGCCATACGGAGTCTATAGTCTAGACGACTTAAAACAGTATGGAAGGGACAGGAACTGGTGTCCATACTTTTTGGCTAGATTTGCGGTGTGTATCATTAAAACAATACTTCAAGAAATACTTTTGTTGTTTATTTTTTAGATTACCTATGCCAATATTGTAGTATACAGTTATCATTACTTATTGGACCCAAAAATTGCAGAGGTGGTATCAAAAGAACTAACGAAAGAGGCCGTTGTAATTTTTGACGAGGCTCACAATATAGATAATGTATGCATTGACTCGATGAGCGTAAAAATTCATAAGAGGACCATCGAGAGAGCCACAGCAAACATTCAGTTGTTGGAAAAGACTGTCGCGGAGTAAGTGTTGTTAAACATGTCATATACAGCATTATAATTCTAATTATTCAAGGATGAGGGACGATGATCACAAAAAACTTCAAGACGAGTACCAGAGGTTAGTCGAAGGCCTGCGAGATGCCACTGTTGCGAGAGAGACAGATGTAATCCTTTCAAACCCTGTTTTACCCGATGAGATATTACAGGAAGCTGTACCGGGGAATATAAGGAATGCGGAACACTTTATAAGTTTTCTTAAACGGTTCGTTGAGTACCTAAAGACTAGGTTGCGGGTACAGCACGTCGTACAAGAATCGCCGGTAGGTTTTCTTAAAGATGTACAGGCTAAAGTGTGTATCGAGAGGAAACCGCTGAGATTTTGCGCTGAACGCTTGGCATGTCTATTAAAAACACTAGAAATATCGGATCTTACAGACTTCAGCCCAATTATTTTAATAACACACTTAGCTACACTGGTTTCGACGTACATGAAAGGTTTCACGATAATCGTCGAGCCGTTTGACGATAAAACCCCAACCGTCTCGAATCCTATTCTACATTTTAGCTGTTTGGATTCATCTATAGCGATTAAACCGGTTTTTGACAGATTTCAAACAGTGGTGATAACTTCCGGTACCTTGTCGCCATTGGATATGTATCCCAAGATATTAAATTTCCATCCCGTCATTATGGCATCTTTCACGATGACCTTAGCAAGGCCGTGTCTTCTGCCAATGGTATGTACAACTGGTGTGTCATAAATACATGGTAATTGTCTAAAAAATTCCAGATTGTTTCGAAGGGCAACGACCAGGTGGCTATTTCTTCCAAATTTGAGACTAGGGAGGACAATGCTGTGATCAGGAACTACGGGCAACTACTCGTAGAGGTAAAAATGGTGTATGTCGGTTTTCAGTAAACGTTTCCAAAATGCAATGTTTGCAGATCGCTGCAAACGTTCCCGATGGCATCGTTTGCTTCTTCACGTCCTACTTATATCTGGAATCTGTGGTCGCCAGCTGGTACGATCAAGGTGTTATAGACAGCTTGCAGCGCTACAAACTGTTGTTTATCGAAACTCAAGACTCGGCAGAAACTAGCTTCGCTCTGATGTACTACATAAAAGTAACGATGAATTTTTAATAAAAATTATATGCTGTTGAACTTGTCCTTTTTAGGCTTGCGAGTCTGGTAGAGGAGCGGTTCTGCTGTCCGTGGCCAGAGGTAAGGTGTCGGAAGGGGTAGATTTCGACCACCACTTGGGCCGATGCGTGCTTATGTTCGGCATACCCTACGTTTACACCCAGTCCAGGATACTAAAAGCCAGACTGGATTATCTGCGGGACCAGTTCCAGGTAAAGTAACGATGGAAAAATTAATTTAAAAACTATACGTCCGTCGTTTTATAGATCCGTGAGAACGACTTTTTAACGTTCGATGCAATGCGACATGCCGCACAGTGTGTGGGAAGGGCCATTCGGGGTAAGACGGACTACGGTATCATGATCTTCGCCGATAAGAGATTCGCGAGGGCCGATAAGAGATCCAAGTTGCCGAAGTGGATACAAGAGCATTTGAGGGATTCGCTCTGCAATTTGTCGACCGAAGAGGCGGTTCAGGTAAGATGTTTTATTTATTACAGAGTGTTAATATAGTGGGAAACCGCTAATCTATGGATTACGTTAATAATTCTCGGACATCGGATAACATCAACCTTGGACCATACAACATATAACGTATAGTATACGCAAGTGACGCAAATCGAAACAGTCTGTATTGCGCTTCTCTTCGTAGCGTTGTTTGCGGCTGTTGTCATGGCAACGATGCGGCCAACTGGGGATTAAACTATGGCGGGGAACGAGTGACTCAGAAATTGAAGCAGCATCGCCCATCGCCTGCCTTTAACAGTTTATACGTTACGCGTCGCAGGATTATAACGGTTCTTAGTTAATATTTGTTTTGTATAATTGTAGAAATGTTTCCTATGTATGAACCAGTATGTATTCTATTGGAAATGCCATTTTCCAGATGGAAAATTGAGGACGAAGAGGATTTTTTAAATTAAGCGAGACCTGTGCCTTATTCTCTCGATATGGAAAAAAGGGGAAGTCAAAAGACGTGTACGTTCGAACGTTTCGGAATGAAAGGTATTCGGAGTATAAGTGATTGTGTGGAAGTGTTTATTTAAAAAAACTTTTCTGTATGCCGTGTTTAATTGTGGGTGTAAAGTCGGGCGTGTGGATTAAGAAGGGATTTAACAATTTTGGGAACCTCACGAAAGGCTGTTGTAACCACAAAGCTTCTGTGGAACATACATGTACGGCGTTGCTTTAATGTTCGCAGAAGTCCACAAGCCGAACTAATATTTCTATTTTTTATAAAATCTAAATGAAAATCCCTCTCACGAACGTCAGTTTTTCGGTAATATTGTAAAAATTTCCAGATTCATTTAAAGCTGTTTGACTGAAAATTTTCGAAATTTTTTTTTTTTAGTCAATAAATTTGCTTCACCGATTCTCAATGTCACGAGCCGCCACTGTCCAATATTTGCGTTTTTTCTANATTCGGGGTAAGACGGACTACGGTATCATGATCTTCGCCGATAAGAGATTCGCGAGGGCCGATAAGAGATCCAAGTTGCCGAAGTGGATACAAGAGCATTTGAGGGATTCGCTCTGCAATTTGTCAACCGAAGAGGCGGTTCAGGTAAGATGTTTTATTTTTTACAGAGTGGTGCATTTTTTCATCTCACAGAGATTTCTAAGTGTTAATATAGTGGGAAACCGCTAATCTATGGATTACGTTAATAATTCTCCCAAATAAAATTTAAAATGACGTGTCCTAATGTTATTAATACAGAAAGACCTACCCGACAGTAAAATTTTAAATAATTGGACTTTTCAAGGACCGACACGTAAAACAGCGATTAAAGAAAGATATTATCATTTCCGTATTTTATTAGGATTGTTTCATCGTGACCTAAAAAACATTTTTAAACAACGGTGTCGAACATATCGTCAGTATGATTAAATTAATGACTTGTTTTTTGTACCTATCCAATATTTGCGTTTTTTTAAATTTCTTTTTAATATTTTAACTTTATTGAAAAGATATTAAGTTAATTTAAATAAATTCAAAAGTTTTTTAAATTTGAATTGAAAACATAAAAGCGATTTCTATATCTCGCTTTTCTTCATGTTTTTAAGAATTTTTTCAAAGATTTGTGATGTAAAATCCATTTTTAAAGTTCGGATGCATTGTATATAAAAAGTGAAATGCGTGAACGTTTTTATTTTATGTTTCGTAGATGGCAAAAAGATGGTTAAGGCAGATGGCGCAGCCTTTCACGAGAGAAGACCAGCTGGGCGTTTCTTTACTTACCTTGGAGCAGTTGGAAGACTTGGAGGCGAAAAAAGTTCAAGAACAATCCGAAGAAGTTTAAATCGTTGCTTTATCGTTTAAAACTTAGTTTTATACTCAAATTTTGTTTTTTTTTTAAATAAATATCCCATCGTTTCGTAATCCACTGTCTCCAAATATTTATTTAATATAAAAATATATACAATTACCTTCATTAAATAAAAAAAATACAATATATAAACAATTAACTATAAAATTACTTAATTAAACAATAAAAACATTATCAATAGTGACTAAATTTATAATAAAGCGTCCGAAGACTTGCAAAAAATTAATTTACGACACCAACTGTCTCTCTAGTCCAGCTGGTATTGTGATCCCACCTGTATCGATGGTCTCCTCCATTGTTTGATCCACGTTGAGAAAACAGTTCTGGGTCTCATCGTCTTCCACCTCATTCTGTAAAAAAATAACGTATGTGCAGCACCAGGCGAAACGACTAACAAATGTTTTACTATTTGGATGTTCGTCATCGACATGTATCGAACATGGGTGAGATATAACCTCAAAGTGTCTTAAATGTCACTGCTACACAGTGCCTACTGACACAAAGCACCAATTTGTATCTACTGCCCAAGTAACCTGTTAAAGCGAAATACAAGTTTACGAAAATTTGTCCTCGTCATTCTTATGGTTTTAGAGGGAAAAAGAATATGTCTAAATCACTGTGTTAATTTTCATTATCTCATAAGTCGTGCTTTCATAGTACCTACAATTAGGTCATATTGCCAGTAGGTACAAAGTAGTGCTTTGTGTCAGTAGGCATTGAATAAAAAAGACAAGATATACTTAGTAGTTCATATGTCACCCACGGTAATTCTTTTATATTTTACTTAAATATGTAATGTACATACAGGGTGATAATTTTCGAAGAATTTCGAGAAGATAGTACCCTTAAAAAATAAACAGCAAAATAGATGAAAGCAAGACTTACACTAAACAAATATATGTGAGTTGTTTGATTATCAGTCGCCTCTATTTTTACGTTTGTTCCTTCTTTACCTGAAAATTAATTCGTTTTACTCAAATAAGTCCGCTAATTTGACAGGGATATTATATCATGAATGAAAACCAAAAAAACGTTCTTACTGCTTTCCTTTAAGGCCGCCTCGTGCCTCTTTAGGTGCGCCGAGTAATCTGCCAAATTTATGCAAGTGTACGAACAGTAACTACAGCTGTAAGTACCGCTCTGACCGGGATGGCGGTTGTTTATGTGGCTTTTATACGCAGCGCTTTGAATCGAAGTATACGAACAGTGTGGACACTTATATTTTTTGGCCTAAAACAAATCGATAAATCGTAAGTGTTACAAACACAGGCGTTCTCAAATTCAAAGCATTTTTTTATGTAAAACACAAAACTTGTCATATTTAAAAAAAAAGGGAACGTCTACTCACACCGAGATGTCGCATGACGTGCTTCCTCAGGCAGTTGTGATCCCCGGTCCGGTATTCGCAATACGGGCACTCGTGCGGTTTGTCGCCGGTGTGCTGTCGTATGTGCAGCTGTAAAAAAAATAAACCACCGAACAAATTGCCGTAACGTTCCAAAAATCACCTTACTTCCAGCATGGCCTTCCTGGCAGTCTTGTGTCCGCAGATATTGCATATAAACGGCTTGAAGTTCTCGTGGACGGACTGAATGTGTTTCTTCAGGCATTTGGAATTGGCGAAATAGCGTTCGCAGATGGAGCAATGCCTCATGACGGACCAGTTCGGCAACTAAAAGAAATTCAAGGAGTATACGATAGGCTTAACGGTTCTTTACGCTTACGTCCTCGGGTTTTTTGTGGGTAACCTCGTGGTTCTTGAGCTGAACCATCGTCTTAAAGCCCTTTCCGCAATCGCTACATAGGAACGGTTTTTCCTTGTTGTGTATGGCCATGTGGGTCAAGACCCTGACTACAATAAAAAATAAATAATTCGATACAAAAGGAACACTCCCCAGAGTTTTGGAGAAAGTTTTCTGTGATTTAGCAAAATATTCTCGTTCCCACCGCTAGAAAATATTCTCCCGAGTTCACCTACTTATAAATTAGTCACCTACCTGAACTGTTCGACTTGAAAGTATTGCACATGGGGCAAGTTAGAAGACCCAGATCGATTTTGTGGCATTTCCACAGGTGGTTGGTACATATCCGCCAGATAGAAAACTTCTCTTCGCACTCGGTACACTTAAATTGCTTAACGTTCTCCCCGACATGACATTCCTCGTGACGCTGCCTCAGATCCTCTCTGGAGAACCGTAGATTGCACCCCTTGATTGAACACCTGAAATGATTCTTAAGAAACCACTTAATTTTACATCCACGGTACTCACTTGACTTTTTTCCTAGCCTTTTCCTGCTGTTTAATCAAATTGATCGATATCGCCGTCAGGGACTTAGCATCGCCGTTTGTCTCCCCGTTTTTAGTCTTCTCTAACGGTAATTTATCTTCGGTATTAGCCCTCAATTCGTGGTTCTGAAACATATACTGCAATATTTTTCGTTTCGATTTCATTTGTACCTACGTTTATCATGTGCTGCTTCAGTTCCTCCTTTTCCGAACACGCCAGATTACAAATGCTGCACAAAAATATGGTATACTCCCTGTTGTCGTCTTTATTGTTATTTTTTAAAAGTGAAGTTGATACTTGTTGGGCTTTCTGAACTTGGGCGTATTGCTGAGGAAACTAGAACAAATTTCATGCAATTATGGTATCACGAACGTAATAAGCAGGTACTTACTAATTCTGGGTGATTTGCTTCTAAATGGCTTCTAATCTCTTCTTCAGATTCACATAAAAAACTACAAGCCTTGCACTTATTAGCCGTAACAATGGTGAAATACTCATAATAATTTTTGTAGTCTACTTTTTCATTCTCTGCATTTGGTTTTCGTGGCAAGTTGAGAGAACTGAGGATAGATTTATCTATGGTGATTATACTACCGTCCGTATTAAGTAACTGTATTATACTAGCATCGTTATTTATATCTTTCTCCGTTAAATAAATTTCCTTATTCCCATCGGGATTTTCCTTAACTATCGGGTCATAATTTATATATGTTTTTTCACTAGATTTGTTAGCGATACCATTAGTCTTTTCCCTTACTGGCAAGTATGAGTTTTCTGATGATAATTCGTCTGTGTCGGGACTTTGTACTAACTCAATATCTTTTTCTTCATTGTCAGTTTCAATTACAGTGCTATTCTCATTAAACAGTTGTATATTGTCATCAACTTGGGTGTCAGTGTTACACTCTGAAATGCACATTGATAAGGAAAGAAAATGAAAGAATAAAGCAACGGGCTACCTTCAGTTATTAACGGGTTGCTTAAAAGTACGGGAAAACTTTCAGAAGGCCAGTCTGCCGATTCAATTTCTGCAAATGGGAATGAATCTGCAAGCTCAACTCCATTACTTAATAAATAGTTATTCGAAGTGGTGGGATCATTCAGGTACTTTAAATATGCTGTGGACTCATCCTCGGGGTCCATACTAGCAAAAAAATTTAACTGTTTTATAAATATTCTGGTTACAAACAAACATCAAACACTTACACCATGCAGTACGAGGTTATGTTATGTCCAATCTTTATTATTAATACAGCAAGTTAAGCGGCAATGTGCTGGATTTTTTGTTATCTCATTGTTAATTAATATAATATATTAATTTTAACTTGAAGAAAATCGTTTATATCAAAATGATATCAATCACTTCTCACTCAAAATAAAAAATACATAAAAAGCATTGTCGCCAACTCATAAAATAAAAATTCCCTTGCGATTGAATGTTTTCCATTTGTTTCAGTATATCTTCCCTACCTTCTCTTCTGTTCTCCTGTTACAACATTTGTAAAATTACGCCAGAAATCAGGAAAACAGAAAATAAAATTGTTCAAAAGTTGTACCGGTGGAAATTAATTCTTTGCAAAATATGTTCGATTACTCTAATTTGGTAATGCAGATTAAATGAACAAAGCCATACCATAGTTTTAATAGAAATTAACAGTACACTTTTAAATAACTATTAATATTACATGTAGTTTTATAATTATTTTTTATAAAATAAAACAAGTCAGGGTGGTGAAATTTATCTATTTTTATCATAATTCTGTTTTGCCAATTCTGGATTAAATTGGGAGTTATATTTTGGTTTAAATGATGTTTCTTTTACTGGTTTGTTTTCTTCTCCTCGTAGCTTGGCTAAAAATTCCTCAGTTCTCCTTCTTTCTCCCTTCTCACGCTTTATTCTTTCCAATCTAAGTATTTCCAACTTTTGTTTTTTCTCCAGTTCAGCTTCGTCATCGGAATTTTCACTACTATCAGAATTAGATATATATCTCTTCTTCGATTTGTCCTTCTTATGTCTCTTTTTCTCGTGTTTACTTTTCTTATACTTGTGTTTGTTATCAGCATCAGAATTGCTGCTACTATCTCTCCTTTTTCGTTTTCTGCTTGGTGACGAACCACTTTTGTTTAAAATTGGTTTATATAATGCTATTTTACTACTGCTTTTCCTTACATCATCAATAGCCTTTCCTACTGATGTATATTTCTTTATGATTTCTAAAGGATCTTCTCTTATCTTACTTTTTAGGTTTATTTCACTTTTTCCTGAATCCGACCTATCTGGCGCGACGTCATACCAGTTCTTCTTGCCCAAAGCTTCATTAGTGTCCTGACCGAGATAAGTTAAGTAACCAATTTGTTTTTCATACTTCTCCCGCTCCTCCTTCTGTTCTTTATCATGTTCTTTATTGGACTGCTTCAATTCTGCTGACCCATCCTCCAATTCCTTAAAAAAATTTATGTGGCCTCTGCTATCATCTCTTTCACACTCATTTCCTTCATTTAAAGAAACAAAATCACCTGGGCTTGTATTTTTTCTGGATCTTTGCAACAAAAGTTCTCTTCTAGCTTCACGTTCCTTTAAGAAAAATAAGTAACTAAGACATTGTTTCTATCAGCAACGTTTTGTTAACGAAAGATTAAACTTTCATTTTTACTTACAGCTAGTTTTATTCTGTCCTGTTTTGCTTTTTCTTCTTCAGCAGCTTTTGCTTCATCTCTTCGAACTCTGGCAATATTTTCCTTAGTGCGAACATGCCACCTACATAAAATATGTATTAAGGGAAAAATTGAAAAATTTATTTAAAATATACTTACCTCTTTTTTGGTAAAATATTCATATTTATTTATGGTAAATATGTCAATTTAAAATAAACACGTCAAGTGACAGATGACAAAATGACTTCTTCTTCTACTTCTTTTTGTTTTCATTCGCCAATGTCAATAATTGCCCTAAAGTCCCTAAAATATAATTGTTGATCGTTGTTATGTTGTATGACTGATTTAGGAAATTTTGTTTTGAAGCGGCGGGTTTATTAACCTAACCTAAAAATTTTCCGCCAAAACTGTTTCTTAAAAAAAATATTATTTTTTGATGTAATTATATAATAAATTTTTATAACCAGCAAATGATGGAGGAGCAGAGTAAGTGTAATACAACAAAGTTTATAATATATACATATTACCTTTTTTTTTAAGAACTACTAAAAAGGAAAAGAAAGGCGAAGAATGAGGGAAATGAGACATTATTAGTATCTGCTTGTACGGATTTAGCGGAATTGTATATAAAAGAAGGAAGATATAATTTGGCCATTGAAGAATATGAAGTAATTGCCGATATTTATAAAAAACAAAATAAGTTGATTGAATATGCACAAGCGAATCGAGCTATTGGGGAAGCCTACATGGGGTTGAATAATTATGAAAAAGCTTTAGAACATCAAAGGCTCTACTTAAGTGAGTATATATTAAACCGTTTTGTATCTCAGTTATAATTTTTTTAATTAGATGTTGCAAACGAAGAAAATAACAAACTTGAACAACAAAGAGCATTAGCTACGATGGGTCACATTTATTTATCGTGGTATTTGGAAACACAGACAGATCCTGAAGTAAAATTAAATGCTGCCTACAAGTATTTCATGAAGAGTTTGATGATTGCGGAAAGGTAGATTTGAGCATGAGCTTTGTTGCAGTTAGATTATTTATTTTTTAAACTTTTATTTAGCCTCACTGGAATAAATAAACTAGAAAGAGTTGATATGATGGCAAGGTTATTTTCAAATCTAGGGCTTGTGAAAGAGTGTTTAGGTGATTACAGCAAAGCCTTGGAACTACTGAATCGATCTATAGGAATATGTAAGCAACACGACATATACGAACAATTATATAGAGGTTATATTTCTATTGCGTCTTTGTATGAAAAACGAGGAGAGTATAACGATGCTATCCGCCATTATAACCTTGCAATTGATTCAGCAAGTAAGTGGTAATTTTTTTATCTTAAGTGAAATTAAATCTGTTTATTTATAGAGAAACTTAAGGGCAATACAAATTTAATATGTGCTGCTCTTTTGGTGAAATCTGAGGCTCTCGTAAAGCTGGCGGATTTTCACGGAGCCAAACAAGTACTGCTGAAAGCGTATAAACTAAAAACGCCTAATATTAAGGAAAAGCAGACGATAGAACGCAACTTGAGAACAGGTAATTGAAACTCGGTTAGTTGTTTTGTAAGTACATCGAGTATTAAAAGTTTTCATTATATTTAATATTATTTTAAGTGGCGTTGATGTGCCGTACGGAGGATGAGCTTGTGAGTGCAGGTGGTAATGAAAAGGAGAGAAAGATATTATACGAGAAGATGGGCGACAACGCTTGTGACCTTAAAATCTTCGCGAAAGCTATAGAATACTACAAACTAATGTTGGAGTGCGCGGAAAAGAGCGGCGTTAGCGGTCGAGACCTGGCTTCTTGTTATTACAGTTTAGCGGAAACGTACAAAGATAACGGTCAGTTTTCCGAAGCCGTGGCTTACTTTGAGAGAGAGTACGCTTTATGTACCGATTTGAAAGATAGCCTGAATACTCTTAGTAACATTGCCGACACGAAAGAGGCTGGCGGGGCTCCGATCGGCGAAGTTAAAGAGGTATATGAGAGGGCATTTGCAGAATGTCGTCGGTGTACAAATTTGAGGGAAGAAAAGCGCATGATATTAAGGTAATAGGGAGGAGATAGGGTTGAAAAAGTCGTAAAATTTACTCTTTCAGGTGTATTGCTTATCTGAGAAGGAACAATAACCACACCGAAACGTTTGAGTTGAATCGGTATCTTGACGATCATTTAGAAGGGGTAAGTTTAGAGGACGATTCTTCGTCGTCTGATAATGAAAGTGAAGATTCCGAGATCAAACGTTGTACGGGAGACGACATAAACCTAGATAATATTACAGGTAAAAGTAATCGAAAAAATCGGTATAAACTCGTCCGATTCGTTATTATTTAAATTTTTTATTAATAAGATGACGTTGTAGACGATTCGGAAGATTCCGATATAGAAAACCGTCAGTCTACAAGCAAGGAGGGAATGGCCGTCGGGAAAAGGAAGAATAGAAGCTTTGTCGTTAAGAAGAACGCCAAGGGAGAATCTCAACTGCACGTCGCTTGCATAAACGGTAGCACTCCCGTTGTGCATCACCTTGTCGAACAGGGCCATCCCGTCAATATCAGGGACAATTCCGGGTGGTTACCACTGCACGAGGCTTGCAATCATGGATACGTGGAGATTGCGAGGTTTCTACTCGATAAAGGAGCCGCTATAAATGACCGTGGTGGGACACACTGCAATGGTAAAAAAAAACGTTACCCTGTACTTATAAAATAACGAATATTTTTGTTCCTTTAGGCATAACACCGTTGTACGACGCTGCCAACAACGGTCACCTTAAAGTCGTGGAACTCCTACTAGACAGGGGGGCGTCCGCTGTTGCCAAAACGGACGACGGCGACACCCCCTTAAGCATCCTTCAAGAGTGGCAAAGCCAGAATCCTCTTCACGGAGGCGATTTGGTGTTGTATAGATCTTTGGTCAAAAGAATGAGCGAGGCGATGGAAAAAGCGGGACAAAGTACGAAAACGTTGGTCTCGGGTCAGGCGCCTACCAGCCAGAGAAACGATGTAGTCAGGGAGAGGCAAAGGGAAAGACGGTCTCAGCTTATGGATACTGACGAAAGTCCTGAATATGACGAAGGTAATTTTAAAATAACTTTGGCATTTGAAAAATTAATGTTGATTCTTTTTTAGGTGGGAGTTGTTCGAGTGAAACGTCTAGCTTCGACGCCACAAGTGAGTATATAAAAGTTATGGGAACTCTGAGGAACAAAACTAGCAACGTTAATATTTCTCCCGCCACAAGACAGCGTCTCGTTTCCAAGAGATCTGCTCTGGTCGTCGCGGAGAACGATATCCTGGACGATTGGTTAGAAGACGATCTGCAAGCATCTAAAGTAACTAAACGAAGAAAAACAGGGACCGTCGCTTCTTTGATCGTGCCGGCAGTTCGCGCGGTCGGCTCCAGGACTGGAAACGCCCAGAAAAAATCCCCGTCGCCAGGTAAGTTGCCGCCTATAAAAAACGATTTTAAAACAATATTTTTATGTTATGAAACTGTACATATGGATATTCTAGCAAAGAAGCGACTGAGCAGTGAATACGAGATCCCCGAAACCTTTTCCGACGACGATTTCAACAACATCATAACCATCGACGACAGACCGAGCCCCGTCAGGGACACAAGGCGGTCATCCAACGACAGCAGAAGCAGCACGGAAGGCCCGAGCGGCGTTAAACGGAAGAATCAGGCTTCCTTGCTAGACTCCGGTTTCAGCAGAATTCGTAGCGACTCCGCCGGCGCCTCTTTTAAACGAGCGAGTAGTTTCGAGAAGAGAAACAAATCGCAGCAGCCGAAAATTACGTTGTTCGGACACAGGAGTTTTGTGGAAGCCGATTCCACGACTCCTGTATCGTCGCAGACGCAAGCGACGGCAACCGTTGATCAAACGCAGAGTTTGCCCCCTGCCACGGGCGATCTTATGGTCTTTGTGGACGTTAAAGTCGAAGGGAGGATGTTTCGGGTACCCGTGTTGTTGTCGCAGGTGCAAACGAATACGATCGGTTGGTTGTCGGAACAAGCAGCTAATAAATATGCCAGGTAAGGTGATTTATTAATATGTGAAGGGATTATATCACACAATTTAAGTGTAATTCCAGTGTTTAATTGTTTTTTTTTTGGTTTATTAAATATAAACAAATCTTAAAATCATAAGTAGTTCATTTGTACTTGAAAGGTTATATTTCTCGATGCTGTCTACTTTTGTTCTTCTTCTTCTTCCTCTTTAATGTAATTGACCTTTTTTCCATTTTTTATATTTAGGAAAGAGTGTTCAAGGCCGACTTTAGAGTTGGAAACGACGACAGGCGCGTTGTTGTCCGATGAGGATCCTTTGAGTTTACTCTTCCCTTTAGGGGCTATGCAAGCGGAGCCCGTTGTGGGCAGGGTTGTAAAACTGAGCTTGCCTCCCTTAGTCGATAGATACAAGGAAGCGAGCTTACAGACGGATACGGGTAAGTTATTTTTTTGTTTTTTACGTCTCGGCTTACTCGTGTTATTCTAGAAATCGAAGCCGTACTGTGTCACATCCTCGAAGAGGTCTCTGTGAACTTGAATCTTTCTAATAAGGGCATCTTGGGCGAATCTCTCGTTCCTCTCTGCAGAGCTCTTAGTCATCAGACTGCCCTGCTAGAGTTGGACTTATCAGGAAATTTTCTCGATACAGATTGCATGACGAAGCTCTGCTCCACCCTGCCTACCCTAGTTAACCTTACCGCACTGAATTTGAGGTGCACGGGTCTCGTTTCCGCTCACCTTGCGGAACTCGTGAAAGTTTTTACCTCCGTTACGGAGCCGGTTCTACCGAAACTATCTAGTTTAGACTTGAGCGATAATTTTTTGAGGGACCGAAGCTTGCAGCACTTAGCGAGAATGACCGCTCACTTGAAATTAACCACTTTGAATCTTTCTAACGTCAGATTTACGGAGGATTTGTTCAGAGACTTCGACGAGGAGAGTTGTCGGTTGAATCTGAGCGATGTTCGGTATTTGGATATAAGCGATAACGGTGTTACTGTGGAGGACGTAAGAAAATTTCTTTGGTGGACGACGAAGAGTAAATTGTTGGGTTTGAACGTCTCCAGAAATAGTAGAGCCGATGAGAGCCTTTTAGGTGCTTTGGTGGATAGTTTTCAGGACGATATCTGTGGAGTGGAGCTAAAATCGTTGAATTTGTCCAGGAGCGATGTACAAGAAACCGAACTCTACAGTTTTTTGAGGTAAGGCGTTGTGGTTTGGAAGTCTAGTAGGCCACTTCTAATTGGTTTTTCTTTCAGGTTGTGTTCGAGAAGTTCTTTATTGGACATTGACTTGTCGTATAATGCAAATTTGACAGGCGTATCGCTGCGTCGACTGTTGGAGCACTCTTCCCTGCGAAATATTAATTTGATTGGTTGCGATAATATTTTGCGATATTTCGATGACTGCGGTGGATGCGATTTGCTCGAAGGCAGCGATGCGAACGGAGAAAAATTGTTAAAAATTTCCACTGACCTACAAAGTTTTCCCGGGCAGGTCGCTACCCTTATCGAAATGTTTAAGAGTAAATACTCCAGTTTGTACGTTGAAAAGACTGATAACTTTTTACTTTTGTCTTCGAAAGCGTTAGTGAGCAGGTAGTTTTTATTCGTGAAAGAAGAAGCCTTTTTAATAAGTTTTATAATAAGATTAATAAAATAATCAGTTGTCTACAACTAGTTTTATTTACTAAAATTCTTCAATCTCCAGCTAAATTAACGTTAGTTTTAACAAAAAATCTTTTTATTTCCTATCCAGTTACTTTGGACAAAAAAGATAGTACTCACCGATATAAAAGTTTTCAAGTGGAAGAAAAAGAATGATTAGAATTTTTAAAATTGACCAAATCTGGTGATCTGGGGATTCACTCATTAATAAATTTCATTGTGAAACGAATGTAGTAATGATTTACTAAAAATGCTCTAGATGGCTGGTTTCCGTGATTTATTTACTCATACGGGTAAAGCCTCTGGATTGTTCAAGTACCATTGGTTTTAACCATATGAGTCAATAAATAAAGAATTTTCAGAATACGAACTGCCGAACTGTGCAATGCATTTTACATAAAAGCAGGTTAATAATTCTTTCAAATTATTTAAAGTTTGCAGTTTTTAATGGTTTCTTTAAAAGAATAATAATTACAAGAGTCTCCCTGTACATTTTTTTGTTACTTAAATATTTTCGAATTCATAACAGAATAAATTTTGTATATTTATCACACATTTCACTGCTTTAACATTTTTTTTTAATTAAGTGATAATTAAAATGTTTCATAAGTAATGGGTCATGAACAGCTTAATGGTTCACGATAATTTCAATGATTAACTTAAACTATTAGTAGCTGTTTTGTGATCTATTACTTATGCAATACTTTTTATTCTTAGTGTATTTTGTTACATTTAAATTTACCGCCATTATGGATCAGCGACGTCTATTAGATAGTAGAATTAGAGGTTACTCAATTATGTTTTCCAATGCAGTTTCCTTGATTATTTTATGGTCTGTCGTTTGCTGCACCAGCTACAGATGGCAGTACGCTGCCGCTGGTGCCGACAGTATACACAGAATAAAACTCTTATTATTTAGCACATACTTCTATCGATAGAAGTATGTGTTATTTAGTTACTCATATGTTATAGATTGTCAATTTTTTTGTAGAGATGTGTACGCGTTCAAAAATGTATTGTGTTTCTCTATGCAAAATATAATTATTATGTATAGCAAATAATATATCATATTATTGTCGCGAAGATCCGTATTCTTTATTTAAAATACAAATCATGTGAACTGGTAAAACAACGAAAAAATAATTGTTAATTTAGTTATAAAGAAACGAAATGACACTCGCGCCCATCTCTCGTTAATCCGTCAACATCGGTTGCGTTTCTCGAGTTCCTATTGGTCAGAATTCAAATTGCAGCCTTGTTAAAATGGGGCATGGGTTGAGCTATTCAATTATCAGCGTCGCGTATTATATTATCTCCCAAATCCAATTAAAAAAAAACGGCACTATTGTTAATTGAACTTTATACAATACTATGAATCGTGAATTATCACGTAAATTCCCGACGACTACCCGACACTCCACTGCGTCATGGATATCTATCAGATTGTCGATGTCTAAGTGACATTTGGCGACATGTTCTTTAGTTGACAGAAAGTAATAGAGATGGCGCACCAATCAATATTTTCGTTTGCACCCAAAATAACGGTTTTGATATTTAATTTATGCAAATTATATAAAAAAAGTATTAAAACATAATTGCTGATATAATTATAGATAAAAATATTGAAGTATTGTGTAATGAATTACTTAAAATATGTGGAAATTGAANTAATGACTTTAAGTGGCTTTTTGCCGCGTGACCCCACGCCGTGGAGGCGTAGGTTAGCTGCGGTTGAAGTACCACCTTGATAAGCGTTCGCTTATTCCTTAAACTGAGGATTCAAAAATGTATTGTGTTTCTCTATGCAAAATATAATTATTATGTATTATGTAAATAATATATCATATTATTGTCGCGAAGATCCGTTCTTTATTTAAAATACGCAAATCATGTGAACTGGTAAAACAACGAGAAAATAATTGTTAATTTTGTTATAGACATGAAATGACACTCGCGCCCATCTCTCGTTAATCCGTCAACATCGGTTGCGCTTCTCGAGTTCCTATTGGTCAGAATTCAAATTGCAGCCTTGTTAAAATGGGGCATGGGTTGAGCTATTCAATTATTAGCGTCGCGTATTATATTATCTCCTAACTCCAATTAAAAAAAAACGACACTATTGTTAATTGAACTTTATACAACACTTATGAATCGTGAATTATCACGTAAATTTCCGACGAGTATCCGACACTCCACTGCGTCATGGATATCAGATAGTCGATGTCTAAGTGACATTTGGCGACATGTTCCTTAGTTGACAGAAAGTAATAGAGATGGCGCACCAATCAATATTTTCGTTTGCACCCAAAATAACGGTTTTGATATTTAATTTATGCAAATTATATAAAAAAAGTATTAAAACATAATTGCTGATATAATTATAGATAAAAATATTGAAGTATTGTGTAATGAATTACTTAAAATATGTGGAAATTGAAAATTAATTGTGAATCAACTTGTAGACGTTTATTTTGACCATATAGAACAATTGTTTATGTAAAATTGTTTAATATATTTTTAATTACTTTGTATTTATTTTTATTCAAACTGTCCTTAATAAAAAGTACATTACTATTTTTTTAAAGCACTATGTTTAGTTCGTGAATTTCAGTGTCGGAAATTATGAACTCACAATTTTTCCACAATCATTTTCGATGTTATAAAAAACGCAGACGCACCGTTTGAAATTAATTTTATTGATTAATTTACAAAAAACATTTCACTTACTCACGTCCTACTCTAATTCTAACCTTTCAAATTAATTAGCAGCAATAATACAAACAGCTGAACTATAAAAATCATTACAAATACGGTTCCTATTCAGGAACAATCTTAATCCACGCTTCCTCCTCTTCCCCGTTCTCATTCGGGATCCGAACCTTCACGAGTTGTATAGGTCCCTCGGACGTCTCAATAATCTGGGTCTCCCCCTGAGACAGTGCGTCGCTAGTGATAATCTCTTCGTAATCCTCATCCCCTTGCCCCGTTACGACCTGTTCGATCTCGTCGATGATCTCACCCTCGTTTTCTTCCTCTGATCCCGCTTCTGCGAAACTGATCTGTTGCCCGTCTATGATGATGTGTTCCGTGCCGTCCTGGTCCTGGATGTACAATTTGGAGTCGGCGGCGGCCGCCGTGGCAGCGTCCACGATCTCCATCTCTCCCGCCGAGTTAACCGTCACCAGCTGATCGTCGTCTGTCGTGAGCCGGGGCTGATTGACCACGATGGTGTCGTTGAGGTGGCCTTGGGCCTGCATGTGTTGGTACAGCAGGGGTTTACGCATGAATCCTGCGCCGCAGACCAGGCACTCGTACGGTTTTTTGTCCGAGTGTACGAACCTGTGGGCGTTGCGGTTGTCTCTGCTGTTGAAGGCCTTCCCGCATACCTGCCGCGTCAAATTTAATGAAAATTTCTATCGTTTTTGGTTCTAAACTTACCTCGCACAGGAACGGTTTCTCTCCCGTGTGTATCCGCCGATGCTTCTTGAAATGTTCGGGATAGACGAACGTCGCCTCGCAGACGTCGCATTTAAACGGCCTCTCCCCCGTGTGCGCCGCCTTCACGTGGTAATCCAAAAGCCGCCTCCTCTTGAACCCCTTCCCACAATCCGAGCACTGGTAACGTTTGTCGTCGTAGTGGGTGGCGCGCTTGTGGGACTGCAGGTTGGACCTCTGGCTGAACGTCGCCCCGCAGAACTCGCACTGGTAAGGTCTCTCCCCTGTGTGCGTGCGTTCGTGGTCGCGGATCTCGGCCTTCCTCGCGAACGCCTTGCCGCACAGCCCGCATACGAAGGGTTTGTAGCCGGTGTGGACGATCGAGTGCACTTCCAGGTTGTGGGCAGAACCGAATTGTTTGCCGCAGAGGTGGCAGCTGAACTCCTTCATTCCCGAGTGGGTGCGTTCGTGCTGCGTCAGGTTCTGCTGGCTCAGAAAGGACTTGGGGCACTGCAGGCACCGGAACGGCCTCGGACGTACCTCGTGAGTTTTTTCGTGTGCTATAACATTAAGACGGATAACATTAATTTATAAATCTCCATTATTCGCGACACAAGAACTCACCTTTGAAGGTGTACTTGCTGGCGAAATCCTTGCCGCACATGCTGCACACGTACGGCCTAACGCCCAGGTGGGTGTTGACGTGCTCGTCCAGCAAATTCTTGCTGCTGTACTTCTTCCCGCACGTCTCGCACTCCCAAGCCTTGGCCTGGGGGTAGTGCATGCGTCTGTGTATGCGGAACAGCCGCAGATTGCTGAATATGCGGTTGCATATCTCGCACTGGAAGTCCCCGTCTTCAGCGGCCACGTGTTCGTCCAGGTGGGCAGACAGCTGGTTACGTTTCCTGAAGTCCTGCCCACAAACGTCGCAGATGTATATGCGAGCCCCGTGGGCCTGTTTCATGTGTACGGTAATGGCTTTGGCTTCTCCGGCGACCGTCTCGTCGCCCTGGCAGAGGAGGCAGGTGTAGTAACTGCCCTCGCGGGAGACGATGGGCATCGCGAAGAATTCTTCCGACTTTTTGTCCTCGTGTTTTTGGACGATGCTGTTCGCTGTCGTGACGGTTTTCTTTTTGAGTATGTTCGGTTTTTCCATGCTTAGGTGGACGGAATTCGACTCGTCCATTCCGGGTTCCATTTTTACTTTCACATGTTCTGTAAACGATATTTTAGCTTAACTTTCCCCATGATAGAACTCTAGAATACAAGGAATGGTCGAAAATTGGAATATTTGTGCTCGAAGTCACTCAGCAGTGAACCGAAAACATGCAAAAAATTAAATATTTTCATTCAGAAATCTCTCAGACCATAAAATTAAAATATTTTCTTTATTTAACGATTTTAGAGGAACTGTTTAGCAGATTTATAGCAAGTTGCCGCCAAAACAAAGAATTTTGGATGAAGTTATTAAAGCTTAAAAGTCAAAAAACTACTAAACCGGCACAAAAATTTTTCACAACTGCTTAAAACAATTATCAAATCCACATAAATAACACACGGTTTAATTAATTTTGCAACGAAAATAATATCTTTTAACACACTGGAAGCAAAATGCAGTTTATTCGCTAATAAACTATTTTTAACTCTTAATTTCTTTAACACTCACCGATACTATGTTTTTCGGTTGCTTCTGCCGGTTGAACTAAACCTTCTGTGGTAACTGAAACTGAAGAAGGTGGTTCGTAATCGGAATCCGAAGAATGTTCTATAGCTCCTGAATCAATGATGTCTCCTCCGTCGGTAGAAAATGTATGGAAGTTTTGATTGTCAATGTCCATTGTGTTTTCTTTCTCCGGTTCTACTTCCTCCTCCATTTCACCATGCATCTTTACTAGTTCCATCTCTATGTCTTGTATGGACTGCAGAGAATTTTTTTCCGCTGAAATCTGAAATAATGTCACATGTAGGAGACGTGTATTATATTTTTTGAATAAATTACCTGTCCAGAGTCTTCATCCGAAGAAGGTATGTCCAAGATTTTCTTAGGCACTTCGTTTTCTTTATTAGATTCGAGTGACTTGCCTTCTATTATCTCTTTGGTTTCCTGTATGTCCGTCTCATCCTCAATCTCAGTTTTTTCAACAGAACACTTGTAATTATCAATGATTTCATTTTTTATTTCAATAACTCGGTTTTGTAACTCATCCAGTTCATCAACTAACTTATAGCACTTTTTACAAAGAACTTGTGTCTGCTCTGGGTCCTCCTTTATTTCCTTATTTAAGATCTTGGACAGCAACGAAGCAAAGTGTTCAATACGTCCGGTGGTACCCTGTTGAATATTCAGTAAATAAATTTGAAAAAAAAGTTTATAATTCTACATACCTCCTTGTTGAAGATTTGTATACTGTTTCTAGAAGACAGACAGCTGGCACTGCATACCAAACAGAAAACACCCGTTGACATGCTACAAATAAATACAAGTTTGTGAATCAGCTACAATTTAATGCCCTCAGCCTTCTCGTTCTGGAGCATATAAAAATTAATTTGGGTTAAAAATAAATTGAACAAGCGTCGACATAACTATATTACGAGATCTGTACTTTCTATTTTGAACACCGACAAATTCAACATTAAAAACTTGTAAGAATGTCACAATTAGCTGTTTACCTTTTAAATTTTGCGAGATTATTTAGGGACACATTTATTTTCGCCGAAAACAGGGCTGCTAACAAATGCTGCCAAGCTTCAGAAATGACGCGACGAAAAAAGGCCGTTTGCAGGTCATAAGGGAAGTTGTGACGGCGCAAATGCGGTTATTCAATACACAAAATGGCGTCCCCTTTTACCGTAAATTGATTTCATTTTGGGTCGATTGGCCGTTTTCGGGAACGGATTTTCGAAAAAAAAATACGGGAATGTTAGAAATCTAATGGAATGGGGGAATAAATTTTTATTGTTGCTTAGACACACCCTGCATTTATACAGGGCGTCCAATCGTAAAATTGATTTCCTTAGAATTAATTTTTTTTTCTAATTACTAAAGCGCGGCAAATTTGAATCTTTTAAAGAGATATCGTGCTTTTATACGTTTTTTTATGCTATTAATCTTTTCAATACAGTTTTTTTTAAATTTAGTTCTAAGAAAAAAGTGCATATTACTAATTTGTTTTCACTGTTATAAAAAAAATATCCGCTATTCTTTCTAATTATGTATTTTACTGTTTTATTATTACAACATATTTTATTAAAATACATATATTTACACAATGAGAATAAATGTTAAAATTACATGTCTTCAGTACTCCATTTAAACGCCTCTTCTCGATCGGCCTTTTTTGCGTTTTGTACTTGAAACCATTTTTTCTCATAACCATTCGATCTGTCTACGCCATCCCAGCGATACCCAGGTCGAATCCCAAATCTATTCGGCATAAACTCACCCATATACATGGGTTTTTCTAAAACAAAAAAAATAATAAAAAAGATATTTCACAAGCTCCGTCTTATCTTACCTGGAATACCTGCGGCAACTTTATCTTTCCTCTTCTTCTTCCTTATATAATTCAACATGGGATCTCCTTCACGTTCTTGCTCTTTAAGAAATTTCTCAAGATCTTCATCGTCGGCGTATCTAGCTAACGGTTTACTCATTTCGTGCAACTGTTCTTCGATTTTTTGATTCTGGTCCTCAACTTGTTTCAATCCCTTGCCCCAACGATCGTATTTTTCTTTCATTTCTTGCTCCCGCTTTGCCCTGGCGGCTTCTTCTTCTTGGTCTTTAGCCTTCTTACTTCTTACCACTGTAGCGGCGTTTCTCCCCGAGATGTCAGCTGACATTTTATTAAAGATCTCGTCCTCTTTCTGACGCAAATACTTTGATTCTTTGGATAGATCTTTAGCGTTTTGAAGACCTGCACGTTTTCCATCCAAAGTTTTTTTCATTTTGTCACCAAGGAAGGATTCTGGGGACTCTTCTTTACTCCATCGTGATTTTTTTTTTCTTTTATCTTTTCTTGAGGAGGAAATGTCCCCGTCTTCAGATTTAACTCTAACTACTGTAGGAGAAAAATCGCTCTTATGTCTGTTCCTTGGGGAAAATTCCATTTCCTTTCGTGTTCTGTCTTCCTTGAATCTTTTTCTTTGAGGCGAATAATCGTCTTCTACTCGTTTATCATATTTTCTTCGTCTCGTTGGAGAACTATCTTCATTATTTTTTCTTCTCGGAGGTGAATTATCTTCTTTGATTCTTTTCCTTAAAGGAGAATTATCGTCATCGTTTTTTCTTCTTGGAGATGAACTATCATCTACAATTCTAGTTCTTGGTGGTGAATCATCATATTCTCTATTTCTATTATATGAAGTGGAAATATCATCCCTTGTTTTCTTTGAGGATGAGTCCTGTGTTAGCTTTTTCCTTGGCGGCGAATAATCATTATCTTTTTTCCTAGACGTCAAACTATCATCTTTGACTGATTTTCTGGGAGGAGAATAATCGTCATCTTCATTTCTTCTAGGAGGTGAATAGTTTTCTTCTTGGTAAGTTTTTCTAGGGGGTGAGACATCATCCTTATGTTTTCTTAAAGGTGAATTTGACCTTTCTCTTACACTTTTTTTTGAGTAACGATCGATATAATTCTCTTGTCTTACCTTTATAACAGTCGAGTTGTCCTTTTTATCATGACTTGTATTTTTGTTATGAATTTCAGTCACTGATTCCTTCGTTACTTTTAATACAGATTTCTTAATGTCAGTATGTTTTACTTGTTTACCTAATTTAAAACTATTTAATTTTACCGTATGAATGTCACTGTCTAATCTGGAAGGTCCTCCTATTGGTTGCCACAGATTACTGTTGGTTTTTTCATCCACTTGTAACGAATGCGGTCTTTCATCAATTACCGCAACAATTTGAGGTGCATATTCATTCGCTGTTGATATATCATCTTCTATTTCTTTGGACATTAGTACGTCAACATCATCATCGATTATTTTCAACCTGTAAATATATTTCATTTAATAAATTATTATAAATAGCAAGACTTGATTTTACCTGTTGGCTTCAATCTTTTCCTTTTTCTTCTTTTTTTTCTTTTCGCCGGGCGCTTTTCCGATAGCTAAATATTTTTTGAGGTATTCTTTTTGATTAATAGTAGTCATTTTACGATATTTAGCAAAAAAATATAAATACGTAATTATAGGTTATGTATTTCAACACGATTCTTTTTCGCTTGGCCACTTGCTTGTAACTTCCTCTTCTTCTTCTACATGCAGGTAACATTACGCTAATGCGTTCAGTTCTTGATCAAAATAGAACATGATTCGTTCACTATTTACGGTAGTTCTGATAGTTAGAAATTCCAAAACAAAAGTACAAAACCTCTTCAAAATGTTTGAAATCAAGTTAGTGCATTCAACATTAAAATAAACAGAATTAGAAACTGAAGATATATATTTACTATTATTAATGCATATATGTGCAACACTTTTATCACAAATTATTTTTACAAAATTCAATCAATCACTCCATTGAAGACTAACTCTACGGCTGCGTTAACATCTCCCGATGTTGCTTGTAGGGCTCGAATATTGACGGAGTCATTTACGAAGCCCATCTCGTGCATTTGTTGCAACTGTGGCTGTAACCTTCTGGTAATACTGTCGAGAGATTCCTCATCATTCCGACTGGGCAATGCAGGTGAAAGACCTGCGTTATTTGACCCCCCAAAGGCGAAAGCTTGCTGGATAGCATTCGTAAACATTTCATTGGTAATGAAATTGTTAGAGGTTGGCGTGCTAGGCATGCCGGCACTATTCGTGTTAAATTGAGTGTTGGTCGCATTGGCTATGGCCGCAGCGAGTTGAGCTGCAGTGATAGCGTTATAAGAGGAGTTTCGTGTGAGGGGGTGTTGAGAAACGTTTGTGTCGGAATTTGAGTCCATGTCGTCGTCATCTGAAAGGGCTTCTAAGGAGTACGAGTATCCTGTGCTTGTGGTGGGTTGATTAGGACTGACGTTTGCTTGTTCGTCTTGCACTCGTGAAATAATGTAATTTGAAGCTTCGATAAGGACTGGATGCTCTTCAGCGACTTTACGTACCGTGTCTGGGTCGGCCATATGGATTATTAATTCGGGGTCTTGTATTATGGCCACAGCTGCTGGGTCATCGGAGAGACCAGGAATATCGGTCACTATTTTATCCAGAATGTCTTGTCTATACAGCCTCTAAGATAGATTAATCGTTAACAATTTAATTAAGTAAAGTACCGTAAAAAAACTACCTGCAATGCTGTACGATAACCTGAAGACAAAGTGAAGGTTCTAAAAGCGCTAACAAGCTGCTGAACCTCAACTTCTGTCATTTTTTTTGTTTCTTGAGTTTTCTTGGGTTTTGGTTTTTCCAAGACATGGATAGTGACTCCAGGTGTGACTCCATATGATGACAAAGTATTTTCGTTTTCAAGTATAACACCACAAAACGCTAGTTCTGAAACAAAGGATGTTATTAATAATTTAACCTCGAAAACTAAGTTGCAAAGTTTACCGATATTGGTAGAATTATTGAGAAGTTTTATAGCTTGCATTTTCAGAATTTCAACTTTGCTTTCTAAATCTACATTTTCTATTTTAATGCGTTGGAATTGATTAGAATTCCAAATACCCAAAACAACACTAGCAGCCATGACAATTGATATTTAAATTATTTTATTTATTTGCTATTTTCTCTTTCCTTGTTGTCACTGTCACGATCACGATAAAGAAAACAATATTTTATTTTCCTATAATTCGACTGCCGGCGCCATCTATTGTACTCCTGGAGTGAAGCTATATGTTAAAGCTCAGAATACTGTTAACAGATGGCAATGTATTAGGCGGTATGCTTAAATTTTAAATCTTAGAGCTAATCTCAATTAATTTGAATGCTGATTGTTCTATTAAATCAATAATCAAAATAGTTAAGATTAACTAAGATTTCAGAAAAATAAAATACAGTTTAGGTATATAACAGTACCTCAGATGGTGCAACATACAGGACTACCATATTATATGTTTTATGACTACAATCTAGTCCTATAATGCAATTTACTTGTTCCTAGAACAATCCAAAACAGTTTGCAACAGTGAGACGCATTTTAATAAATTAATTTGTACAATGATGAATGACGTATGTTTTCCAAAGCCTGATTGTTTATCCCATTTCAGTTTAATAAGTACCAATGCACCTCAAAACTTAATAAAAAATACTGAATACAAAGGCAAGTATAATCTTAATTTATCGTAGTTAATTCGATGCTGTCGTCTAAAAACGCATTTGAGCCTGCTAGATAATAAGTAATTAGTAATGTGTCAATTTGATAATTTGTCAATGTTTTCAGTGACGTAGCTAGAGGGGAGGTGCTTTGGATAAATTGCTTAATAATAAAATAAAATTGCTTAATATTAAAATCGACATCTTGACTAGAAGTACAGATATTTTATTTAAAATAACACTGAATAAATAAAAAAATGTAAAATATTTTATTTCTTCCAACTCTAAATTATTTTTTTAGGACAGCTTTAAGGTGACCTGGTCGAGAAATTTCTGGCGTTTTTAGGTACTGAAATCTCGAAAAGTGAAACGTGTAGAACAAAAGTAAGCACAAAAATAAAATCCTTGATGTTTTGTTTATTCATTGATACCATTTAAATTTACCCAAATAAAATAATAACTAAAAAAAAAGCGTTTGTTAAACGTTTGCTGTTATCCTAGCCCCACATTTTAAGAATTATTTTCACGTACTTATAAATAGTAAGTAAATGTTATAAGAATATTTACATGTGGAGTTATATATAAAAAAGTTAGTATTTTCGTAGATTTCAGTATCTAAAACCTTGATGGTTTGATCGTTTTTTGCACCTGTTTATTCGTTTTACTGCGGCGTCTTTGAAAATACTCAGGTGGCATGACATAACATTCCTATTATTTGATAAGCTTTAGATTATTCAGTTATTAAATGTTTGAAATTATTTGTCTTTGCGGAAAACACTATTTAAAGGATATGGCGCCCTTAAGGAAAGCCTTTATGTACCCTCCTATCTAATTAAATGATATCCGATCGGATAAAATTCTATAAGATCCTGTATTATTTATGACCTATTGTTTAATTCCGTTCTTATCATTATGTATAAGTAAAGTCATAATTAATTTTGAGGACATGTGTCGATTTCATTTAGGGCAGTGGTTCTCAAATGTTGTGTTTTAATGCAATGTTGATCTTAATTTAATCGCCAACATAAAGGAAATAAAATTACTAACGTGACAGACGAGCTTAGGCAACCGACGTTGCACTTTCAACTAAAAATCCCTGGTCACGTGGATTATAATCATTTATGAAGATGTCTTTGAAAATGGACATATTTTGTGATTTAGATGGAAGTATGGGGAGGTGTTTTTAAAGATTTGGTCATTTTTGTGGGTAAGTCTAAGTATTTCACATTTTAAAATGTGTTTTGAGGATTTTGATACTGAGAGATGATGCACTGCTGAACAATAAAACAGTTTGAGGGGCACTCATGTAAAACGGATTTAATTTTTTACATAAGATTTAAATTAATACACATCTATAGATACTAAAGCTATAAAATAGTGATTGCAACTTAACAAGTTCAGTTTTAGTTTGACTCTAATTACTTTATTATGGCACTAGGAATGTTGATTTTTGTGGTGTTTTCAGCACTTTTCAGTTTTTCTTACGGTAGGACGCAGATAATTTATTTATATTGGATGGTAAAAATATAATATCTGGATTTAATTTTCTAGCCGCCAACATAAGAATTGTCAATGGTACGGACGCCAGAGAAGGAGAATTTCCATATGCAGTAAGTGTTACTTTTCTGATTTTAAATATTTAGGTACTGACATAAATGGACCAGACACATATTCGCTTTAATTTTAGTTATTTCGATTTTTTTCTTTATATTTTTCTAGTCTACTTCGTTATTCCAGGCTTCTCTGAGGCACACCGCAAGGCACGTGTGTGGAGCTACCATTCTGGACGAGAGACACGCACTGACTGCTGCCCATTGCGTTTGCGAGGAACGTTGGTAGTTTCACTGACCGAAAATTATGTACTATTTGAAGATTTACTGACATTTATTCTAGGCCTCTAGACCCCACTTTCTATTCCATCCAGTATGGATCGATCCACATATCGGAAACGTTCCAGAGAAGTGTGCAAGTGGCCAAGATTTACTGCAATAACTTCAACGTGGTGAGGCTGACCTACGACGCAGCTGTCTTAGTGGTAAAACTTATGATTTCCTTTCATTCGATATAGCGAAGTTACCTTTTGTGGACGGAGCTATCTCAGACTTGTACGATGCTATTTCACTTATAAAAACAACCTTACTATCTCCATCCTCAAGTAGTGTCTTATATCGTTTTATTAGTCATGGTAAAATTGCAGTTGGCGCAACCATTGTCACGGGATTACCCTTGGCAACCAGTTACACTGTACAGAGATTTCGATACAAGAGTCGGACATCGAGGAGTTATCATTGGATGGGGTAGAATATGGGTAAGGGTATTTTCTTGATTAAAACATTTCGAATATTCAGTTTCGTATATACTTCTAACCTCTAAACGATCATGAAACGTCAAACTAACTTGTTTTTGTAGCACAATGGACCGATACCGTCTGTTCTTCAAAAATTGGAGGTGGAAATTTACCCTGATTCAATTTGCGGACGGCTTTTTGAAATAACCCAACATGTTTGCTTTGGAGCACCTATTGGAGGAGCTTGTAATGTTAGTTCCCTTTACATATTCATCTTTTTAACATTTTTTTGTATCTGTACTACAGTTATGAACCCTTTTTTTACACTTTGATAAGTACGAAGTACATTTATGATTTTAGGGTGATTCAGGCACATCGCTCATGGTGGAAGGCAAGCAGGTTGCCATAGCCTCCTTCATCACAACCACTTGTGGAACAGCCAACACGACGCACCCGAACGTTTATTCCAAAATCACGGCGTCCCTCGATTTCATAGATAATATCCTTAATTCGTCTTAAGTACATTTATTTGTACGAATAAATATCTTTTAAAAAATCTTGGTTTATAATTTTTTACATCTTTCATCATGTTACTTATGAAAAAATGTTTTGTTAATGTTATAAATTACAATAAGTTGCCTGTACAATAAATAAGAAGCAGCACAATTAGATCGTGCTGCAAAGTTGCTGTGTACAATAAGTTATTCTAAAATATAAATAGATACAGGCACAGCCTCCTATGGAAACTGTGGTACAGGTCATTAAATATGAGAAAAGCCATGGGTTCAAGGTATACTAAATTAAAAAGAGGACACATTTGGAGAAAAAAGGAAGCTTGGACTTTGGGGATCTGTAATATGTAACAATGAAGTACAACACTTAGAAATTTGTTTCCTTTTTATTTTATTATCAATAAGGCCTAAGTAAGCGTCAAATTACTGTCAATAATTGTACTTAATTTACGTCTATAGACATTAAATCAGATAACACAGCCGGTTGTGAGAGGAGAACCAACTAGGTATATAATAATACTTCGTTTTTTATGGGATTACAATAAAACACATTATACTTTCACTAAAAGAAACGAAAATAGGGTTATAATTGGTATTCAAACTGCGTCTGTTTCATGCAAGTAAAGAACAAGATAGTTCGCAGCAGGGAACACGAAGGAAAATTCGATTTGGGTATCAAAAATGTAACGAAATCGCATGTAAAACTATGCCAAACGCCCCATTAACAATTCTTTAGATAAAAACCTCATTGGCATTTAGGTATACAAATCGGTACTTATAAAAGGATGGCGACTGAAAAATATTGTTAAGTAGTTTTAACAGTCATAAAAATGTTCAGGTGTATTAATGTAATCCTCATATTATGCGTATGCCGTGCTTACGGTAAGTTACCAGTTTTGGCTCTAATAAAAAAATGTCTAAAACAGTAATTATTTATTTTATTAGGAATAATTACAATATCATTTTCTTTTAATATTGAAAATATAAGTTTAAAATATAAAAGACAAATACTAGATAATTTTTAAAGGCAAAGAAAAACAGTCAAAAATCTTATGTGGTTTTACTAGGTACTGAAAATTTTGGAGGAGAATCAAGGATAGTAAACGGAACAAACGCTAAAGAAGGAGAGTTCCCTTATGCTGTGAGTAAAAAATTAAACGTTTAACATTTCCTTGGGAACACTGCTACTGCATTTTAATTTTCGTATATTATCACGATTGCTTTCAATATTGCAGATTCTTCTTCAATACTAACGACTGTTCTGCTGTTTACGTCGTAGTACTAACCGAATATTTAATAGATTCCTATCTTTCTAGGTGTCTTTAAGGAGAAATTCAAGCCACACGTGCGGTGGAACAATCCTGAACGAGAGATTTATTCTAACAGCAGCCCACTGTGTTTGTAGAGACAGCAAGTACGTAAATCTTTTAAGTTCGTGACCAGAAACTTTTTTTTTCGATTTTTAGACCGCAGGATAGTACCCTCTTCTCAATCCAGTACGACATGTTGGAAATCACCAAGGAGCCTGTGAATTCTATAAACGTGAAGGAAATAAACTGCCACAAATTCGACTCGGATAAGATAATTTATGATGCGGCAGTTTTAGAGGTAGTAAACAGTACTACTGATGATTTAATTATGTTATTCAATCTATTTTTAGTTGGAAAAACCCATACCTAAGGGTAAATGGAGCCCAGTAAAAATCGCAAACAAATTCGTTGCTCGGGAAAGCCTGAGCGGCACCATCATCGGTTGGGGAAGGCTTTTTGTAAGTTACACGTCGTTTTCTGTTAAAAATTTTAAGTTAAAACTAAAAATAACGGCGTAATTTACAGCACGGTGGTCCTATATCTAAAACTCTGCAAAAAATGAAGGTAGACATCTACGATGACGAAACTTGCGGGAAAAAGTTCGATACCATGCACCATATTTGCTTCGGCGCTCCCGTAGGTGGTGCATGTAACGTAAGTTAATTTTTTCTTTTACAAAATATTGATTAATCCAAGGATATATTTCATTCTTCTTGTTTATCCCACTTCTGATGCTTAAGTAAAGTAGCAGAAGAAGTGTGCGAGTTTAGATTTTGTTTTGTTTAGGGAGATTCTGGAACTGCGTTGATTGTTGACGGTGTTCAAGTTGGTATTGCTTCCTTCATAACTCACTACTGTGGAACAGCAAATAAGCAGCATCCCAATGTTTATTCGAGAGTGACTACTTACTATGACTGGATTTCGGGAATAGCAGGATTAGAGCAGTTGTAAATTCAAGGAATTCCTGCAGAAATTCAGTTGTGTGTTATTACTGTTAATTCTATAGTATCTATACTTATTAAACGCATATATTTTATTTGGTGTCAGTAATCAGTAATCAATATAAGTAATAATATTTGCGGTATTAAGAATGGTTTCTTTAAATATTGTATAATTTTGAATTCTTATAATGTAGTTAATATAAACAATAATATAACATATGTGTAATAATCTTTGTTTATAATTTATTTATTAGCTATTATTTTCCTAAATATTTGAGTGGATAAAACATAAAGAAAATGTTATGCTTGTTGAGTGAAACATATACTAGAAGGTTTGCGATATTTTATTTTTTCTCTATGTGCTTATTTAACACTCGGCAACAATAACGGTAATAGACAACATGCGGATATCTGTAATACTGACTAAATTGATTGCAACTTATTTGGATAGGTACTTTCTTTGATAGAAACGATCAAAGTCGACGTTCGATCACATTTCTAAGGGGGTCGCTTCGAAACCTGGGCGACCTTTCGTAGGATCTCGACTCTCGAGAATCTGGCGCTGCCCTCAACTGAAAATTTGTTCGGTACATATACACAATTACAACAAAGTGTGCATTGAGAACAACTACTTCATATCCATTTTAATAAATTAACTTGTAGAAGGACGAATGACATGCTTGGCATTTTTTGATTCTTATCTCGTTTCTATTTAATAAGTACTCACTTAAAAACTTAATAAAAAATATTCCATACTTTGGAAATTATAATCTCCATCTTGAACCTTGTATATTATAAGTAGTTGATGATATGTCCATTTTTTTAGTTATCAATGTTTTCAGTCTAGCTAGAGGATTGATTAAATAACTTAGTATTGGAATCTTCAAATTGACTAGAAGTACTAGAAGTATTTAAAATAAATATTATTCAATAAATAAAAAATGCTATATATTTTGGTTGTTTCATATGTAAATAAAATTATTCTAGGACAGCTCTATACAAAACTTTTCTACACTTATATTCCTTTATATACACCTGTATAATTTAAGACTTACTGTTTAGTTAGTCGAGTTTTTATCATTTGTATTTTGAGGGCATGTGTCGAATTCACTTAGAGCAGTGGTTCTCAAACAATTTTCTAAATGATGTAGTAAATAGATATTGGAAAAGTGGACATATTTTGTAACATGGAAATAAATATATATTATTTTTAAGGATTTGTTAATTTTGTGGGTATATCTAATCAATCTACACCGCTGACCGATATAACCCTTTGAGAGGCACTCGACTGTAAAGAGCATACCACAACTTGTAGATAAAGTTTAAATTAGCGCGTACATATAAAAAGATATAAATACTACAAATACAACTTCACACATATCTACACTTTTAATTGGACTAAAAATGTTGACTTTGGTGGTGCTTGCAGTACTTTTTAGTTTTTCGTACGGTAAGACTTATATATACTTTACATCAACTTGTAAAAATATAATATCTGGATTGAATTTTTAGCTGTCGACGTAAGAATTGTCAATGGTACGGACGCTGAAGAAGGAGAGTTCCCATTTGCAGTAAGTGTTGTCGTGATTTTCCTTATTACTTTTCTAATTTTAAATGTTTAGGTACTGACATAAACAGTCGCATATTAATTTTATTTTTTGTATTATCTTTTTGAACGAGTTTTAGTCCCAACTTCATCTGTAATTAAATTTAATTTCGGTATTTCAGGCTTCTCTGAGAAAGAACGGGACCCATATATGTGGAGCTACCATTCTCGATGAGACACACGTCCTGACTGCTGCCCATTGCCTTTGCACTGGTCACGAGTAGGTATTGTTAGCAAATTATGTGCCATTTGAAAATGTACTGATATTTATTTTAGTCCTTCAAAACCCTATCTCTTTACCATCCAGTATGGATCGATCCACATATCAGAAACTTCCGAAAGAACTGCGCAAGTTTCCGAAATTCACTGCAATGCTTTCGACGCGTCAAGAGCGACGGACGACTCTGCTGTTTTAGTGGTAAGAGTGAAATTTCCTTTCATTTAGTTCATCGTAGGAAATACGGTGAAGGTTACCAAATTATTGTATAGTCAGGTAAACAATGCTATGACAAATAATTTCCTTCGAGATATTCCTGTATAAAGTAGTACGAGGAAAGCCTACCTGTCCTCATCTTTAAGAAATATTTTGATTACATTTTATTCGTTATGATAAAATTGCAGCTTGAGGTACCACTGTCAACGGACTACCCTTGGGAAGCAGTTACGTTGTACAGAGATTTCAATACAAGTGTCGATTATCAAGGAGTTATCATTGGATGGGGTAAATTATGGGTGAGAGTATTTCCTTGATTAAATCTTACCTCTAATAATTCAGTTAAAAGCTACTGAAATCATGAAAACTAACTGTTTTTTGTAGGATAATGGGGACTCATCATCCGTTCTTCAAAAACTGGAGGTCGAAGTCTACACAGATTCGATTTGCGGACAGAGATTCGACATAACTCAACACGTTTGCTCTGGGGCATCCGTTGGAGGAGCTTGTTATGTAAATTCTCTTTGTATATACCTCGTTTCTTAGCATTTTATGTATCTGTACTGTAATTAGAAACCCATTTTTATTACGATTTGATAACTATGAAGTGCTATTATGTTTTTAGGGGGATTCAGGTTCACCGCTCTTGGTGGAAGGCAAGCAAGCGGGCATAGAATCGTTCATCACAAACGCTTGTGGATTAGCCGATACAGCGAACCCGAATGTTTATTACAAAATCACGGCCTCCCTGGATTTCATAGATAACATCATTAATTCGTATTAAAACATTTATTTACATCAATAAATATATTTTCAAAGAGTTTGGTTTATAGTTTTTATATTTCTCATCATGTAGACCAAATGCGTATAGTGATTTTAGAATTTTGGACAGTATATGAAAAAATGTAATGCTATTTTCATAAACTACAATCAACTAGGTACAGTTCTTCAAATGTGGGAGAAGCTCCAGGTGCAAAGTGGTACCAGAGTTAAATTAAAAAGAAAACACATTCTGATGGAAAATGAAGTTTTTATTTTAACAAAATTAAATTCCCAGCACAAGACTGATGAAGAACAGAATGAAAATAGGATTTAGATATAAAAAATCTAACGAAACTGCATGTAAAACCAAGCCAAACATCCCATTAACAATTCTCTAGATAAAAACCTGGTTTACGTTTAAACAAATCGGTACTTATAAGAGGATGGCGATTTAAAAAAACCGGCTAAACCGATTAGAACGTTAACAGTCACAGAAATGTTCGCGTGTATTAATATAATACTACTCATATTATGTGTATGCCATGCTTACGGTAAGTTACCAATTTTGATACCAATACGATTAAAGTTCTATTGTAGTTCTTTTGAACAATTATTATATATTTGAAGATAATTTTTATTTTTGACTATGGTTCTAATAGATAAAATATATGAAAGAGTGGTTACTTATTTTATTAGGAATTACAATATAATTGAATATTAAAAATATGTGAATAAAATATATGCAGTAAGTTTTGAGGCAAATATTTAGTAACTTCAATCAATGAACGAAGAACGAACATACACATTTCCTAAATTAAGTTTGTTTCTTTTCCATATCAGTTGCATTTTTAATGATTATTATCAATATCAGTGATGTTATGTGGTTTTACTAGATATTGAAGACTTTGCAGCTGAATCAAGGATAGCAAATGGAACAGACGCTAAAGAAGACGAGTTTCCTTATGCTGTGAGTAAAAAATTAAACGGTTTGACATTCCTTTGAGAGTTAACACTGTCAGTACATTTCAATTTTTATAAATTATCTCGGCTGCATTCAATATTGCAGATTCTTCTTCTAAAAACGTTCCTCTTCAATACTAAAGGCTATTCGACTGTTTACGTTACATTCAATGGCCTATTAACCTTCCATACAAATCCATAACCATATATTTTTAGGTGTCTTTAAGGATAAATTCAAGCCACACTTGCGGTGGAACAATCCTGAACGAGAAATTTATTCTAACAGCAGCTCACTGTGTTTGTGCAAACTGCAAGTATGTAAATCTTTTGTTATGTTCGTTTGTTCGTGACAAGAAACTTCTATTTTCGTTTTTTAGACCGCAGAATAGTAACTTCTTCTCAATCCAGTACGACGTGTTGCAAATTACTAACGATTCTATGAATTCTATAAATGTGAAGAAAATACACTGCCATAAATACGACTCGGATAAGAACATTTATGATGTAGCAGTTTTAGAGGTAGAAAACACTACTACTAATAATAATTATGTTATTCAATCTATTTGTAGTTGGAAAAACCCATTCCTAAGGGTAAATGGAGCCCAGTAAAAATGGCAAACCACTTCGTTGCAGAAGAAGATCTGAGCGGCACCATCATCGGTTGGGGAAGACTTTCCGTAAGATATATGTCGTTTTCTGTTAAAAATATTAAGTGCAAAACAAAAATAACGGCATATTTTACAGCAAGACGGTCCAAGATCTAAAACTCTCCAGAAAATGAAGGTGGAAATCTACAACGATGAAACTTGTGCAAAGGAGTTCGACACCGTGCACCATATTTGTTTTGGCGCTCCCGTAGGTGGTGCATGCAAGGTTAGTAAACATTTTCTTTTACAAAATGTGTGATATTGTCTAATCCAAGGATATATTTCATATTTCTTGTTTATCCCACTTCTGATGCTTAAGTAAAGTAGCAGGAGTGAAGTTGTACGAATTATGTTTGTTTTGTTTAGGGAGATTCTGGATCTCCACTAATTGTTGAAGGTATCCAAGTTGGTATTGCTTCCTTCATAACTGACAACTGTGGAATAGCAAATAGGCAGAATCCCAATGTTTATTCGAGAGTGTCTACTTACCACGACTGGATTTCAGGAATAACAGGATTAGACAAGTCGTAAATTCAAGGAATTACTACTATTACTTTTATGCACTGTACTTATTGAAGGTATTTGTTTACAATAATAATATTTACAGTAATAAACATGTCTTTAGAAAATCTTAAATTATAATGATAAATTTTTATAATGTAGTACAAAATAATATAATGCACGTGTAATAATATTTTTGTGTCATTTATTTGTTAACTATTAGTTTTCTAAACATTTAAGTGGAGAAGTAATTTAAAAAACAATTTTTTTAACTAGTTAAGTGCGTGATAAGCCATTAATATAACATTTTATCGCAAGATAAAAGCAATGCCAATTTATAACAAAACTAGTTTTGATAAAAATGTTGAATTATTCATTTTCCCTTTTTTATTTCATTGCTGTTGCTATTTGTCCAAAAAACAAATATTTGACAACTTATTTTATAAAACCCGTAAATCACAGAGTCTAACGACACTTACAGTGTACGAAAATTCAATAAACAAAGAAATCTAAAAAAAAAAAAATAAGATAAATTTGGAACGAATACACTGAAGATGAATTCTTCGCGATAAAACGTGTGAATCTGGTTCGGGCTGAGGTAGTACAGTATTGGGGGTCATGAAGGCTTGCAAAAAATGTAATAAAATTTCCGGGGTCGTATTTAAAAAAATGAAGTTGATGATGGTCCTGGAGAGACGAAACGTTACATATAAAAATTATTACCTCAAACAAGGCTGAAATGAAACAAAAACGGATTTCCAAAATTTCGGTTATTTTCAAATATTTCAAAAACTAATTATGTCAGCCTTGATTTTTTAGAGGCATAATGTTGGCCCCTTGATTACGCAACTTTGCCCCCATTTAAACTACGTCGTACCTCTTACCTTTTCCGAGATCCCTGTAGTGAGAAGCGAATTTGCAACAGCCTGTATTGATGACATTATATCACCAATATTTTAAAATGACTCTGGACTGTCATTGCATTGAACAGCTTCATCAATAACAACCAACTGTGAAGGTTGAATCGCTCTATACCCATACATATCAGAATTCTAAAAAATATTAATTGGATAGAAGAAATGATTTAGAATTAATATCTATAATCTTAGATGGCAATTTAAGTTCTTTTGTACTATCAACAGTGAGATATCTACTCTCAGTACTTGAAGTAGAAGTAATATACAACACGAGATGTATTTCTACAGAGGTGCTTATCTTTCTGTGTTCCTGGAAATACTTTTTTAAAGAAACTTTTATAGAAATAACAATGGAAAAAATAAGTACCTACATAATACAACTTTGACGCAAATTGCATTTCGTTCGTTATTGTTAATTTATTTCATTAATCCATTTATTAAATTATTTAGTTAATCCATCAAAAATAATGACATTTATCTAAATAACGTATTCGGTTAATTTCAATAATTAATTTATTTTTCACATGTCCCCTTAGAGAACTAATCCAGACGTGATAAAATCAAACAAAATCGTTGGTGGTTAGATAGGTCTGACGGATATAGATATCTGAAACTGAAAGTAATGGTTGTTAGTTGCTGATCCGTTGACTTAAACAGACTAGCCAGCATGGAGTTGATCCTATTCGGATTTGTTCTTGTTTGGTTGAATGCGGATTGTGCCCTAGGTAGGTGAGTCTTCTAAAATGAAATATCGTTTTCGAGTAGATAGAATTTATTTAAGAATATCCCCAAAGTTACCTAATACTTATTTTCAGATAAATTATATTTATTGGTATTAGTTTCTCAGTTAACTATTAAATTTGCTTGACATGCGTAATATACACATATTAAGTATAAACAATATAAGTGTAATATATTTATATGTTTCATGCTAATCTGTAGACATGTTAATAGCTTCAAAGCCCTATTGCGTTTTTGATTAATACATCTATCACCATAATGAAGTTTGTCCTTTTTGCATATAAGTAGAAAGATAACGTTGGATTAATTAAGATATAACATTAAGCATTGTTACGCTGGTTCAGGTACTCCTACAAAATAAGGGTATCATGGAGACATACATTTGTCTGTCATTGCGAACTCTTTTTCGATAACATGTTATTTACTTTGGTAATGAATAAATACTGAGGATTAAGGTTATAAAAATAATCTCAAGCGGATTACTTTCAGATAATATTAACTTTGTTATCTTTAACTGTAAGCCACTGAATTAGATTTAGAAATATTTGGTGATGTTAATTGAAATATCAAACAAGCAATAACTTCTAAGTACGACAAAATTCATATTAATTTTCTTTCTAGGTAGACCTAGTGGCAGAATAGTTGACGGAACAACTGCTGGCTATGGAGAAGCTTCATATGCAGTGTGTATCTATTTTTTATTGTTGCAATTTGATATCGATCTTCTTACTATTTAGAAGTGTGCATTGTTCGAGCTAGACAGGTTTATCAAATTATTTCCTATTTATCTAAGAAAACAGGCTAGACCTTTGTTATTTATAATAATAGAGAGAAATTCACAACATATCTCCAAAAAAATTATAAGTATTTACAGTCAAAATTGGAGTAGATCTTGTTAACGACTTGTTTGTTATTTCAGAGCTGATAAAAAACTATACAAAGCCTAAACTAAAGATAATGGTGCACATTTCTGTTATTCATCCTTTTTAATGTATTTCTAGCAATTGTATTTTTTTATTGTTTGTAGGTGTCTGTACGTTATAACAACTTCCACGAATGTGGGGGCTCTATAATAGGAGAAAAATGGGTTTTAACAGCCGCCCATTGTGTGTTTATAGAGTATGTGATACTTTAGATATTTTTCCTTTAAACAATGTTGTTGTTTTCAGTTTTGTGAATGTTTCAACTATTCTTTACGGGACTAAAGCCATCCAAAACGGCGAATACATAGAAGGGCACACCATAAAAGTAAATAGAGCGTTCGTTAATGAGAACTACCAACCCTATGGGGGATATTTCAACGATATAGCTCTAATGGAGGTAAAATTCTCGTTCTGAAAATCCAGACAATCAAATAACCTGTCAAAATCTAAGAAGGAATTATTGTTTAGGTGGAGGAACCTTTTACTTTTAACGCTAATGCAACAGCAGTAATCTTGCCTGAACAAAACACCATGCCGCCAGTTCTAGAGGAAGCTCTATTGGTCGGCTGGGGATACCCTTACGTCAACGGTACCGTGGCTACTATCCTGCAGAAGGTGGACATCTCCATATATCCAGACGCAATTTGCCTTGGTTACTTCCACCAGAATTACTCGACTGTCTCGCATATATGCGCGGGAGGGGACGGGAAAGGACAGTGCACTGTAAGTTTTTTATGACATACGAAAAAAATAGGAAAATATCATATTTGAGACATAATTTGATTAGACACTGCTCACGCCTTTGCGATAACTTTGTTATTAAATCAGAAAGAGAAGAGTGTGTCTTCAAAAAGGTGCTTCAAAAACATGATTGGGGCTAGATTAAGAAATAGTAACGAAGATTTAAGATTTTAGATGTCCAAAAGAACAAGAAAACTGTTTGAATGTATTGACTACTGAAGGTGCATGTCCAACCAAAACGTTAATCTTATTATCAGCATTCAATATTCGTTGTTCTAGGGCGATTCTGGTGGAGCTCTTACAGTTGACAGCATCCAGTACGGCATAGTGTCATGGTCTGACAAACCTTGCGCCACAACACCTGGGGTGTTGACCAGAGTATCCAGTTTTAGAAACTGGATCAAAAATATTTCAGGGATATAAAACTGTAGACTGTAAAAGTATGTACATATTTAATAAAACAGTTCTAGTGACAAATAATTTGCTTTCTGGTGTTTTGCTTTCGATATTTGTGCGATTAAAAGAACCCAATTTTTCGGTGACATTTTCCATCACCAGAAAGTTAGCGAAGTTAATCTACTAAAGGTACATTTTGATGATGAGGAGAATTTTGGATGAATTTAGCAAAACAAAATTATTGAATAATTTATTTAATTTTTCATTACACAATTACAGTATTTTTTTTGGTTCGTTAGATTATAGTATCTCAACATTTCTAATCCTAGAGTCTCCTCCAACTATTAATGAATTGGATTTTTTAATGTACTCGTTTTAACAAGTAAAACCAACCATTTCATTTGTTAGTTTTAACTTAGACCTTAACTAAGTTCCTTATATACATAAAAATGTGTCATTATCACAATTATAATAAGGCTTCTGGTACCAGACCCTCCAAATGAACATATACCGTCATTTAAATCAATAGAGAATAGAACAATTCGAGAGATAAAAGTATTTTATGCCAGTTAATCTATTAAGGAGCACAAATATTGAGGTCAAAATATAGTAACTGGGTCGCATCTACTTAAACTGTTTTTTTGTGAGTTTGCCACACTTTCAATTTTGAAGAAGGAAGTTTCTTCCAGTTAGAAATTCATTTGCTGGGCCTAGTGGATACTTAATCCTAAATTAATGAAGCTATTTATATAAAATAGTAATTGTGTGATTATTTACGAAAATAGATATGTCTATAACAACAGTAGTTAAATAAACTGTTCGCAGCAACACCTTCGTTTCCTTCTTTGCTAACTCAGTATAGAGGACACTCCACAAAACCCGCACTGAGTTAATTGACAATCCTGAGCGTTTCTCTATATAAATATTATAATAATATACTTAGAATATTATATAATAATTACCTATAAACCCGCGAAAAGTGTATAGTTGGATATTTTTGCAGATTTACGCAATCAGTATGGTAAAAAACCGCCGTTAAAAATTTTGCAATACTTGTCTTTGAAATCCACAAAGAGAGGTATTTTAATCAATTTTGTTCTCTTTGATGAAACTATTATTCAGTTGCAAATTGTGTAACTTACCCCTCAAAATGCTTGAATCTTACAATTTTCCACATAATGTAAAGTAGTTTTTTTTTTTAATATACGCAAGAAAAGAACACTTTCTAAATTCAAGTTCAATTCCGTTCAAATTTCAAGTTATAGAAATACAGAAAAGGATTTGGTAAGATATTCTTATTTCACAGTTTCTTGGATTTATAATAAAAAAAGTTCTAGGCGAAGTTAGTGGTTATATAGAGTAATAAATCTGTATACGATCTAGTTTCTGCTAGAGTTGTGACAAGTTACACTCAAATATTGGAGAAAGGTAAAGTGAAAATGTTAGGCAAGATAAAAAATAATCCGTAATCTTGTCACAACACAATTTCCTATCTATAAAGCACTATTCTTTATGGTGTATGATTACAGTGTCTTTGGTAACCATTAGCTAAAGTACAAAATATTAAAAAAAATCCTTACAAACAATTTAAAAATGTGTAGTGACTATCACAATTAAAATAATATTGATTTCAAGAATGATAAATATCTCCCGTTCAACTAAAAATGTCAGTTTTTAAAATATGTAATTTGTTTTGGTCCAAATGACCTGTCGCTATTTTATATTAAGCGTCTTGTTTCCCCCAAATTTTAGCCTAGTCTGACAGTGAACATTAACAAGAGACATGTTTTCGATAATACGTCGGTTATATTCTGAAAAAAATCATACTAGAAATTGGAATTTACAATGTTATGAGGATAACCATGCGCCAAGGTGTACTTTGATAATGGGATTTATTATCCTACAACACCCTCGGTGCTGTCAACGTTTGTTGTCTTACTAGTCCGTTATTTAATTCGAAAGTTTTTGGACAAATATATGGTACCTATGATGTTGATATGATAATTTCTATTTCTGAATTGACATTTATTATGTTCTTTAAATTTTTTTATAAGGGCGTTATTACACAATTCATGTGTCTTGAAATAGGAGGACTATTGCAAAATAACAGACCAGTAGGTACATTAATATTATTAACTGATTTGTCTGAACAGAATGAAGTGTTATGGAACTATTACAACAGTAAATTCTTATAACAAAAGAGGAAACGAAATATTAAACAAGCAATTTATCATTCTTGAATAATTTTCCTTTTATAAAAAACATCTATTTACGGAAGCTCAATATATATATATAAATCACTAAAGCTTTTTACAAACAAAGGCATAGATATTAGGTACAAACGAATCGGTTTTCCCATTCTGAGGATATGTTAAATATATCAAAACTTATTTCACTTTCATTCATCACATTTACTTATTTATGCTAGGAGTTATATATAAAATTGTCCGTTAATTTTTTTAGGTATACATGTCTTCAGACAGCTTCTTCGATATTAAATCAAAAATCTAGTTGGCAACGCTGTAGCCGATGAACAGATAGCGTAGCTTTTAAAACAAACGATAAACACCGTTTATAAAACCAATGATAAACAGCACTTATAAAACTAATGATAAACAGCGTTTATAAAACCAATGATAAATAGCATTTATAAAATCTATGATAAACAATTCCTATTGGTTTTGTGAGCTGGAATATAATCTAGAAGCGGAATTTATCATTTGATGGTAATTTTTTGTGTTGTCATTGTTATTTGTAAATAATTTTTACTTATGGTAACAAAATATGCAGGAAACAATGTTGCCAACTTCTAAACTAACTATACAGGTGATTTCACTTTAATTTCTGATGTTACAAAAGTCGAATTCACATTGTACATGAATATGCTTAACTCCATAATTTTTAGTTTTAGGATTTTTGCAGTTTTTTTTAAAGAATCATAGCAAAAATTCAATTTTAATTATCTCCAAAGTTAAGCTTCCTGAGACCAAGCGAAATCACCCCGTATTTCGATTAAAAATATACAAAATAAATACACACAGCTATTACCTAGCATTCGTCGAAGATAAATTTGGTCAAAGTTACATAGTTTTATGCCTGGAGGTAGAACCAGTGATCTCTCTTCTAGCCTCGAACGAGTGGAGTCGCCTTCGTCCTGCAGGGACCGCTAAAGTTTCCTGGGGGGCGTCCTTCTCCCTTTCGGGCCTGCAAGAAAAGAGAATTTGAGAAATTAATTGTAGCCATCTGGCACTGAAGGCGTTAGGCTCGTTGATTTATCGACGGCGTGTTAAAATATAAGAATGAATGATGGGCCATTATCAGAGGTATGTTTGCAAAATCAAAAAAAAAGCGTAGGGGAATAGAAGGATTTATTGTTTTCGGTTCGGCACGAATTGACGGCGAATTATTAGGAATGGTGTCGGCCTTCTGTAGTTTTACTACAGCAATTTTGGATTATAATGCTTGTTTCTACACGAAAAAAAAGTAGTGAAGCATGTCCTAGGGGATCCCCGAGAGGTAGGACGCGCGACGGGCGAAATAATAATTTCGACTAGAGAAAATTCGTCTCAGTTTCGAATTTTGGAAACTGAAAAATTTTCCGAATACTACGAAATTCGAATTGGGAAATCGCAAAACAAAACCGCAAAAGAGTAACAGTTTTGGTTATTTATAAATAGGTAGGTACAAAGAAATAACATTGTACGGCACCTAATTATTTAACCTAGTGTAGATACTGAAACCTCTGAAGAAATATACAGAACTGTTCCGATGTGACAAATGAATAAAAGTTTGAAATAAGTACTTGACAATTATTGTTTAAGAGGGGAATAAAGATATTTTCTGAAAACAGACCTTCACCCAAGCATAGTCTTTTCAAAAACTACACTATTTTCTGAGAAAATTATATGTGGCCTATATATATATAAGGTATTGAGCTAGGAGTTGACATATTTTTTATTGCAAAATAATTCGTATTATTGAAGTTGTGAATAAATAAAGTATAATAACAAATTGAAATTTTATGTCATAGATCTTTATTATAATTTTACAACTCCCTCGTACAGATTTGAGGAACTGACCTGCAAAATATTACACTAAATTATGCAGTATTACCAGCAATGTCTAGATTTTTGTGAAATTATTTCTTTGGTAGCCATTTATTTAAATGTCATTAGTAGAGATACGCACCAAAGAGAACAACAAATATGAATGTTTGGAGCTTCTAGTCCAGATGGAGCCAGTATCAAACTTAACCATTAAAATTGTATGGCTTATAGAAAACTGTAAAACATATTTTAATTTTTGACTTCGTTTCGTCGTGACTGAATATATTTCGCAGTCACAAAATGCTCTCATAATTGAAAAATAAAATATATGACGGAACTAAGGAAATACGTCTAGGTCTAGGTTTGTCAAATAGATCATTATATACCATAATATGTTACCATATCAGTAAGAAATACTTAAAGTAATAAATAAATAATAAATACAGCCCTACCATACCTAGGTTTGTTTTCTGAAAAAGAAATTAACTTGGAAGAGCATAATGAACAGTAGATAATTGCGCCCGGGCACAATAAAGAGATGCCGACTTTTAGTTTTTATACGGTTTCAACTATCTTCGTAAACACCATACCTATATAGGCATATATTGTTTTCTGAAAAATAAATTATTTTTTTGGAAGAACAATAATGAATATTAAATAATGTTTGAAATTCTATGCTTTTCTGTGTGG